TATTTTTAAAAAATATAATCCAACTACTAAGAGGTAACTTCTAAATGGTATTATTACTGCATGTGAGGAGGTTAATGATTTCCAAACAAAAGAGGAAGCGTCTATTCATTGATTTCTGAATGACAAAACATTAGGATCGTTGCCATGGCACAAAAGTCCTAAAAATGTTGCACGTAACAGGAAGCAAACCCGTGATTTGGTTTTGTCATTCTCTTATAGCCTCTTTGTTGTTTGGTGAGTCTTTCTTTACCTCCAAATGTGAATACAAATGTCCTAAAACACAATTAAACCTGCAGAGGGCCAGTGGTCCCTGACGCGAGCATCCCACATGTGAAACCTCCTGTGTATCTAAATGTATTGTGTATTAATTACTCGCTAACCACAGTGCAGCGGCTAACCCTTTAGGACCAGAGATGTCCTCGGAGAGAGCTGTATAGAGGCCAGACAGGGCTCTTTGTGGCCTGTCCCGTTACTGCTTTTGTCTCTCTCTCTCTCTCTGGGGTCCCTTGGGTGGGGCCTCGGTGGCGTCCCATGTGTTAACATTGGCCAATGATAAAGTAGCTGCCACGGGCCTCATGAATAATGCAGGCCAAACGGGAAGCATCCCCGCCCTCACTTATGTAAATGTGACTTTGGGGAGACACAGGGAGGGGCTTGCATCACAATTTATGTCTACATGATAATATGAAAAAAGACACTAAAGCTATTTCATACGACTCCCTGTTAACCTCATATTTGGGACAAAGCAATTTGCCATCATAAATACAATTCTTAGTAGAGACTTTGTTCCATAAGCCATAAGCTTTGTTCACATGTGATGAAATTTCTTTTGTTGTGGTGTGATCCAATTAAGGCTGACTGAACAGTGAGTTTATTGGTGGTTTTCAGATTCTGGTGTTATACTTCCACATGGGGGGTAAAGACCAGATTTAATAACATTGTACTTTGCCATGACATATCCAAAAGCTGAATTCACAAATGTTGATCCTCATTTTTTTTTTTTTGACTAGACCCAAAAACCTGCTATACCTCAACAAAAAACATCATTCTAACTATATTAATTTTAGCTGTGCTCCATTTGTATTAAATCTGGTTGGTTTCCATCTGAAACCCAGCAATATAAAGAGTATGAAATCCTGGCTCATGCGATCATGTGATGTGTACTACATATCTGATAGCTGCCTAAAGATGGATGTAATGAACTATAAATAAACTATAAAAATCTAGCCTAGAGACTGAGAGCGGTATACAACGAAGCTCAAAGATTTCTGTTAAGGCCCAGATGTTACAGAATCTGTTTTAAGAAATGTGATATATACATGTATGTGCCGTCTGAACAATTCAGAAAATGCTGTAATTTTATTGTTGAATATTTTATATTAATATTTAACACAGTGCCATCCACTACACTACTCATCTGTGCAAACACTGGTATAGCTCTCTCTCTCTTACTGTTTTGCATGTTTTGTTTTTATAGTGTGTGTCTGTTTGTTTTTTACTCTGAAACACAAGTCTGCAATAAAGATCTACCGATCTAATATGAGAATATGAGTAAAGACATGAAATGCATTGTGAACACTTTTAAAATAAACATTATGTCTGATATATTATAATGGGTTATCAATAAAGATTTGAAGCTTAAATAAATGTTCTTAGGAGGTGGGTAAAATCACTATTACACTGCCCAAACTTCACAAGAACAACTTCAACTTGATCCTGAATCCTTTGAGCACACCATTAGCACTGTGAGCTTGAATTACTTATGCCACATGCCCTTACAGGTCCAGCTTACTACAAAGCCCTGAACCATTCACTCCATGCAATCCAGGCAGAATCAATGTCTAACCACACTCCATTACACAGAAGTGGATACTGTTAGAATAATTGTCTTCATAGCAGTTATTCACCACTGAGAAATGCTAAATAAGAAAAAAGTGTTTTCAAAATATGGGCTACAATTTGTCACACTTCATAATTTACTGCTGCAGATGCTCATATATCTACTCACTGTGTTAATCACTGGACCACAGTGACTAAGCCAGTCATTCATGCAGAAAACAAACTTACTATAAATAACTCCACAACTCTTCACCCCCTTACTATGTCATTATGTCAACACCAAAAAATCGACTGTCTTTCCCACTGACGTACTATCGTTTAAAGCTCCCATATTACGCTATTTCATGATCCATGTTATAATGTTGTTTCCTCATCACAGACATCCCTGGAGTTGTGTTTTGTTTAATTCAGACATATTTAACTCACAAACTCTGCATTTAGTTCTTCCCTCAAACTGAAAATCTGATATCTTTTTTCTACGTATTTAGAATTTATCATTACCATTTATGTTTTTTACTCTTTGTTATTATATTATATTGGGATGTGTGACTTACTGTGTCCAAATACTTTCCCTTTTGGATCAATAAAGTTTGTCTAGCTCTAAGTCTACGTCTAAAACATTTGTCATGTTATGTGGTACTACAGGAAGTGCTCCACTCTGTTTTTAAACTCCATACACCATCACCAGAATCATTTGGATATTTTCAGCCCTGGAATTGCCAATCTCTACTGAACAAAAGGTAAAAGAAGCTGTTAACTTGAAAACTACCGCTTCATGACATTTCAAGGTAGATCAGAGCATTTTGAGCTTTGAAGATGTAGACAGCCTGCAAGCTTACTCAAACATGCGGGAATGAAACAAAACACAACTCCAGGTATGTTTTTGACATGGCTTAATGCTCTCAAGAGTCAGAATTATGTGATATAGGAGCTTTAAAATCCACTCTACTCTCTCCATTGTAAACACATCATTCAAAGCTATTACATGCGAAAAGACCTGATGAAATTATGTGTGTATTATGTGGATCTGCTTGTTGAAAGTGTCCCCACGATCTAAGCAATTGAATTTCATGAGCGCAGCGTCTGTATCATGTTGTCGTATTGACCGCTTTGCTGTGACATTGTCTTCAGAGTGCTCTTCCAGGAAACCAGTGCATTTCATGTCCCCAGCACTAGTAAAACATATTCATATCAGACACACATAATCTACTTTGCATCACAGAAGAGTGGATGGACCCTTCAACAACAGAGTGGACTGAGCATGCTTTCACAAGAGAGATTACATAATTTCAAGATTCAAGATTACTTTATTTTGCTGCTAAGGAAGTTTTTCTTGTACACAGGCTGTTCAGAAAGATATAAGTTACTTGTTGTATGAGGCAAAATATGATAAACTAATATACACATTTGGGTAATTTGTAATAGAATGACAGTACATAAAAAAGTAGGATTTGTCTTTATATAGGCCTGTCACAATACTATATTGACTTATAGTTCAATATTTGAAAACTGGAACAATATTTTTTGGGCTCAACATTTTCTTAGCACAACTATGAAATGTTTTGTTCTTTTTTTGGCTATATGATAAGATTTAAGTCATAAAAGATTGAATACATAAGGTAACTTCTATGACTCATTACAGATGCAAACTAAGTACTAAAGTTTTTCAGTTTGTACAGTACAGTTGTGCAATAATATTGTAGATTTAGAATAGTTTTTAAATGTGCTTTAGAGTTATTGTGTTAGTGGCATAAACTAGTTTCAGTATTATTGTTTATAGTCTGTGTTTACTTTATTTTTTATTTTTTTTTATTATTGTGACAGGCTTATCTATATATTTAACTTGAAGGTTTGTTGTTCAATTTCTGCTTGTTGTTGCATCTATGGGCAAGGCACATCTCTCATTCTCACCATTTTCACATTGAAAGCATCATATTTCATTTTTCCTCCATAATTGTTATGTCTATTTGGTACATAGCATAAATTTCTCCACTGAAAACTGAGCTGTTTACAAACACTATCTGTCCTCTAATATTTAATGCAAATTCATATCTTAAAGATTTGGTCCATATTTCCAAGAGTAGGTCCGCAGACTAAGTAGGCGTGCGCTGTCACCGAGCCAAAGGGAGAGATTCACAGATACAGTCATATTAATCTGGCTCCGGCTGTCCTGTTATTGAAGCAGATGGTATCAGACACACAGGAGCCAATGGCCACAGTCCACCTCCACCTACTGCGTTTGTCAACCTATTTTTATGAAGACTGATGCACCAGCCCACGGAGCGAACAGTCAGTTAAAAGGATAGTGGAAAAACGGATTATGTCTGCAATTAATCCAGAGACAGTGTAGACTTCACTAAACAAAGGTTACTATGGTAATCCTTTGACCTTTGCACTATGATCCATCACCTTTAGGGGGCAGAGCAGCGAATCAACATAACGGATTCACAAACTAACACAAAAGCCAGAAATGACTCGTGTGAGGGTTAAAATGTGTAATGTAAATTCACTTTTTTATTGAAGTGTTATATACTTTCCCCAGAACTTATGTGACTGAATACTTGACTCCTTTCCAAACTCATTAAAGCGAACTACATTTAAAGATTAATGCGACCTGAAGCGACCATTTACGGCTGAAATAAAGTAGATTAATATAAGTTTCAAATGTCAAATTGCTCTCTATAGTTCGGCCAAATTAGATGTTAAATTACGCACGTGCTTAAGAGACAATTTACTTTTTTTTTCTTTTTTGGGGGGGGATAGACTACACGTGACTTTGTGCACACTAACCATAGCTTGGAGAGTGACTCCAAAAAAAGGCATATTCTTTAACAAACTGCTCTGAGTCTGTTAAAAATGAATGCATAGCGTAGACTACAGCATAGGAAGCTTTTACGCACCACACTATGGTAAAGGGAAACCAGCGAACTATTGAACGAAAACGCCGATTCTAACCTCGATTCAGAAAAGTTGTCATTCTGCACAGCTCATTTTCATTGTCATCGCTTTGTTTGGTGAAATATTGATGATTTAGTGACAGTTATCCACTACTTTCGAAGAGCAGACTCGAGCGCGTCTGTGATGTGATGGGGATCTCGCTGGAGGGTTGTCTCTGGGGCTGAAGTTGCTCGTAAAACGCGTCGGTCCAGATGGGCGCTTACCTGTGACATCTGCGGCCGGAGGTTGATCTCCTTCAGGTTGATGCACTGCGGCCGGAGGTTGTTGAGCAGATGGCAAAGAAGCACCCCGTCCCGGAGAGTCTGGGCCAAGTCGAAAACCTGCGCGGACTCCCATGTTACCCGGTGGTTGGCTGGGAGCACCTTGCAGTTAATCAGCCACAGCGCGCATTGCCTCCAGTACTCCATCATGTTGCGAACCAAAACAGCCGGGTCAGGCGATAAAAATGTCCGTAAAACACTGCTGCGTTGTGGACAGCTCGCTTCACGCCGTGCCCATGTTAAATCCGTGCGTAAAAAGCGAGGAAAAAGAGGAAAGTGGTGATGCTGCGGCCGCTCCAAGGATGACAGTCCGCTGAAGTGAAGCCGTGTGTGGATACGGCGCTCTTCCTCTGTCGCTCTCTCTCCTCGTGTGCCCTCCCCCTCGCGCACTTCTTCACCTCTTCCGCTCTCCGCTATGATAGTGCACAATAGAAATTATAGACTATGTGTATGTACGTGCACCACGTTACAGATAAAAAATGTTACTTTTAAATTAATAAATAAAGAAAGATGTCAAACTATAACCATGCTTTATGCCACTGGACTAGACAATTGCAATCAGCCTATGGAACTGAAGGCGAATGGTTGACGTTTAACAAAAATAAACACTTTATGCTTCGTGCTTTTTAGTTTCTTAATGGTTATACAGGTCTATAGTTTGTCTCCTAGTTCTTTGCATCATAGGCTGTACTCAAAATGACTCTTTGAAAGCGTAAATAAACACTCATAGTCGTCGCTAGGTGGCAGTATTAGGTAAAATTGTTAAATTAAGTTAATTAAAATGTGGGTAGGAAATGGTTAGGCAATAACTTTGGAAAGAACAACAGTGGTTATGTAGGTCTTGTACTAGATTCTCTTTCTCTTCTGGATGTTAAATGCTGTGAGAGTTTAAGACAGAGTTGGGACCAAGTTGTTGTTTTGCAAGTCTTTGACCTCAAGTCCAAGTCAAGTCCCAAGTCAAATACAGGCGAGTCCAAGACAAGTCTCGAGTCACTTGTCCATAAGTCCAAGTCAAGTCCAAGTTGTCCGCTTTGAGCTTCAAGTCATTTCAAGTCTTTAAACCAAAGAACCAAATATAGCTTACATTTTTGCAGTTTATATGAATTTTAAACTAAGTTGTACTTTAAAAAATCATAGTATATTTATATATGAGTATGTAGCAATGTTAATTTGTTAATTTTTGTTTTTTAAAAGTCTTGACAATATCTTAGTGTGAATCATTACAGTCAGAATAGAAAGAATTTATATTTAAAAGTGCTTCTCAAGTCAAGGGCCTCAAGTCCGAGTCAAGTCCCAAGTCACTGACCTTCAAGTCCAAGTCAAGTCTGAAGTCTTACTCTATTTTACCAAGTCAAGCCTCATGTCCTAAAAATAGTGACTCAAGCCTGACTTGAGTCCAAGTCACGACCTGCAAGTCCCCATCTCTGGTTTAAGATGCCTTTTATTAAACCTTTAACAGTCAGGCTCCTTCTTCAGTCCTTTGTCTATTGTAGCCTATACCAAAATATGCTGAATTTTATATTTTGTTTACTTCTACTTATGTTACTTTCACTTCTCAACACACCCAGTGACAGTCTTAATAAGCTCTTTTTACTGGGGAGTTGTTCTCTCTGAGCACTGTCAACATGTCCTCCCTGAACATGCCTGTATAAAGAAATGTTCCATAATACAAAAACACACATGATTTACTACACAGTTGAGTCTGTTTTGCATCCTGTGAGTTTGACCGCTCTATAACTTACTCGCAAATTGTCCAGAGTACATCTCCCTTCACCATAGACCCACAGTTTCGACATTCAACCACCATCACCACAATCCTCACGAAGAAAAGACCATAAGTGGAATGGACAGACTGCAGTTTTGTAATTCCTTATTCTGCACCATCCTCCTGGCCATTTTACTAAGAGCTCCGCAGACTATCTGAGATTATTGTCTGAAAGTCCTGACTGAGGATCATGTTGCCCTTGAACAAGACAATTAGGCTAAAGCTGCAGTGGAGAGGTCCAGAGACGGGATTATAACTATAAGAGGCTGAAGAGTGCTCCTGCTATACACTTAACATTATACCATTTCCATTGATCTCTCGTGGGCTTTTAGCACCTCAGATAAGTGTAACTGTTTGAAAGAGCGTCGTGAAGATGAGTTACAAATGACTGTAGAGTATATATTTAGACACATATATCTAAAGAGCTGTTTGGTTAACTATGACAAATAGACAATAGTGTATTATGAAATGCAGAGGGTTCAAATAAGGGAAATTATCTCCTCTATTTTTAGCAAAGTTATGTTAATAATTTCTAACAAACATCATATATAGATCTACTTCAAATCATACTAACTGCTGCAACTACTAAGATATTTTTAAGTCATTGCAAAATATGTAAATTTAGTTGCAAAAATTGAGGGGATTAATTTAATTTATGGTGAAACAATGTCAAGACTGTAAATGTCTATGCATAAAAAGAAAAAGCTTGGACATGTATTTGTACGTAAATCTAAAATTGAAAATATAGTTGTTTATACAGGGTGCATATGCACATTGTTTATGCAACTCAATTCTCAACAGCTATGGACATCAAAATGCTACAGCTACAGTAAACTGTAACTATAATAATGCATGTTTTGAGTGTTTTGAAAAAAGCCCAGGCAAAATTAAGAAGGAACGCTCAAAAAAACACATAGATGTCAGTGTGACCGAATATAGCTCCAATTATAAATGTTGCCACTGATGATGGGACATACTGTAACCATTTTACTTTCATTTCCTTCTTATTTGTTGCTAAAGTCCTCTACGCATCCTCTATGACAGCAATAAAAAAAAAAATCTTGGCAGTAAGTCCGCATTGACCATATGTGCCCAGACATTATCAAACTGTTTCCTTGGACTCTTACCCGTTTACCCATTAGCCTCTCATTCTGGTTTCGTTCCAGATGAAGAATTACAGAGATATCCAAATTGGTCATTCGTACACTTTACAAAATTAGCTTTCTGAATTGCTACTCTTGAGCAAATTACACAAATCAGTCAAACAACCTTTCCTAATTTGATAAATATTTGTGTGACCGCAGCAGCTGTCTTCTCCATGTCCCCCACATCCGGAGCTTGTCCTGTTATAATCTGATAACTCTGGGTCCTGTTATAATCTGATAACTCTTGGTACATGGCTGTCCTTCGAGCTCGAGGACAGGAAGCTGAAACCTTAGACCTGGGAGATTTGTGGGACTCCATCCTCTCCTCACCTCGTCTGACATGCCCGTTATGCAAGCTGTCGAATCCAGGCCAGCATAGATCTGAAAATACCACGGTAAAACAATGGCAAATGCACAATCCTGCTTGTGCAACTTTTGATATTTTGCAGTGACATCACAATGGGGGTGTTTTACACGTATACCTATGGTGGAATGTTCTGGCTTTTCCATGGTTTCACAATGCACACATTAGCAATAACACAGCCAAAATGTTTTAAAATAGTCTGGAAGCTCAAGAAAAAAAAAGGTGTGAGCGACTTACTGTTGGCTAATTTTAACTATCTTGTGACCGTAATGTTATTTGACTTGTTTAACAGCACAATTGTAGTTACAGCTAAATCAGCTCCTTCTCATCAGATTGTGTTAAATTAAAGATCAGACTAAAATGTAACCAAGCCTCAGACAGAGTAATGCCTATAGTTAGCAGCACACCAACGGATAATGTTGATCACATCATCTGCAAAGCATCAACTGGAGAAATGGAGAAACAAACACGACCAGTCAAAAGTTTTAGAACACACTTTTTCAAGTTTTTGACAGAAAATTATTCAGTTTATTGTGTCACTGCACTCTGAAATGAAAGCATAAAACAAATAAGCAATTTGAGTTGAAAAAGAATTCACTGAGTCAATTTATAGACCAAAACGTATTCTAAACTTTTGGCTCATCAAAGTGTCCACGTTTGGCAGATATAACACCTGGACACACTTGTGACTTGTTCTTTTTACAGTAGAAATCAAATATTCTTCAGAAAGTTCTTCCCAAGTCTGTTGCAGAAGTTCCCATAAATGTGTGGCACGTGTAGGTTGTTTGGCTTTCACTCTTCTGTCCATTTCATCCAAAACCAGCTCGATGTGGTTTAAGTCTGGAGACTGTGCTGGACACTCCATGTTTTCAAGCTTACCATTGTACTTTTTTAACCTCTGTCTGTTCAGTACTTACCTTTGTGCCATTTCAAGCTCTTCATTGGACTTGAACGACTTGAATTGCAATAAATAATTGGAAAAATTAGGATGTTCTAAAACTTTTGACCAGTAGTGTAATTGAATTGTTTAACAGCACAAATCAGCTCATCTGTTGTTCTTTCTGCTCAGAGCTTCTAACAGACCAGTGCCTACAGATAGCTGCACACGCCCAGGGAATGTTGGTGACATGAGCTGCGAAGTCTCAATACGTGACTTGCACTTTAAGAGTTGCAATGTTACTCTGACAATATATCATTACCAGATTTGACTTCTTGTTCCCACCTGGTCTATATGTAGTTGACATAGGCCTGTAGCTCATTCAGCACCTCATATAGTGCACATACAGACCATGAACCCTCCACATATTGTCCACTGAAGCCCCGTTGCTCTGTTGCTCTGGCTGTAATTTCTAGAGCTTTTGTGTCACTTGATCTGGCGACAGTGGCCAGTCTATTTGTGCAGCTTTATTATCCCCTCTGTGTGAAGGGCAGCCTATCTCCCTCCATATAGCCAGTCCTATACAGCCATTACTTCATTGCAATCAGCTATTAATACTACTCTTGATTATCTGTTGAAATACACGTAGCATTTATAGATTAAATATTTTGAGCAAGAGGATTTGGGATTGCTGCCAGTTGTGAATTTCCATAGAGACAATCCCCTTTATAGCTATACTGACATGATTGTAGCTCTTTTGTTCATTGTTTTCAAATGTTATTGATTGGTTGAGCTGAGACTTAGCGCTCTATTTTAGAGGTTTAAAATGGGAGCAGAGGAATCAATAACGGAGACAGAGAGAAGAAGAGACTTTTTTTTATCTGGACAACTGCCGGGCATCATCTGGGAAGAGGCAAAAGATGAGAAAAAAGTGAGGCCAATGAGAGTGATGGTGAGTTTAAATATAGGCGTTATAAATGGCTATCCAAAAATACAGCTGCAGTCATTTGCCTTATGGAGCTCCATGGTAAATTATTCTATATTACATCTTCTAAGAAAAGTAGTTCGGGAACATCTGTGAACAAAATTAGTAACTTAGAGGCACAATAAAATGATTTGCAGACAATGGGGAAGGATCCATAATTCTGCTGGTTAAAGAAGCCTGTTTTTCTGGTTGAGGATGTGTGTTTTATGGATGTTTTTTGGAAGGTTTATTGTTTGATTGTTGTTAATAAGAGTTCATTGCCAGGGCAGACAGGGTTAAGGGACCTATATTACACAAAATCTTGTGAGCTTTATGCCATGTTATAATGCAGTTAATTCATCATAAACATGCCCAGAGTTGTGTTTTGTTACCTTTAGTTCAGCAGAGAGGAAATTCCAGGGCTGAAATTATCCAAATTATTTTAGTGAAGGTGTTTTTTTTTACATAACATTGTGGAAAAAAGAACTGAAACATAAATTAAAATAAATAACATTATCTCAAACCTAATAAGGAACTAAATGGAAAAGGCATCAGCAACTGAATTGACAGATGAGGAGGAGAAGAACATCTGACTGTATGAAATCATTGTATAGGTTGGTTATTGAAATGTTTTTTTTTTTTTTTTTGGAGGATAAGTGATGAATCGATTGAAGATAATGATTTATTTCCATTAGCAGTAATGGAAAATAAAGGTTCGTGTTTGAGAATTTTGCTCTATGGATATGATATTTGCCAAGAAGAACAAATAAATGAATTGTTTTATTGTTTGACCTTATTACATTTACATTTTACATTTAATCTCTTATTTTAAATTCACTCTATATACTGTGTTGTAATATGTGGATTTTTTCAGTTTAGCAAAATAAATATTTCCTTTTATGCAATATGATAATTAATCTAGACATTAAGTTGATTTGCATTTGTAAATATCAGGTAATTAAAAGCTTTTATTTGACATAGGTGAAGTGCAGCCATATTGAGTTCACAGCTAAAACCCAATGAATAACTAATGTTTAATGCATTTGAATGTATAATCTTTATTTAATGCAAAACGATGTAAATATATACAATTGAATTAAATGATTGACGTTTGAGATTCAGCTCAACACTGAATAATGCTAATGACCAGAGGTTTATTCTGGTCCATACTTTTACATGGGCTACATCACTGAAGTCTTTATAACTACATACTGTTATTGTAAATATACTGCACATGCAAATTGATGTAGGTGTGAATATAAAACATAAAATTACATTATAAATACATTTATTCATCAAACAGCTGGAGGATTACGTGTCACCATGAGGGGATGTGGTCTTGGTCTTATCAGTGAACAGGCCAGTCGTCACCACGGTAACCTTATTTAAACGGCAGGGACGGATCTTACAAAGTGGGACATGGTCTAACACTGCAGACTGCGGTGAGTAACTACATAGAGATATGTTAGGTAATTAGTGTTACCTTATGGCCTTACTGTGTTTTGGTATGGAAATGTTTTAAGATATTTTAGATTAGAAAAAAAAAGTTTATAAAGGTTTAGTTCATTTATTACAATACAGTGCAAAAAGTAAAAGTTTAAATTATTTGAATTAAGAACATTTGATCTTGATTTGAGTAAATTTCAGTTGTTAAGTAAAATAGTCTAGACTTTTTGTACTTGAAACAATAAAATTAATCTTGTTATGCATAAGATTATACGAAATAAGAAACAAAACCTTATGTTGCTTGAATCAAGAAAAATACACTTCCATCATTTTACTTGTCAAGTTGAATCTACTCAAATCAAGTACAATGTTGTTAATATAAGTCATTTTTAACTTGATTAGATATAACTTTTTGCAATGTACATTAAAGGTCCACTGTGAAACTTTTTGGAGAGGGTCCGAAACCTCTTTGTTTCCATGGAGATGTTAATGCTTTGGTTTAAATTGTCCACATTAAGTTATTTATTGCTCATACATATCTTAAAAAAAACATCCATTACTTTTTGTAAGTGGGGTCGCTGTTCCACAAAGCTAAGCTGTAATTTGGCTTGCAAGTCTCCATGGAGATTTATAAGTTTATGGTTATACTGTGGAATATTATAGGCACATCTCCATGGCGACAAGCAGTGTCTCAAGCCAAATATAAATCATTTTTTTGTAATGGCCAACTGTTTTTGCCAATATTTCTTTAAAAGGTCATAAAAAATAAATGTATATTTCATGTCAAAATCTGAAATGAAACAAAATTCAGTGCGTTTTATTTACTGGCAACATCATACAGCCGTTGCGAGCGAATGGTATTTATTTCTATCATGAAAATTACAGGCATCCATCTCCAACAAACAGACTGTTTAATGGTTCAGTGTGGATAGACCCTCACAATATTTCATTTTGAGGTGTTTATTTTGCTGTAGAGGCAGATGGCGGTGAGTGTGGCAGACAGAGCCGTTGGGGCCATTATCGGGGCAGCAGTGGCAGATGCAGCAGGTAAGATAAAACCAGTCTTGTACTACGAAAACATCAGCGTGAGTATAACTAGGCATTAACACATGTAGTTTGCCTATCAAATTATGACAGCAGTGTTCTTTTCTATATACAGGGACAGAGAGACAAAGATAAAGGAAGAGAGAAAGTGTACTATTATTGATCCCCTGGGAAATTCAAATATGCAAGTCAAAGAGCATTGCTGTTAAACTTACCACAGGCTTGATATGTCAAAATTCTGTAGTCAGTGATGGAAAGAATACTTTGAAAACACAATTAGAATACTGAATACCCAAATTAAAATGTATTTTGTAACATACTAATGTATATGATATATGGTCCAATCAGCGTACTGTATTCTGAATACTTGGAATACTTTTACATTTATATCATTGCGATATATATATTAAACATGACAAATTACAGATATCTTTATTTTGTTGGTAGGCATTAATTTATGTCTAATTAGAAACAAAAAATTGCAGTCCAAAGCCCAACTTGCAGTATTGCCATGTCTTATTTTAATTTAGGAAAGTAAGTGTATTCTGAACATCACCGAATGACAAAGTAATTATAGCAGAATATTAGGGATGTAACAATGACCGAAATATCGTGATATCGTATCGTCATAAGTCTCACAATAATATCGTGGGCTGTCATAATATACTGAATTATAAGTTCCTTTGCTTAAATGCATTGTGCTTTAGTAGGAACAGTTTATTAACATCGGGAACTACATATCCCATGATTCATTTCAGCGCAGACAACATGAAGAAATATTTTTTTTTAACTTCAATTCTTGGGATTCTGACAGTAATAATTCGCCAAAAATCTTGTCTAGGTATTTTAAAAGCAAAAAACATGTCCTATCTAGAATTATATCAGCCTCTCCAAAATATAATAAATAATAATAATAAATATCCTACCGAGAGATTTGGATATCTTTACATCCCTACAGAATACAGGTACTTAAAATTTGTATTCAGACTGTGTATTTTCAGTACATACATTAAGTTACTTCCCAACACTGTCTAAAATTAGAGGTAACAAGAGGTGGGTAAGAGTAAAAATGTATTTGGAAAAAGTGCTATTCTACTAAATGTAAATTACTGGGGACCTAACATGCCATTTCTAATTCAAGGTTAATGTAATGTGAAGAATAAAACAATAATTAATGTACTTTTTATTTTCAAGCAATAGACACACACACACAAAAATAAATAAATAAATCAAATATATATATCTAAAGGAGCTGTGCAAGAAACACAAATATCCAAATCATTTTATATTGTCAACATAAAGATTTTGTCACTTGTAGACTTACTTACAGTGAGGAGAGTAACCAAAAGTTTTACTCAAGTAATAGTACTGTTACTTCAATGAAAATATTACTCGACTAAAAATATACTGCAATAAAAGCATTTAGAAAAGTACCATTTCTCCAAAAAGTAAATGTAACTGAATATCTGGCACCTCTGGAAGTAAGGGAGGAAAAAAAAGTAAAATGTAAAAATAGAAATACTTTGAGATTATGCAAACAAAAGCATGTACATTTATACAATCTTGTCTTTTGCTTGGAAATTTGCGTGAACCTAATCTCTAAATCAATAAAACAACCAACATTTATTTTTTATGCACCTTTTTGTCAAATCTGTCTGGGGTTTTTAGCTATTCCCTCCTAATGATTTCTGAATGTCTTTACAGATGTTGCTGAAGTGCCTATTTCCACACATGGCCATTATCATAAAGCAGGCCACATCTGTATGAGGAGATAAAATGCTTGGGTGGTTGTCTCATTTGCATAGGCCCATAGAGCTCAGGGTTATGTGTTGTGATACATGACGCATACCAAATTCAGCCACCTCTCCTCTCTCTGTTTTTATGAGGCTTTCAATATAAAAACCATCATCTCGTGTGTTTTATTTTTTTCCCTTGATATGCAGGATAAATAAAAAATGCCCATTTTCTTCATATTGCAAAAATGGGGGAAATAGTAGTTTAAAGGGCCCATATTACTCTATTTTTCTCTTTCTATGTTATAATGATGTTTCCTCAGCACAAACATACTTGGAGTTGTCAGATGAAGAGAAGAGGACTGCTTCACTGGGTCATAAAAAGTTAAAAATAGCAGTACAGGAGCTCCATGAGGGTTACATTTAAAATTTGAACAGAATGTAGCCCATACTGGAAAATGTAAAAATGGGCAAGGTACAAACCCGAGGCAAACTGACTGAAAAGAATAAAAGTCCTTTACTACATGAAGGGACACCAATGCGCTTCAATCAGCAAGACAGTCTTCATCATTAATTTTTCCCATAGACTTTTCCAAAAAAAAGTAATATTAAGAGTCCAAAGACGTCGCAAAGGCTCACCAGATACAGAACTAATATTCAGTAATAATAATAACACGGTTGCTTAAAGTCAAAAAAGGGGATGCGTGTGAACCAGCAGCAAGACACTCACCCTAAAGAAAATACAAAAAAATAATGTATCATTACTTTTTTTGACTAAAGTTCAACAGCATGTTAAAACACTGTATTGGGTAAGACATCATACTTAAAAATATTTTATTTTTTACAGAATACTACTAACCTGCTGATTCCAATATATTTAAATAATTCTCCACTTGGTACAATATCCTACCTCAACACACCACACAAAGTGTGCACGTTTATAAGCTATTATTAAAAGAAATGCGAATACAGTGAATGAATGCAGCCCCAAAGTGTGAAAAACACGGTGAAAACTCGGAAGAGCTAAGCTAACGAATGCTAACCTGCCCTTCACGGGGATCCGTGTCGCGGCCATTAGATTTTCATTTAGAAATGGAGAATCAGTGCCGGGTGCAGGCAGAGACAGGGCCGTGTGAGGGCGTTTGGATCGGGGCTGCGTGAGATCATGGACCCGCTGTTTGCGGTCTCCTCGAGACTGAGCAGAGGCAGAGCGGGACTCACCTGGTTTAGGCGTATGCGGGTGTCGGGTTAGACCTGGTCAAATGCGGGTTTAGTCTTTGCTTAGAGACCACCTCCTCTGGTGCCCAGTCCACTCCAGGCTATGGAGCGTATGCAGCGTCCCCGCTGCCCGTGATGTAGAGCCTGCAGAAACACCGGGAAATCTGACAGCTCCCCTCAGAGAGTCAGCTGCAGTGTAGCCGCTGAGAGCCTCTAAATCACGGGTGTCAAACATACGGCCCGGGGGCCCTCCAAGACCTTTAATCTGGCCCTTGGCTGATTTTCTACTAAAATATTTTAATTATATTTTCTGTTAAAATATTGGTAATTTTTTGCATATCAGTGTCTCCAGTCTCAGCCTTCCCGGTAAGGTCTATGCCAGGGTACTGGAGAGGAGAATCCGGCCGATAGTCGAACCTCGGATTCAGGAGGAGCAGTGTGGTTTTCGTCCTGGCCGTGGAACACTGGACCAGCTCTACACTCTCCATCGGGTGCTCGAGGGTTCATGGGAGTTTGCCCAACCAGTCCACATGTGTTTTGTGGATCTGGAGAAGGCATTCGACCGTGTCCCTCGTGGTGTTCTGTGGGGGGTGCTCTGGGAGTATGGGGTCCGGGGCCCTTTGCTAAGGGCTGTCCGGTCCCTGTATGACCGGAGCAGGAGCTGTGTTCGCATTGCCGGCAGTAAGTCAGACCTGTTCCCGGTGCATGTTGGACTCCGCCAGGGCTGCCCTTTGTCACCGGTTCTGTTCATTGTGTTTATGGACAGAATTTCTAGGCGCAGTCAGGGGCCGGAGGGGGTCCGGTTTGGGGACCACAGGATTTCATCTCTGCTGTTTGCGGACGATGTTGTCCTGTTGGCTTCATCGAGCCAGGACCTGCAGTGTGCACTGGGGCGGTTTGCAGCCGAGTGTGAAGCGGCTGGGATGAAGATCAGCTCTTCCAAGTCCGAGGCCATGGTTCTCGACCGGAAAAAGGTGGCTTGCCCTCTCCGGGTGGGTGGGGAGTCTTTGCCTCAAGTGGAGGAGTTCAAGTATCTCGGGGTCTTGTTCACGAGTGAGGGAAGGACGGAATGTGAGATTGACAGGCGGATCGGTGCAGCTTCGGCAGTGATGCGGTCGCTGTATCGGACCGTTGTGGTGAAGAGGGAGCTGAGTCGAAAGGCGAAGCTCTCGATTTACCGGTCAGTCTTCGTTCCTACTCTCACCTATGGTCATGAGCTCTGGGTAGTGACCGAAAGGACGAGATCGCGGATACAAGCGCTCGAAATGAGTTTCCTCCGCAGGGTGGCTGGGCGCTCCCTTAGAGATAGGGTGAGGAGCTCAGTCACACGGGAGGAGCTCGGAGTAGAGCCGCTGCTCCTCCATGTCGAGAGGAGCCAGTTGAGGTGGCTCGGGCATCTGTTCCGGATGCCTCCTGGGCGCCTCCCTCGGGAGGTGTTCCGGGCATGTCCCGCCGGGAGGAGGCCCCGGGGAAGACCCAGGACACGCTGGAGGGACTATGTCTCTCGGCTGGCCTGGGAACGCCTCGGGGTCCCCCCGGAGGAGCTGGAGGACGTGTCTGGGGTGAAGGAAGTCTGGGAGTCCCTGCTTAGGCTGCTCCCCCCGCGACCCGGCCCCGGATAAGCGGACGAAAATGGATGGATGGATGGATGTCTCCAGTGTCTCTGTGCGTGGCCCCTCCCACCAGAGCAGCACAAATGAAGACTTGTCTCTTTCCAAATGCTCTTAAAGGATGATCATTTTGACTGTTGACCATGACACCCTCATCAGCAAAATGTCAAAAATGAGAAAAGTGGAGCCAAGTGCAGGATTTAAAAAAAAAAGGACTTATTCCTATTTACATACAAGTTCATGTTAAAACATTGTGTTGAAATTGCATTTTTCTTAAAGTTTCAGGTTGTTCATAATATTATAATATTTTGTAAAAAGAAAAAATTCATCAATTCAAAAAGATTTCTGTAATAGATTTGCGTTTCTCTACACAAATATTTGAACTTATTGTTATTTTTGGGGTTTATATGAGTTTTCTGATCCGGCCCCTTTGGGATCAAAGTAGGTTGGATACGGCCCCTGGACCAAAATGAGTTTGACACCCCTGCTCTAAATCATCGCGTTACATACACTGAGTGTAGGGCAGGTCTGTCACTAGCATTACAATGACCTCATGTATTATGACCTAATACATTTATTTGAGTCACTATTTACAGATATTGTACTTTCTTCCCACTGTGAGTAATATGTCATGTTTCATCTTCGTAATTGCATTAACTTTAAATGACAAATCAGATGTTTCGTCCAGTTACTTTTAAGTTACTTGAGGAGTAGTTTCCCGAATACTTTTACTCTTAGCTACATAACATATTTTTTCGACTTCTACTTTTTACTTAGACTTGACAAATATTTTTTGAAGTAACGCTACTCTTAATTTAGTATAATTTATGCCCCCCAATTTTCATGGACTTTAGTGACGGCAACATTGACTAACAGCTAAGTTAGTTATCTTACTACTACTTAGCTTACTACTACTAGCATCAGGCCAAATATATTTACCATTTTTATGAATTAAATTAACTGCAGAGTGTCCTAAAAAGGTAAAATAATCTGACCCGGGGCATGTGAGAGTTCGGGTGGTTGGACTTGAGGCTCGTTGATTTCAGGAAAAGCAAACGCTGTTAGTTTAGCTTAGCTTCGGACGGTGAAATGTGGCTTCTCTCTCGGACTGAAGCTCTCCCGCTGGAAACGTTACAAAGCCCAACACTGATGTAGTGTAATATTCAAAATAGACACTTTCTTAGTGTTTGTCGTGAACACTGTGAATCAACAACTAATTATTTTATTCTACAGTACTGTCATAGTTGAAATAACTCTTGACTATGTTGAAACATATCTGGATATTTTTCTCTTTTCTCACAACAACACCAACACCGTGAATTTAACACTTTTGAGTTTGCTGTGTCCGGTCACTGCTGAACTCCATATATAATTAAGAAGTTTTCAAATCATTTTAATCCATGTGTGACCTTTCATTTTGCAGTTAGTTTATATTCATATGTTTTCTGTGTTTTCAGCTCAGCCCATGCACTGGATCTATAACCCCGACAAGCTCAAAGAGGTGCTGTCCGGGCTGGAGCCCAGTCCCGAGTTCAGACCAGAGTCAGCCAATCCCTTTTACAGGAGGAACACCGGAGAACAGACCTGCTACGGAGATCAGGCCTATGTACTGCTCAAGTCTCTCAGTCAGTGTGGAGGTATGAGGAGGTCTATATTAAGCCTACACCGTAGATCTAAATGACAGGAGGAATAAATATGTATGAAGTGTGAAAACTTTCAACTGCTTCCTCTCCTCCAGTGCAAAACTGTTGTGTGAAGGTCACATTCAAAAAGAAAAATACATTGATAGATAATGTTCAGTTTATACATGACATGTTTCAGTTGAATATTTGAGAACACTGTAATAATATATAATTATAAGTAACTCTTTTCATCTAAAGAAAGAATAAGTAAAAAAGAGTAGACTATTTAAAAGCACAAAAAATATACGTTGTTTAGAAACTTTGACCAGTAAAGAATCAAAAATTTACTTTTAGAATTTACTAAAGTTGAGCTTTAAGCCATGATATAATGTAGTTATCTCCTCATAACCATACATGGAGTTGTGTTTTGTTTCATTCACACATGTTATGGTAATCATTTATTATTAGCCTGTCTCCAAAAGCTCTATTCCACCATGCAATGTCATGTAATGGTAGTTTTCATGTTAACGATTACATTTTACCTTTAGTTCAGTAGACTGACTTTTCCAGGACTGAAATTATTCAAATGATTTTAGTGAAGGTGTGTGGAGTTTGGAGCACTTCCTGTATTAACATATGAGATCACAAGGTGGAAGGTGAGTGTTTTCTGTTTGAGAGCAGGGTTACAGGGTAAGCAGGGTTTATACATTAAAGGTGTGTGAATGAAACAAACACAACTCCAGGTATGTTTGTAATGTTTGAAACCATATTATAACAGAGATTAGAACATTGAGTAACATGGGTCCTTTAATATCAAAATAACTTGTGAACTTTTTTAATTTGTTCTGCAGATGTGGATGTGGCAGACCTGATCAAGCGCTTCTATGAGTTCTTCGGTCCCGGGACAGTTTACGATCTTCCTCTGAACGACCCTTACAGACAAAAAGGAGGTACTGTCTCTTTAAATGAAACACATGTTATGTAACAGACAACAAAAACCTAGTGTCAAGTCCACCTGTCCAAACTATTAGCCCAGCTCGAGGGGGATAACTCTGACTCTGTGTCGTCTTTTTCCTGTCTGTGTCTATGGGGAATTTCCTCTCCGAGAATTATTCCATTTCCTCATTTGTTTTACTGGTGTGTTTTTGTTGTGGCAGTGAAATGTAAATCTACAAGCATGGTAATCCATTTTATCAACACAGAGTATCCCAGTGGAGTCTAGACACGGGGCTTGCTGCTTCCCTTTACGGTTGTCATGGAGAGATAAATATGGTCAATGAAGACCACACAGATACTGCACTGTTGTATTATTACTACAAAATACTTTGAATATGTATTTGTATATGAAAGGGCCCACAGAATACTATTTTCTGATCTACTGCATGTTTTAATGTCCTCCATCGCAAATATACATGTTTAACACACAAATGCTGCATATTATAGAGTTCTTGCCTCAAACAGAAAAGTTCCACCTTGTGATGTTATACGGTAATGCAGGAAGAGCTCCACTGTTTTTGTTTGTTTGTTTGTTTGTTTTTTTTCAGTTCACCTTAACTAAAAATCATTACCCATTTCTATTGAACTAAAGGTAAAAAGTAGCTGTTAATGTGAAAAATGCTACTACATCATATTACAAGGTGGAACAGAACTTTTTGAGCTTTGGTGATGTAAACAACATAATAATAAAGAGTAACTCAACAATAACTCTAGGTATGTTTTTAATGAGATAAAAACATTCTAACATGGCTAAAGTCTCACAAGACTCAATTTTGCGTAATATAGGACCTTTAAACTATTTATGAATATTGGAATGGCTGGACAGATGGAAGAAAGGGCTCTATCTTCTGCCATTGAAATCTATCCAATCTCATAGGTCCCAAAGCCATCCTACCCATCAACGGTCCATGGAGACACAGCAGTCTGAAGCATTTCATGAAAAATGTGGACGCTGGGAAGAAAGAAACAGGTATAGTCACTAGTCTATGACTAGACATACACTTTTTTATTATGTTTGTGCACTCATAGTGTTGGTGATATTACACAAAATGAGTCAAGTTTGTTTTCTTATATTGATGTTTCATTCAATTTTATTTTGTCTTATACAAAAATATTTAATACTAGTTTTATGAACATAAATGACTATGGTTAAAAGTATGTATTTAACGCATACACAAAAATCCTTGCTCCGAAGCCTGAACTCTCCTCTGTACATGACAGAGGCTTGGCTGTTGATTAAAAAAAGTCACATCACTAGCATATCATTGACGATTAGACATGTTTGAATGTCAGTTAAAATATGATTAACTGAACATGGCCCTGACACTGTTATGCTTTAAGGTTCTGAGACGGACTGCCAGATAGACAGTGTGACTAAACTGGCACCCCTAGTGGCCATGTTTGCAGGGCGTCCTGAGATGCTGGACAAAGTGGAGACAGCTGTGAGAGTGACCCAGAACAATGACGAGTGTGTGGCTGTGACTTTGGCTGCAGCGAGGTAAACACTAACTACATTATGAAGATTCAAGTGGAAAGAGAAAGATTGAATACACTGATGTCTATGGTAGGATTCTGGAGCACTTTGTCCTTAATGGTCCCGATCCGAACGTTCTGAACGTCGTTCTGGATCAACTGAAAAACCCAAATAGGAAGAATCCACAAGACCTGGACAACGCTGTCATTGGTAAAACTTCACTTTCAACAGTTGGGCTGCTTCATTTGAGATAAAAAAAAAAGTCTATGATCATTTGTAAATGTTAGCATTTATCTACATTTAACTGATACGAAACTGTAACATAACACATTTAACAGGCATATTATGACATTAAGACATTAAATTTGTAGCCTGCACTCTACTGAGTTTGCAAGTCCCTTAAACTGCAAATCTATAGAGCATGTCTCACGTGAAAGTTCAGATCCTCCAGAATTCCCTCACTGAGCTGCAGAGGGTGCACTAGCACTCATTCATGATTGTCTGTAGGTGTCGGGGTTTAGTTTTAGATTTAAACCAACTAGATTCAGTCATAAGAACTGGCAACCTAAATGAGCGACTCATGTCAGGCTAATGTCAGCTTTCTGATGGCATAATCTATTAAAGAACCAAAAACACCAAATGGCAGTGTAAACAACTTGGCCATCATGTCCAGTGTTTATGTAATTAATAAACTGAGAAATTTTATCAGTAAAATCAATATTTAATTTGAACATCTTTGCCTTATCTGCAGACACAGACAGTAGAAATACAAACTCTAAACTATACACATAAATATACTTTAATTAATCCAAATATCATGATTAAATAGGTGCAGAGGAAACACTAACTGAACACCATCACTGACAAATGAATTCACTTTTATATAACTGAAGAGCATTGGTAGCTTGCCCTCTGTAAATCCTGCTTGAGGCCCATAGGTGCTCCTATAGACTCATTGTTACTAACAGCACAATAGAAGCACAGGATGAATACATATAGTGATTATTCTGAGCTGCTGGAGAATGTAAACATCTCAAACAGTGCCTGAGATTCTCTGTCTCTCCACAAAACCGTGTCGTATTTCATTTCTCTGACGGCCAAAACCCATTTTATGTGAACCTGAAATTGCTGCCTGTAGCCTGCATTTTCTTATTTACTCCTGGAGGATGGATTTGATGTGAGTCTTGTTTGAATAATGCAGGAAGTCTTTTATTATGCTCTTTACTCTGCTCTCAATTCATCTCCCAAACAAGCAACGCACTTATCCTCTGAGCGCACCACGTAAGCAAATGTTCTTATAGAGGAAGTGTCTACTGCATTCAAAGTGTTCGAGTGAATAAGTCAAGTGTAGTTTAACTCAGTAATAAAAGTACAGTTGTCACCGTAACATTTTAAACTCGATTTCTATACTAAGGAAAAAATTTTATATCACAATGATGAAAAAAACACTTATAATCAAAATAATAGTGCTATTTTTTAAAGGTGCATTGTTACAGCATTACGCTACAATTCAGATCTGCAGAGAGTCAAGTACAGGTGACTTTATTGCTCAAAAATACCTAGGAAAACAAGAATTCTGTGAGCACAAATCTGACCACTAACTTAGCCTGGTTTGCTCTCCATGATGATAAAAATGTTTATAGCCACACTGTAAAACATTTCTGACATAGCAATAACATGTCCTTGGAGTAGAGACTTTGACGGACCCTCCACCAGAAAAGTTATACAATGCACCTTTAAGTATCAATTTAATTAGTATCAAATTTTTTCCCCCTTTTAAGAACACTATATAGAAGTTATTTGCTTTTTATGTTCTAGCTCAACTGAGGGAAGTGAAGGACAACCTCTCCAAGTCATCCCAAGAGCTGATACCTGCAGTCTTCACAAATACATGAGGTATAAACCTGTGGGGGGCAGAGGGAGGGGAGCAGAGGGGAGGGGGGTGGGCAGGTCTGTTGGCTTGGCTCAGTTCTTTCTTTGGGTTTTCTGTGATCTTCTGCCTAAAATGACTTACCTCCTCTGGCATTTTCATTGGCGGCTCTTCACTGGACTGTGTGTCTGTCTACATATGAAGAATTTCAGAAACCAAGCAAAACATTGTGACAACCTGCAACATCACCTTTAATAGAGCAATATGTTATAACTATCTATCTTGCACCTTTATATCTTTTATAAAGGTACATTGTGTAACTTTTCTGGTGGTGGGTCCATCAAATACTTTTCTTCATGGATTACAGGCCAGATCTGTGGAGAGGCAATCCCACTCACAGTTAAAATGACAGTTTGTTTTTTTTTTTAGGTATTTTTGAGTTATAAAACCAACTGTAATTGAATAAGGTAGATCTGTTTAATGTCATACTGTGGAACATTCTAACAGAGCAATGACATATCCATAGAAACAAGCAGGTGACAGACCCCCAGCCGAAAAGTTACACACTCTGCCTTAAAGCATTAATCCAATATATAACATTTAGATAGAAAAAATAAGATGATAGATTTATTAAAAAGGTGTATTGTCCACATGAAGGATATACACTACTTTAAGGATAAACACTACTTGTTTGTCTCCATGGAAATGTGATTGCTTTGCCTGGAAAGTTTCACAGTATAAAATTAAACTTATCTTTCTTACATTTATACAGTTTTATTGCTGAAAAACTTGCATTCTTACTACAAATGGCCTGGTCAGTGGCCATACCAGCTTGTCAAAGCCTGATCCCGTCAGATCTCAGAAGCTAAGCAGGCTGAGCCTGGGTAGTACTTGGATGAGAGACCACTAGGAATTCCAGGTGCCACAGTGGGGCGCCAGTGGCAGAAACTGTCGTTGTGTCCTTAGGCAAGACACTTCACCCACATTGCCTAGTATGCAAGTGGTGTGTGCATGAGTGATGGTGGTGGTCGGAGGGGCCGAAGGCGCCGATTGGCAGCCTTGCTTCCGTCAGTCTGCCCCAGGGCAGCTGTGGCTACAGTAGTAGCTTACCACCACTGAGTGTGGAGTGACTGAATAATGAACTGTAAAGCGCTTTTGGGTATCTTGAAAGGCGCTATATAAATGCAATCAATTAATAAATGGGGTTGTAGTGGCACCTTGTCTCTATGGAGAATATACTGTGGATCACTGGACACTGCACCAGATAAGTTACATCCTCAACTTTAAAGTCACGCGTGCCTTATCAGAGGCACAAAGTTAATGTCTGAACCCTATTTTATTACATTTGCATGGTCTCATATCTGCACATCGGCCTATACTTTTGGGCAGGTGATTTCCAAGCAAGGTTTTAAAAAAACTGTACTAGTATTTATACCTTATTTATTTACCATTACCTTATTTATTTATTCATTTATTTATTTTATTTTATTTTATTATTATTATTTTTTTTTTTTATAGTGCAGGCGTACTCAAATCCTTTAGGTACTTTATTATTTATTTATTTATTCATTTATTAAAATGCACAAATCTAGTGCCAAATGTAACTTTTTGGTCACCTGCTTGTTTCTATGGATATGTCATTGCTGTGCCTAGAATGTTACACAGTATGAGATTAAACAACTCCACAATCATTTAATTACAGGTGGTTTTAGAGCTCAAAAAATACTTAAAGTTACACAATGCACTTTTAAAAAACAATGCACCTTTAAAAAAACAACAGAGGGTATAAATGCTCAATTTAATCGTGTCAGTCGTAAAACACTAAAATCAGTAAAATCAAATAAAAGCAAACCAGTAAAATAGCATCAGATAAATAAAAACAATAAAAAACCTAATAAAACTCCGATGTCAGTTTCAGCTTGATAACCCACTTTATTATTCACTTGCAGCTTTGCCCGGTGCACTCCAGGGGGCGCTCCATGGGGTCCTGACACAGACACAGCTGGACGAGGCTGTGAGGGACACCATGCGCCGCGGGGGGTGCACTTCCAGCCGCGCCTCCTTCATCGGGGCCTGCTTCGGGGCTCAGGTATGTTTGCTGTGGGCGGGTAACTGGAGTACAGGGGGGAAAGGGGGAGACGGGCTGCGGGTCTGTTTTTAAAGAGAATAAGGAAGAGTGAAGATGAGGCCAAGTTCTAATTTGTAATGCAAACAAATAACAAAAATACTGAGCAATATTTCACATGCTACAGTATATTTTCTTTACTCCTTCCTTGTTTTTGCTATCTGGTGACAAATAGAACAAGAAATACAGTGTGCAGGCATACTCTAATCTAAACAAATATACTTCTCAATGAGTGGGATTGCCTCTCCACAGATCTGACCTGTAACTTGGTCTAGTCTCTGTAAAGATAGAAAGGTTTATACTGTGAAACATTCCAGACAAAGCAATAATATTCTTATTTCGTAATTGTGTTTTAGATTTTTGAAGTTGTTATTTTGTAGAGGCAGACACGATATTTGACAAACTCTGCACCAGAAAAGTTACACAATGCACCTTTAATTCATTTAATTATATTTATTTGTAATAGGTTGTATTTCACATTTTTCAGCTTTGACATATTTGTATTTGACTTCTGTTACAGACTGGTCTTGAGGGAATCCCGGAATCGTGGAGGAAGCGAACTTTCAGATATCCCGAACTGCTGGAGCTGGCACAAAATGTAGTTGCAAAATATCAAAAGGATAAATAAAAATATACTGCTTTATTAGCTTTTACGCAAGACATACCCGTACTTTGATCGAGGAGTTCATGACAGTTTTGTTCTCAAGTATCACACTGAATGAAACTTGAAGTAGTTTTCTCCAAATCATTGTACTAAATGTGTGTCAGCAAGAAAATAAAGACTATTTAAGTCCAGTACATTTGTTTTTGTTCCTCTTTGCTCATTGTAAGTCAGTGGATGGTTATGGTTTCCTCATTCCAGAGAAACAAAATATGCTACACCCTGATGAGAAAATAATTATGCTAAGAAATGGTTTTGTTTTTCTGTTTTTATTAAAGTGAAAAAACAGAAGCATAAGATTTACTACTGGAACAACACGAGACTGCAACTGACTCCAGCCTCTTCTTCAAAAGTGCTGACTCCTGTGAACGCCCCAGCAATGTAAAAAGGTGGCCAAGAATGAAACAGTGCCAGAGACTTGATATCACTGACATAATGCAGTTTTCTTATGGCTTCTGTAAATCCTCAGTAGATAGATAAATGAAAATGGAACTACTGAATGTCCTTCAGTATAATAACATTTGGATGAAATTTAAACCCTGAATTACTTATCAAAGGTATTATATTACACAAAATTTACTCTTGTGAGATGTAAGGGTGAACTGTATAACTTTTCTGGTAGAGGGCCCACTACCTCCTTGTTTCCATGGAGATTTGATTGTTTTGCCTTGTTTTTGTTTGGCATTTATTCATTTACAGATGTTTTTTTACACTTAAGATACCATGAAACACAGGCATTCATATGACACTGTTTACATCTCCAACGCTCAAAATGATCTGTTTCAAATGGTTGATGTTGTGTAGTGGCTTTTTACCTTTTCTTTGCAAAGACTGGCAATTCAGAACTGAAATGATCCAATTATGACATATAAAAAAATTGTATAATATGACCCCTTTAAAGAACACATAAATTAGATTAGATATTTTAGAGATTTAATTATTTTAGAGCAGAGAACGTGATGAATTTAGACATGTATAGGCTACTGTTCCTGTCCCAAAGAAGGACATCCAGCAAACTTTCAATGATGAGTAGGCTATTGTTATGACAAAAAGATTTCAAACATGACTAACAATACATACATACCCTGGTTATACAGTGACAAATGTACAATGGATGAACAAACCTTTTGATATCATCTAAAAGGCTAAACTTGGGTCTGAGTCTTTTAACACAAAGTAATCCCAGCTCTCTCTGTGCCCTGTGGCCCTGACTTCCTTTCACAGCAGGGAGCAGCTTCTGGTGTTATAATCACAACCAGACCTCAAGTAACTATGCATGTGCAAAAGTTGAGGAGAGATACACAATATGTTGTGGTTAGTCAATAGCCTTTTATTGTAGGTTATTAATATTAACTTAAACAGCTTCCTGAGTTATTAATTGGATTCATTAACTATTTATTAATGGGCTGTTACAGACTTTGTCAGTGTCATCAGAAACAGTAGTTCAATGGGATTTAAACAGCCTAGCATAGACTTGAAATAGCCTATTAATGAATAACAACTTAAAACTGAATGTTATATAACGTCAATGGGAAGTCCTCAAAATGTTGCTATAATAGGCTATCTACTGTCTAGGCATCAGTGCATGAAAGATAATAAAATGCAATACAGAGGCTTTGTTTCGCAATTCAAATCCAGGTTATTTTTATCACAGTCATTTTCCTGCAATTTTATTACATGTTTCGCTCTCCTGAAACACCACATGACACGAACTCTGCAAAATATTCCCAATACAGCAAATTGATTTATTAGGCAAGATACTACTGTTATCTGTGGTAATGTCGTCGCTTATCCACAATTATTATTCCAACTACTTATTCCAGCTATCGACTTTTTGAAATATACTAAAATATAGTTAACAACACAAAATTTTGATGCAATTAATATGTGTAAATATTAACTTTGACACTGCTACGTAGTTTTTTTAATGTTTCAGTTTATTCGCCGTTTGGACAAATAGTTACCTCATCTTGCTGTTTACACGCTCTTTGGCAGACTCAACAGCTGGGTGGAACTACGGGCAAAAAAGTTGCTTCAATGACATTTTCTTTTGAGATGGGAGATTAAAGCCTAGCACAAGGAAACATTTGTACTGTATATTTATTGTGCTGTTTTTATCATGGATTTTAACGTGAAGCGGTTAGCAGCGGACGCCGGTACCTTCCTGAGCCGTGCGGTACAAGTAAGTTTCCGCGTTATTTTGTGGAAGTTGACGCTAACCAACTTAGCTTTTAGCATAGCCGAGTAGCATTAGCTCCAGGGTCGTCCACATTGTGATTATAAAGCTTACAAATCTCTTATTACCTATGGCATGACTTCAGACTGATAAAAGATGCACAGTTAAAGTGTATATTTTACAAACCTCAGAACAGATCATTGCAAGGCTTGATTTATTTCTTAGTATTAGTCACAAATTAATAGATACCACTAAGCAGGCCTCTACAACCGTAATGTAATATTATTTAGGAACGAGGTAGACTTTAGATCACTTTCTTTAGCAGTTTTGGTCAAATAACCAATTGTGTTTTGAGGAATAAATGTTAGGATTTGCTGTAGCTAATGATTTATAAGATGCATAAAAACGTGTCTACCATTAGCGCATCACTAAAGTATTCTCACAATGTATTTTCCTGTTTTAGTTTACAGAGGAAAAACTTGGCCAGGCTGAGAAGACTGAGTTGGATGCTCACTTGGAAAACCTTTTGATCCGAGCAGAAAACACCAAACAATGGACAGAGCGGATTATGAAGCAAACAGAAGTGCTATTACAGCCCAATCCAAGTAAGTTTACATTGTCATTTTCATCTTCTCAGTGTAAACTTAACATATCTGTAGTAGAGTGATAGTGGCATGATTTTTTTTTTCCTGTTAGCATCTTATACTAACTCAATTAAACCAGCATAATAGGTCTCAAGCATTTGGCACTAATAATTGTGTTTATTTCGTGGGCAAATTATTACATGTTAGATGAATTTGATCTTAAACATAAGCATAATGTGTTTTGGGGCATTCTTTGTAGTGTATTTGTTTACCCAGCTGTGCATCCTCACACTATGTTGCCATATTTTTTTACGACAACTATAGTAAAGAAAAAATAAACAATAGAACCATCTGCTTATCGTCTTTTGCCACTTCACCACATTCAAAACCCTTAAACTATTATAATATGCAGGAGAATTACTTTAGTTTAGATTTTGTTTTTAATTAAAGTTTATGGGAGTCATGTAATGCTTTTTAATGTGTGGGGACTGTGTACTGCCCCTCCCCGACAAATTTCCTCCTAACTGTAATCTTATGACTTGTAATTGAATTTTCTTGCTGCAGATGTCCGACTAGAAGAATTCGTGTACGAGAAGCTGGAGAAAAAGGCCCCCACGCGGCTGAACAACCATGAGCTCCTGGGCCAGTCCATGATCGAAGCTGGGAATGAGTTTGGTCCTGGGACAGCGTACGGTGAGAAACTATTGAAGTAACACCACAAAGAGGAACTGGAAAATAAGGCTGTAATTTCATACACTTGTAATTACAGCCTCTGTGTATTGGCTTTTGTTTTGGTGTGATTACACCGACACCCACTTAGATTCAGTGTTTGTTTTTGCACTGTTTTCTCACATTCATTCAGGCTAACAAACAGTGAAGATGATCATGCTTGTTGTATAAAAAGGCACTTGTGATAGAGTGAAAAGCAGTTCAAAAAGGCGCCTCTGACATTTCTTGACCTCTTATCACGAGTACGTCTTTATACTACAAGCATGGTCACCTTCAATGTTTGTTAGCTTTTCAGCCTTGCCCTTGAGGACCACATGTTCTAGACTTTCAACTCATGTTTTTATTAATTCAATGTATTTTAAGTATTAGATTGAAGTCATTTTTAAACCTCATGCAAAGCTGGCTATGTGGCATTATTAGAATTTATTGCTGTGATTATTGTGAAAGGAAAACAACTTGACTTGAAATTCATCCATCCATTTTCTTCTGCATATCCAGGGGCGAGTTGCAGGGGCAGTAGTCTCAGCAGGGACTCTGGGACTTCCCTCACTCCAAACACTTTCACTTGAAATTCGATGTTAATTTATGTGTTCAATGAAATATCAAAGAATTTGTTTTTCATCCACCCTTTCCTTTGCCTGACCAGCCAGGCCCTTCTACACTCTGATCGAAACCAGAAGGGACTGGAACTGGACCATAGAGCGTGAAAAAACTCCGTCCAAACTTGAGACGATCTCCAATTACAGCCCTTAATTTGTAAGAAGTCTCTCAATTGCAAGACCCCTCCTCTTGAAAATTATTTTAACATTCAGAACAACAGATATAACTTCTTTTACCTGAGATAAGTAATAGTTTTGTGCTTTGATTGTTTATTGATGTAAAAATCTGTGCGTTTCACAGTCCTTTATGTAGCTTTTTTCAAAAAAATTTATGTGTAAGCAGCAGCCATGTTTGTTTTTGATGTGAAACGAGCATGTGTCTCTTGGTTAACTTGTAAACCTGTCAATCATGCCCTCTCGAATCGGAGAGATAGAATACGATACGAGGATACCAATGCGTCTTTGTAAAGTTTTGTCGAAGTGATTGGTTATGGCTGGTTAGGTAACTACTTCATACACATCAGCATCTACTAAAGACAGAATAATTGAGGACCCACATATTAATCTTATCATTCCTTACATCTCTTCTCCGTGCCGTAATCACATACCATTTTCATGTTGAGACTTTCCACTGTGGTATACTGTTTTGCTTAGTGTTATAAGAGTTTGTGAAGTAATTTGTTTTTTTGTGCCTTTGCAGGAAATGCTCTGATCAAATGTGGTGAGACGGAAAAACAGATTGGAGGAGCAGAGCGAGAGTTAATCCAAAGTTCTGCCATCAACTTCCTCACCCCTTTTAGGAACTTTCTGGAAGGTGACTTCAAAACCATCCTGGTGAGTTGGCTCTTGTTTGATGGTCTATTATTGATTTTAAATGGAAACTGTTTGACTTATAAATCCAAAAATGCACAAGGGAATCATTATTATTATCTAAAGACCAACACTAACTGATACGGCATACACTTATCTGTCTCCATGGAAACAACCAGGTGAAGGTGAAGTTATAGGTTAGATCTGTGGAAAAGTGACCCTTCTCACAGTAAGAATACATGTTTCTTAAGGTACTTTTTAGCTATAGCAACAACTGAATAAACGTGACAAGACAAGTTTAATGCCATACTGTGGAACAACCCAGGAAATACATGCAGGCAGTTTCCATAGTGCACCTTTAATGTCGAAGTGATTCTTGTGTAAGCGTATTGTATTCTCCCACATATTTGTGCTCATGGCCGTGTTTCAGTTTCATTTTAATGTGGATGTATTTGAAAGTCCTTATCAGCTGTGACCAGAGCCCTTCCTGCCTCTTTGTCATTGCTGATGCTTTTTCTCTCCAACAATGTCTGTCTCGTAGAAAACACGCCCACGCACTGTACAGCTGTGAATGCAAATTAATGTTATTTTTCAAAAAGTTAAATCATTTATATTTTATTTGTTTTGCAGAAAGAGAGAAAGTTGCTCCAGGTTAAGCGTCTGGATTTGGACGCAGCTAAAACAAGGCTAAAGAAAGCGCGGATGACGGACGCTAGAGCCGCAGTAAGTGCAGAGAAAGCTTTTAGGTGATATTGAACTGTTTATAATAATTTGAGATGACATTTTGACATCTTTTTGCTGATTGGCCGCTGTGAATTTTTTTTGCCCCAAAGTTCTTCCCCATGTACCTACTTATTGTTCAATATATGTTAGCCGGAACAATATTTTTTGAGGTCAGTATTTATCGTGTGTACATTTTCTTTGCACTACTTGGAAATTTATAGTTATTTTTTGGCTATATGAGAAGATTTAAAGCCATAAAAGTTGAATTCATAACTTAATTACAGATGCAATCCACATACTAAAGTGTTGTATTCTGCTGTTTTTAACAATAGTGTAGATTTAAAATAGTTTTTGGTGGTTAATTGTGGTCTTGAGTTGTTTTGTCAGTAGATAAAGTGAGTAGTAGTAAAATGAGTTTTAATATTATCATTTATCATCTATATTTACTGCAGCAATAGATCGCACTTCAAAATGTATTATCGTGACCGGCCTAAGTACACTTGCACAAATAAGATGGCAAATTTAGTTCAATACTGAGACTAAACAAACTCTACAGGTCTGTAACTGTAACTCAAACCAGATTCAAACTAGAGTGTGAATGCACTATATAGTGAAATATACTTCTGTTGTTTAGGCTATAATGTTGTTTAAAATCGATCCTGCATCTCAACACAGATGTATTCTAACTACTATCCAGCTTTCATTATAGTAAAATAACTCATTGTTAAGTGTACCAACAACTCAGATGTACAAAGTGACTAGTGAATATTGAATGTACCAGTATGTTACTTCTGTGATGATTGACGGGCGTTATGTTTCTGTTTTGGCCTGTATCACATGAGTCGACTTCCTCTTTCTCACCCCAGTGCCCCCTGTTTCTACAGAAGCTTTTTTCACTTGAATTCAGTTAGTTTGATTGCCTGTTTAATGGCCGTATGGTTTCACGCTCTTTTCAAAATATATTGTGACACAACCATTGATTTTAGACTTAAAACTCTCCATATTTGAGGTGTAACTTGAGTGTGTAGTCTAGCCTCTAAAGACATTGGTAATTGCCTGGAAAATTTGGGAATCTGAGACCTGCATTCCTGTAAATGGCTATTTCTGTTTTCATTAATTACGTCTCTTCTCAAAAGTTTGCTTTGTGAAATCTTTTTAAGCCCACTTCCCTTTCCAAATTGTGTGTAAAATTGATTTAAACTACTATTATTAATGTTGAGTCCAAGCCAGTCTTGAGGGCTCTGTAAAATAAATGGACATATCGCCTCACAACAGGGGTATTTTGCAGCCGTAAATTAAAAGCATTTGAGTTTAATTTTTCCACGAAATCCCATCTGAGATCTGGTGAGTTTTTTAACTTCAGAACTATTATTCTGTTTATTCTTTTTGGCATGTTAACAGCTGTGGTTTATAGGAACTTGTCAACACACGGGGTTTTGTAATGACCTTGACAATTTAACAATGCAAAAACACCACAGTAACTTCACCGAGACATGGAAACATCTCACCTATGCTCTTGTGGTTTATGGTTATTACACTAGGTCTGGTTTTGTGTTAGTTTCAATTACTTCAACTAAAAGAACAGCAATATAATGTGAATTCTGGTGCTTTTTTGAGTCTTGGCTGTCTGCTGGTGAGGCAGCTGTAGCTCTAACCACTGTGTCACTGTTTTTAAACTCTAAGCTGCAGATGTGAGCGGAGGAAGTGACCGAGGTGAGTGGAATGTGACGGATGATTTTTTTTTTTTTAATACACTCTTTGACTAAACAAAATATTCTTCTCATTGTAAGAATAAGGAATTATCAAAATAAAAATTTGTATGGCGGCAATTAAATAGAAGAAGTTAGAAGTTAGAAATAGTGCAATTATTTGAATAACAATATGTAACTTGAAGACAATACATGATCCTTGTATGTATGTATGCATGCATGTATCGATACTCTACACACATTAGCAAACACCGGCAAAAAAGTTGTTAAATAATCTGAAAACTAAAAAGAAAAATACAAAATGGATTTAAACATCACATTTTCAGGAGTGTGTGATCAATATAAGCGTTCATGGTCGTGTTTAGAAGATTGATTTTCAACAAAAGGTGAGAGTGACTAACTTGTGACTCTAATTTTATGTGTGACAGACTTGTTTAACCGAACAAAGTCAGCTCACTTGTTGTTGTTCCTATTAAATCTGCTCTTTCTGGTCAGATTGGTCTAAAATTGTGTTGAGATTAAAGTCTAACAAGTTTCAGAAAGGGCAATACTTACTATTAGCACCACAAGTATCAGTTAGTTTATCAGCTCATATTTCTGTCTTTTCTCAAATGTAAGACCCCTGGATCAGTTTATTTTAAAAAGATAAATTGCAGTAAAACCTTTTGTAGCACTGTCTCCTCCTGGTCTAAGTCTGTGCCATCTTTAACATACAGATGCTTCCAACCAGTTACTGCTATAAACTACTGCTATTGAAAATGTAGATATTTAGTCCACAGTCATTCAGCCCACCATGTTTAGTGTATTTGAGGACAGTAAGGCCATTCTTCTTTTTGTTCTTCTTCTCTCGTACAAAATCTGGTGTGGTTTATTTATTGGAAATCTGGTCTCAAGATGCCAGTTTGCAGCCACACTTTAGTTCGACACTTGCAATGTTAAGAATGGAGAATGAAGTCACTACAGATATTTTGTTGAAGTTTTGTTTTTGTGATTTATTATTATTATTATTTTTGGCTTGTTTATCAATACCACACACAATTCCAGTAGTTTCTTATGTACAACTGGAACACAGTAAAATGCATTTTTCTCTGTTTTTGTGTTTAGGCCGAACAGGAGCTACGAATGACACAGAGCGAGTTTGATCGACAGGCAGAGATCACCAGACTGCTGCTAGAAGGTGTCAGCAGCACTCATGTATGGACACTTTGAACCTTTTATACATAAAAAACATCATAATTTTTCTATAAAATATTTAGCTTTCATTTATTGCGTTTTGTGCCAAAGGTTCATTTCTTATTGTGTTTTTCAGGCACATCACCTGCGCTGTTTGAATGACTTTGTAGAGGCCCAGACCACGTACTACGCCCAGTGTTATCAGTACATGGTGGACCTTCAAAAACAGCTGGGCAGGTAATTCAAAATTAACATTACAAATTATAAAGATTTCAGTTCTCCAGTTTTTCACATAAGGTTTAGATATTAGTGTTTAATAAGTGAGGCACTTTATTGTCTTTTATATCATTTAACAGTATTTTTTTTTTTCTCTAGTTTCCCCTCCTCTTTCTCCAACAATAACCAGTCTTCCGTGTCTGCGGGGGCAAGCAGTATTTCCGTGCCGACGATCCCGGTGTCCGCCTCTCTGCCGAACCCGAGCCGTGGAAGCTCCGCTCCCTCTGGAGGCTTTCATGAACTTCGCAGCTCCAGCGGCAGTCGTAAAGCCAGGGTCCTGTACGACTATGATGCCGCCAGCAGCAGTGAGTTGTCTCTGCTCGCTGATGAGGTGAGACTGTGGGAGAAGTGTATGAAAGACTATCACCAAGATCTTGTAGTGTTTGAGTAATCCTGCATTATTAGTCTGTCTACATGTCCAAAGCTCAAAATGCTCTGTTCCATCTTGTGATGCGATGAAGCAGTAGATTTCATGTTAATGGCTGCCTTTTACCTTCATTTTAGTAGAGATGGACATTTCCAGGTCTGAAATTTTCCAAATAATTCTAGTGAAGGTGTATGAAGTTTTAAAACACAGTGGAGCACTTCCTGTATTACCACATGACATCACAAGGTGGGACATAGTGTTTTCTGTCTGAGAGATGTACTCAGTCTAAATATGCAGGGTTTGTGTGTTAAACGTGTGAATGGAAAAAAAAACACAACTCCAGGTATGATAGTGATGAGGAAACAACAACGAAATACAGCTCCTTTAAAGGAGCTTCTGTGAATTTGAAAGGAAAGGCATACAAAAAATTATATTTTCCTTTTAACCCTGACCTGGTGGGTGATGATAGACTGAGCACAAATAAGCAATAAAAACTACTGTTTTTACTCAAAGAAATACCTTTCTTAATGGAATATATTATCCATAAAATCCTTTGCACTTTGCTTGGGGAGTCTTTGGTATCACTGAGATTGTAAAGATTTTAGAGTTTGTCTAGGAGACCCTTGTGGTGCATTAAGTTGGATCTGACATGTGTTTTCGTAGCAAATGCTTCTCTGAGCTCTTTCTATCCAAGTGGTAAAAGTCAAATTTGCGTGACCGCTGGAACAGTTTCTGCACAGTACGGTCCATTGATGGAAACTTAAGCCCCTCCCATTCTTGGAATCGTATGAACTGGCCATTACCATTCTGTGGTGGCCTAGGAGTGAAGCAGCATTACCTCATGTTTAGGGGCTTTTTCCAGGCCCACATTGTAGTGAGTCAGCTGCTGTACTCTGCTGAGCAAATCAATTTCACAACTTATTCTAAACCAAGCAACTGCTGAATCCGGACAACTCAGAGGCACCAGGAAAATCTGCTCTTAAATGGAAAAAGGGCAAATGCAGGATTGATTCCAGTATGGCAGCTCTATGAATTAATTGTGCGTGTCACTTATTGGTGCTAGTTCATCTTAAAAGGTCTTGCATATTGCATAACTTTTCCAGGCAAAGCAATAACTACGTTTCTACGGAGACAGGCAGGTGGCAGACCCTCAACCAGGAAAGTTACATAGTGAACCTTTTGAGCAGAATTTAAAAAAAAATTTTTTTATAAGATGATATGTCGATGTTAACATAAGAAAGAAGAAAATGTTATAAATATTCTTCTACTTGTTAATTAGGACTGAATGATTTGGGAAAAAATATCTAATTACAACTTTCCTAATGAGCATTACAACTGTGATCTGATTTGCAACGTATGATTAAAATGTTCACTTTTGAAATAATTTGTCCAGGAGAACTGACAAAATGACTGAAATATGCACTGACAAACTAATACAAAAATCCCCTTCCTGAACATGTTTGTACAGATCTAAACCACAGGGTGTTTTAGGGTGTTTTTTTTAATCCAGAGTAAAGCAGAATGTGTTGATGATACATTAAAAAAAATTCTATCTTTGATATTTGCTAATTGTGTCCATTCAAATTGTGATTTTGATTTGATTGCAATTATCCATACAGCCCTAATTTTAATAGATTTTGAATGACAAAATGTGTGGGCAACTATAACCTCCCCTGATGGTAAACACTGCTCCAGTAGTGGACCTCTGCCTTACGTTTCTTTTTATTAGAAATATAAAATGTATCGATAGTAACCCCTTGTTTGTGCCATACAGGTGATCACAGTGAGCAGTGTCCCGGGCATGGACTCTGATTGGCTGATGGGGGAGAGGGGCACTCAGAAAGGAAAAGTTCCCATCACATACCTGGAGCTCCTCAACTAACTGTCCCCAGCCAGCTCTGTGTGTATCTCATATTTATAATGCTGCGTTGCACCTTCTCCAGACATTTCCACCAACTCCTCAAGGGGGCGCTCTTTTAACCCATACTCTGGACTGAATATAACTATAGGAAGGGCAGATGAACACCGCCCTCTAGTGTTTATGAATGAATTGAAACGTGCCTTTTGTATTTGATGCCATACAATTGTTGAGTGATTGAACATCTCCCAAACTCTTTATTTTAAACCTGCATTTGTTTACAGTGTATATCTCAGACGGCCATGGCTTTTACATGAGTAGTTTTGCTTCACTGCGTCTTGAATATTTCTGCAGTGAGTACATTTTAAAGAGCTTGATTTAAGTCTTATTTTATAAAGGATATTTGTACTTCTTGGTGCTGTATTAGCAGTTTGACATAATATTTACCAACATGTTTAGTGCCTTTGCTTTCCCTTTAAACTGTAGTTAAAAACAAGTCAATTGGATAGTGAGATTTCAACACTCTATAATAACTATACTTTAATTAGTCTTTAAAAAGCATGAATAAAGAATGATCAGTGAGTGTATAAAAGAACTGCACAGTCTTATTAACTACATATTAATAGCCAAACTAGAGATCTGATTGATATTTGCACTTCTAAAAATATGTTTAAAGCTTCATTTGAAAACTTTCTAGTCCAAAGACGGCATACTTAGAGGCCATTGATTTCCCTGGATTTTTAACTATTGGCACTGGCAATGAAAAACTTAATTACGTAGTTACTAAGACTAATTATAGAGTAATAGAGTAATTCTTTTAAAAATAACTACTTGTTCATTATAAATTAAGTCTTAGTTCATGCTTTTTAAGGCTCATAAAAGTTAAAGTATTATAAAGTGTCTATTACAATACGACAGTGCCTCAAAATTCTTCAAACTATTGACTCTTTTTATTCTAACCATAATATATCTTAAGTTATTGACTACTAGAACCAGGAAACCATGACATGGCATAAAATTAATGAATCCAGGGGCCTGTAATTGAAACAGTTTTTACATGTATGTATGTATTTTGTATTACTAACCTATCCCTACATTTCACTGATCCAAAGTATTTATGGGTCCATCTTTCATTACACATATGCTCTGTGTTTTAAATATAAACAAAATATTGTAAAGAAAATATACATACTAAAATAAAAAGTGTGTCCATTTGCTTTCAAATGCGTTTTTTCTTTGTATGCTTGTGTTTATAGAGTGTCAGTAGGTGGCGCCAGAGACAACATAATGAAACTCTACTGGTACTGAAATGCATTTTAACATAGTACCATCTGTCAACATGTCTTTTATAACAGCTGAATTTAACTACTAGAAAGAAACAGAAGGAGATTCAAGGCTCTCTGACTTACAATAAAAGTCACTTAACTGCTGTTGGCCTCACAAAAATCTAGACTTAAATATAGTCTAGTTCATAGTTTTCCATGCTAAATGTACACAGCCTCATTCATATGCACTTTGTGGCTGTTTTCTGTCATTTCCAGTTACAATATATCTACATTTCATAGGTGAGAGTATGGTCATGAGCTCTGGGTAGTGACCGAAAGGACGAGATCGCGGATACAAGCGCTCGAAATGAGTTTCCTCCGCAGGGTGGCTGGGCGCTCCCTTAGAGATAGGGTGAGGAGCTCAGTCACACGGGAGGAGCTCGGAGTAGAGCCGCTGCTCCTCCACGTCGAGAGGAGCCAGTTGAGGTGGCTCGGGCATCTGTTCCGGATGCCTCCTGGGCGCCTCCCTCGGGAGGTGTTCCGGGCATGTCCCGCCGGGAGGAGGCCCCGGGGAAGACCCAGGACACGCTGGAGGGACTATGTCTCTCGGCTGGCCTGGGAACGCCTCGGGGTCCCCCCGGAGGAGCTGGAGGACGTGTCTGGGGTGAAGGAAGTCTGGGAGTCCCTGCTTAGGCTGCTCCCCCCGCGACCCGGCCCCGGATAAGCGGACGAAAATGGATGGATGGATGGATGGATGGATATATCTACATTTCACTCATTTAACCAGTTTCTAATTTATATTTTTGGTGCAAAATAACTCACCATAAAAATTAAGAAGACTATTTAAAACAACTTCTGAGTCTTATATTCAGTGGGTGGTTGGCACTGTTCATTTGCATACATACAAGGTGGTGGGCTAAGAGCTCACACAGAGCTCTGAGTCCTGAGCTTGTAAAACAGTAAAATCGCCCTAAAAATAATGTAATTGAATGTTAAAAGTCATCAATGTAAAGTAGATTATCATCTTTAATGCAGCATGGCCTTGTCATTGGCACTATAGTTTTCACAGTCTATGGTGTTTTTGTATTTCTCTATAAATTTTCTCATGAAGTAAAGTTGGCTTTTTGCACAGAGCATATTGTACAGGCCTGAGAAAAAGCACTTCTTCTTTCAGTTGCCTTTTGGTTTCTCTTAAATGTTGCTTAAATACAATGTTAGGAATAACCTTTGAAGTTTGAAATAAAATATGACATTATACACAAAAAGGAAATAGTTCAAACAGTCCATACAAGCTTAAATGTGTACGTTACTTTGCTGGTGTGTGGTCCCACAGCTGCTTGTTTCAGATGTTATTGTTAGAATGTTCCATAGCATGGCATTAGGGATGTAACAAAAACCGAAATATCATGATAACGTATCGTCAAAAGTCTCACAATAATATCGTGGGGTGTCACAATATATCGAATTACAAGTTCCTTTGCTTAAATGCATTTTTTATAGTAGCACTAGCTAATAAACATCAGAAACTACATATCCCATGATTCTTTTCAGAGCAAACATGAATATATGTGTTTTTTACTTGAATTTTTGAGATTATGACTAATAATTCACACCAAATTCTTGTCAAGGTATTTTAAAAGCAAAAAAGCGTCCTATCTACAATTATATCATTACAATAAATAGCATACTGTGAGATGCATATCGTCATAATACTGTATCGAGAATTTTGGATATCGTTACATCCTGATATGGCATTAAATCTATCTCTTACTATGGAGGAAAGGAGGTGTTGCTGTGCAAAGTTACAAGTCAGATCTGTGAAGAGGCAACACAGTTAGAATGTGATGACGTGTTTTGAAGTTTTTGAGCAATAAAAATACATGTAGTTAAACAATTGAGTTAAATGCCATACTGCGGAATATTCCAAGCAAAGAAATGACAGAAGCAAGTAGTGGACCCTCCAAAAAAGGGACACTGTGCAACTTTAACCCTCAGTGAAAATATACAAAACTGTTCAAAGATCTTGTCACCTTTATGTTTGTCTTTACTTTTACACAAGCATGATACTCCAAGCCTTCAATGTCAGTGTAATATTATTCCAAAAGTCTTATATATTTACATTTTTAATAAGCCACAGTGCTATGAGTCATAATAAGAAGTACAATGCTTTTTTGGCCAGAGCCCATAGCCTCTTTTTTCACACTTTTGAATGTCAAACCAAAAATGTTACAAGAGGTACATTAATACACTTTCCATTTTTAATACGCATTAGAAGTTATTTATGGACCTGTTTGACTGAATACTCAATATAAATTCCCCTTTGCCACCAATGATAAAAATAAAAAAAAAGTTTCTTATTTCCTAATAGGTCAGGTCATCGAGGTCAAAATCGGCCTCTTCTGAGTAAAATACTTGTTTATTTCAGTTCATTTTTCTATTAATTTCTATAGAAGGTTTTGATTTGAGGGTTGATTTTGAGGTTTTGAAGATATGACATCGGTATATATTTAGCTAGAAGCATTTTGGAGCCAACATTTTAACTAAAATTCAACTGAACTAAGTTGAAGTTAGTTTAAAGATTACATATAAACAAGATTTTAACTTTGAGAATTACATAATGACTTGAAGGTACACTGTGTAACATTTCTGGAGAGGTCCTGCAACCAGTTTGTCTCCATGGAGATATAATGCTTTAGTTTAAATTGTCCACATTGTGGCATTAAACTAATGTGTCTTGCATTTATTCAACTACAGGTGTTATTTATTACTTAAGTTTCAGTTTTTCAGTCACACTCACTTTTTTTCCTGAAAAATAAACCCCTGAACTCTCGTACTGATCCTGAATATGTGCTCTTTAAATCCATTTTGTATTTTGTCTTGAGTTTTCAGGCTACCCTAAAACTTTTGTGTCTCTATTTGCTAATGTGTGTGCATTGTACCACCATGGTAACTGCTGAACATTCTGCCAATAGACAAACTGGTAGAACACCCCACTATGTATATCAATATGATTAAAACTATCTCTCAGTAGAAGTTGAGAGACTAACTCTGTCGAAAAGAGTGCAAAGGAAAGAGAATATGCTATACTATTCAGAAAAACAAAACAAAGAAAGAAAAAATGATGACCCAAAGTGGCATTTCGAGATGTGTTATTTAGAACTGTGAAACCAATATGACAATACCACCAGCAGTGTTATCGCACATATAAGTTAGAACTAGCTACATTTGTATATCTTTAAATCTGTATTGTGCAGCATTTATCTAGATTTCATTTGCATCTATAGTTTCCACAGTACTTTGTCTTGGTTTCTCTTGCTAACTCCCAACCACCCTGACCGTTAACAACACCACATTGGTATTTTGGTTACTTTTTGGTTAGGCCTCCGGTTCATCTCCACAGCACACACATCAAATGATTGTTACTGACTTTTGCAACGCTGATAACCTCTTAAGCCAATCTCTTTTACCAATAACACCAACAGAAATAGCTTTGCAGTGAATTCAAAATATAGGTTTTAGATCCAGCAAGATTGAACCAGATGTGAGAGCTGATTTCTCGATGGGAAGACAACCACAAGCCCCTCCTCCGCAAGATTGTGAACTGGGCAGTTGCAGCACATCTGAGCAAAACAGGAAATTTCAAGTTTCCTTTGCTGCTTATAGCTACAGCTTGCATCACATCACTTCTGCATAAGTGTTCACGCTAATGTTCGGCCATAGTCAAATTCACAGCAACCGAATTAAACCGCAGTGCTGCATTAATTAGGGGTTCATTGACGAAAAGGGGTGGAGGCGAGTGTGGAGCTTGTGTGTAGTTGTAGTTTTGTTTGACCTGGTTTAAAGAGAGAAAGATTTTATACATGAGCTACATTAAAATGAATCTCGAATATAAAAACTGTAACTGATTTGAGTAAATTTCACATGACAAGTAATATTATCCACCAGTGGAACAAACCTTTTTGTACTTAAAGCTGAAAAATACGTCTTGTTACATTAAAGATAAGAAAAACAACAACTGTTTGCATTTAAAATTAATCTTAAAATCTTATGTTATCTTATGTTTGAATCAAGAAAGGGAAGACTTTTTTCATTGATAGATAATTTTACTTGTTTGAGTATTTTGAATTTACCTAGATACTCCATAGATACTTTTTACCGTTTATGCTTTATTAAAAGCTCCACAGCCAATCCTCTTTCAGTTTGGAGCAGAGTTCAAACTTTGAGGAAGAAATTATCAAAAGTGTGTATTTTTATATTCAAGAAATTCATATTTAAATCTGTTTGTAAACCAAGAACACTCAGTACATGGAAAAAGTAAGCATTTCTTGTTATATTTCCCTTGCCCTAGCACTTCAACTACCTCTTATTTACTACTGGGAGTTGTTATTGTGGTGTCTTGCCCAAGGACACATCAATAGTATGAGTAAAAAGAAGATAGAATTGAACCACATTCTGATTATGGCACCACAAACCATATCCAATAGTAATGTAAAGTCACTCACATTTTAATTTGTGAAGTCTCAGCATTTTATAGCAGCCATTTCCCCATTTATCTTTGCTTGGGACTGGCTCAAAGAAGTCACACATGATAGAACTACTATGCCAGAAGTTTAAAAAGGAATGGTTCAAATATTAGTAATACAATTGTGTCCCAGAGATTTGTAAAATAACGTCACATTTTTAATCAGTTCACAAAACGTACAATGGAAAGTACAGATATCATATAAATACAGTGTTTTTGGTTTATAAAGTATTAGTAGGGTGTAGGTTTCAAACATCTCTTTTTGATAGATTTTTCTAACACATTTGGCTTCACCGTGAGTAGAACAACAGCAGAAATACCCAACAAAGACACACAAACTGGCACAAATAACATTATATACCAGAATATGGACTCTTCCTGGACTAAACATAAGGATAGGTCTAAGCTTTCTACAATATGCGTCCTGTGGAAAATATCAACGCATTCTATATCCGATTGATCTACTATGTACATTGTCTTTTGTGTTTCGAATGTCCTGAAAAAGTCTGTTTGGCAGCAGTTGAACCTATTTCCTGTTAGGTACACTGTAGTAAGAGTACGGGCCAGAGAAGTAGCCTGGTCCAGTGGTATGGTTGATAAAAGATTGTTTCTCAAATCAAGACTCTTAAGACCGATCTGCGAAACAGAATTTGGGAGTTTGGAAAGAGAGTTGCTTGAGATGTTCAGGGATTTCAAATTTTCAAAGTGTGAAAGGTCCAAATTTGAGATTTTCGTGTTTCCCAGACCCAAATGTTGTAAAGTTCTCCTTAGAGATTGTATCGATTGTGCAATGTTTAGTCCTGAATTTTCAGACAGTTCCAAATGCGAAAGAGTCATTCCGAAAAACGCTGAATTAGGAATATTTTTGATGTTGCAACTTTTTAAATAAAGCTGCTTTAAGTTTTTTAAATTTTTCCAGTCTACGCAATGTGAGAAATTCTTTGCAGGCTCAGCAAGGCAAATGTCTATATTGTTAAAGCTAAGATCCACAGACCTTAGATTTAACAGCGATGAAAATAATCTCGTAGGTAGAAAAGTTAAATTATTCTGGCTCAGATTAAAATATGTGAGATTCCCAAGTGCAGTCAATGTATCTTCACTTGCTTGTATATGGTTGAGTCTATTCCTGCTCACATCTAGTTCATACAATCTCCCAGAAAACCCCTCAGAAGTGAAGTTTAATGTCTCCAAACAGTTGATGCACATTTTAAGTCTTGACAAAAGAGGCATTTTTTGAATAAATCCTTGTGGAAAATAGCTCACACGATTTCCTCTTAGATCCAAAATTTGCAAAGAAGAAACATCCCCGTGCAAATCCTCCGTCCATAGTTGAGCTGTGACATTGGCTGCATAGTTTTTCAGATTGTAAAACTCAACAGTAGTGGTCAAGTTTGTGTCCTTTGCATCGTCCACCAAGTGTTCGTAGAAACTTAATCTGTTATAGGATAGATACAGGTTTTGTAAGTGGCTACGGCTTGGAAGAAAGGGGAAAAATAGTAGCATGTTATGAGAAAGATCCAATGTTTCTAATTGAAAAGTTTCATTAAGATCTTGCCTTGAAATAAACCAGTCTATAAAGTTATGACTTGCGTTCAACACTTGTAACTTCGTCAGATGGAAGTCCATGAGGCATGGAAGATAGTTGAAAGCCAAGTTCAGCCTCTGGAGCTTGTTATTGCTATGAAACGCATTGTCAATCTCAAATAAAACATTTCTTTGCAAGTCCAGTTCCTTCAAATTATAAAGACGACTGAAGATATTTTCATCCAATCGCTTCATGAGGTTTCCAGAAAGGTTTAGGTGCTCCACTGTTGTTAAATTTTCAAGCAGGACAACCACCATTTCCTCATCCAGTTTATTCTCAGAAAGATCGAGAGTTTTAAGGCTTTGTAAAGTATTTAATGCTATGCTGCTTTCTTGAAATCCAACATAAAGATTATTATTTGCCAAATTCAGACTGGTTAGCAGATGGGCGTCTTGAAAAGCTGTTGGTTGTATTGTCTCTAGATCGTTGCAGGCTAAGCTAAGTGTCTTGAGCGCAGGATATTGGACGAGAGAGTGGTCCTGTAGTGTTGTGATGCGGTTGTAGTTGAGTTGGAGCTCCTCGATGTTTTGGGGCAGGTCCAGAGGGACCAGGGAGGAGAGCTCCTGTTGGTTACACAAAGCTGTATTCTGCATCTGTGAAGAATAATATGGATACATTTTGGTCACAATTCCAGTATAATTATAAGTGCTTAAAGGTCCTATAGTACGCAAAATTTACTCTTGTGAGCTTTAAGCCATGTTAGACTGTTCCCCATCAAAAACATACCTGGAGTTGTGTTTTGTTTCATTCACACATGTTTAATCCTGGTTTATTATTCTGTCTGCATGCTCTATTCCACCTTGTGATGTCATGTTGTAGTTCTCAAGTTAACAGCTACAGTTTACCTTTTGTTCAGTAAAGATAGGCAAATTCAGGGCTGAAATTACTGAAATGATTCTAGTGAAAGCGTATGGTTATTAAAAACACAGTGCAGTACTGCCTGTATTACCACATGACATCACAAAGTGAAACAGAGTGTTTTCCGTTTGAGAGAAGAACTCAGGGTTTGTGTGTTAAACATGTGTGAATGAGACAAAACTCAACTCCTGGTATGTTTGTGATGAAGAAACAACATTATTACATAGATCAGAGAAAAGCATATGGACACTTTAAAACTGATAACAATTCAAACACACTATGTAACCTTTGTAACCTTTGTTTCCATGGAGATGTAATTGCTTTGCCTGGAATGTTCATGAGTATGGTAATAAATATATCTATCTCCATGGACTCCACCAGGCCAAGTTACAGATCAGGTCTGTGGAGAGGCGAGCCCACTCACAGTAATCATGCATGTTTATCAAAGTGTAGCAATAAAAACACCCATAATAATAAAATCAGTGCTGGATAGATACGATTGATGCCACACTGTTGAACATTCCAGCTTATAACATATTTAGGGAGACAATTATCTACCAGAAAAGTCATGCCAATGTAAGAAATTATTATTATATACTTTATTAATTGTATTATTAAGTTTGCCTTTCTGCCCCAAACAGATATAGCCAGATGAGACTTTTAGAGAAAAAACTAGACTAGAAACTAAATTCACAATAAAACATATGCATAGTAAAGAGGGAACAAAAACTGAGATGCATGCTGACAAATGGCTGTACACAAAGGTCAAATAATGAAACAATTTTAAGATACTGACATAAATGTTGCTCTACTAGAACATTAGAAGCGCTGTGTGAAGTCAGATGATTTATGAGAAAAGCATAATCACATTTCTTTGGGTATTTCGTCACATCTACAGTGTATCCTCTGTTCACATTGCTAATATCGCGTGTGGTTTTCTACTTTACACAACACGTAAATATTTTTTTATTTCTTTTTGGATGCAGAACTTGTTTGACAAGATGGTTCCTAACATGAAATGGGGGTGATTCGTGATTGTGATGTGGTGGCACTAAATGATTACATTTATTTGAGTAACTTTTTGAAATATTTTTACTTCTTTGATTGGACAACATACATTCACTTCGACTTGAGTAATATTATTTACAGTAACAGTACTCTTACAACTTACATTTGTGTTTCTTCACATATGAGTAGTTTTTCTCATTTTGTTCTCAACATGAAACTAGAGTGAATGTGATGTGATGGTGGTAGTACTCACATTTATTTCAGTAACGTTTTGAAATATCTGTACTTCTCTGAGTAGACACCATACTTTTACTCCAATTTGATTTATAGTGTAACAGTATTCTTACTTAAGTTACAAGTTTGGGTTTCTTTTCCCAGTGTATTTAAATCTACAAGTGACAAAAGTTTAATGCTGACGATATACAAATTTGAATCTTTGTGTTTCTTGGACTAAGTTTATCTAATTTTGTGCTCAATACTTTGAATATTTTGTGTGTTATTTAATGTTAGGTTTTCCATCAAATGTTATGTCCCAACTGTTACTCTTAAGTTACTCTTATTTGAGCAGTAGTTTACCCAAATATATTTTATTCTTACTGAATCATTTCTGGGACCACTACTTATAAATCTACTTGAGTAATGTTTTAAAATAGTTCACCCAATTCTATGGAAGAAACGCTATTCTCACTTGAGCACCTCCTCCTACCCACCTCCGAGTGCGACCCACTCTTAATAACATAATACGCCTCTTTCAATTCATTTTTAATCAGGCAAATTTCATAATATTATACTTCAGCTCATAGAAAATAAGCACCTTACAGTATTTAGAATTGGTATTTAAATGTGATGGGGATCTTACCATTTGGCAGAGGGGGAGTGGAGGACGGATGGTCACTAGGGTCAGGACTCTCCACACAGGCAGGAGACAGAGCAGGAGGAGGGTGAACCCGTGGAGGGACATTTTAACATTCTTACTAATGAAGGAAATAAAACACAATCTTTAGGGTTTTGAATCAAAAGTGCACTGCAACTTTTCCGGTGGAGGCCCCGTCAAACGCTTTTCTCCATAGAGATGTTATTGCTTTGTCTTGAATATTTCCCAGTATGACATTAAACCAAACCAGACCAAGTTACAGGTCAGATCTGTGGAGAGGTCACCCCACTCAAAGTCAGAATGTGTGTATTTTTGAGTTATAAAACCACCTGTAATTGAATAAATGTGAGGTGTGAACCATTTAGTGTCATACTGTGAAACATTCCAAGCAGTTACGTATGCACAGGAACAAGCAGGTAACAGACCCCCAAACAAAAAGTTACATAGTGCACCATTAAGTTTCAGATAAACACATTGTTGAGTTTTGATCTCCATTTAAAATAGTTGTAATAATATATTTTTCACTTAATTATAACTTGAAATAGCAGGACAACACAAAATAGAATATATATAATAAATATTCTTCTCGCCATAGCAAGTAACCAATTATAACAACATATTTTGAATTGTAAAAAGTCCTCAAAATGTCACATATTACAAGGTGCCCAGAAAAAGTCCAAAATAACCTTTAGCTACATACATGCATAATGACTAAATAGAAACTTGCACGTGCTGACGGTGACCCAAGTGTCTTCCTCATGTGAGAAAAATAGCATTAAAATACACACAAAAATCTACCCTATAAATAAAACCATTATGTTTTTGAATTATTTGATAAACACATAGCGGAACTTTAAATAATTTTTACATGGTTTCTTTCTCTACATATAAAGGGCAACTTGTAATCATTGGTTTCCCTATAATGTGACATTTTGTACCAGCTATTTACTAATTTTATATGAAAATGTTATTCTGTGTATAGCCCATAGTTGCATACATTGCTTCATTATAACTTCTATAACTTCTATACTTCTAAAAACAGGAATTTACACGTGGTGACAGTGACCACGAGTATTCTTTACGTATGAGAGGAACTGCATTAAAAAAAGTCACTTGAAATCTGACTTATACTAGCCGCTCACACAAAGGGAACTTCAGTGCCAAGTGTATTGCTTATTGCTGAGTTGTCAATTTATTTGCATTTAATTTCACGAAATGCCAAAATTGTAACACATAAGCAAAAATGAATGAAAGAGAAAGACTGAACAAAAGCTGTGTGTGGCAGAAATTACCACTCATTGCCAGTGTGTTTGTTATGACTGGTCAGTTCAGAATTTAACAATGGAGTAAAAACGCATTATAAAAAAAACCTTCAAGTTACAAAGTGTTGGTAGGTTCTGTTAACTTAATCATATGTATGTGCTTTTCAATAAGACTATAAGACCATGAATGGGTGAGTATATTAGCGGTTTATCTCAAAGCTTATTGTTCTTTCAAATATAAATAATGGTGCAAGCATTAATATCCTAATCCCTTAACTAAAGTGTAACTAAACCTTTAAGATACTTGAAGGTTTATTTAGAATATATATTTACAATAATACATTAGCTGATAATATAATAGTTATGCAAAATCCAACACTATTGTTGTATACTACTATTACAAAGCTTGCAGTTCATTCAAATATAAATAATGGTGCAAGTATTAATATTGTAATATTAGTAGCTCAGTTGGAAGAGCATTTGCCCACTGATCTAAAGGTTGATGGTTCGAATCCAGTTCTTGGCATAAACATCACAGGTTGAGCAGTCAGATCCACTGACCCACAGGTTGGCTGGTGTGATTCCAGCTCCCACAGATGAATGCTGTCGTTATGGCCTTGGGCAAGACACTTAGCCCACCTTGCCCACAGTGTCTGTGTACACTGGTGTGTGAATGGGTGAGTGGTTCCTTGTTGTAAAGTGCTTTGAGTGCCTTGAAGGTGGAAAAGTGCTATAGAAAAATGTGACCATTTACCATAATCCCTTAACTAAATAACTAAACCATCAAGCTACCAAGTGATGGTAGGAGAAAAAATACATATATATTCATAGTTATGCAACATGCAATACCACTGTTGTATACTACTACCACAAAGCTTGCTGTTCATTCAAATAGTGACTGGTGCATGCTGAGTAAAGAGTACTTGTACTCACAGTGTTGGTTACATATGGATCTCCCGGGCCCCTGACAGATACCAACTGGACCATAACGCTGGTGCCCTCTCCTCTGCACAGCGCACTAAACTCTGAACGTTTGGCTGCTCTGCTCTGACTGAACCAGTGCTTCTTTACTCACGGAAGCAAAGAAGAGCGGAAACCAGGTCACATGGACAAGCTGCAATCAGAAAGAGGTTCTCAGGGCAGTGGGGAGGCAGTCTATATAAGGTTCACACCAGTTTTTCTGTTAGTAGCGCGATTCTACACAACGTCGGTAGCAAAGAGATACCACAAAACCATAGTGAACACACCCTTGACACCTTCATTCGGTCTGATGAGCCAGAGTACAGAAGAGGAAACCACTTGGGGCATACACCCTTCCTGCCTCCCCAGAATGAAATGCTACAGAAGTGAATAATAAAGAGGACCCCTGAAACAATGGAAGACTATATATATTTTGTTTATGTTTCTATAGCCCAAAAGTAGGCATGTGTAGATGTTACTTTACTGTTAATATTGTTATCATCTACTAGTTTGTACTGTAGCCTGCTTAAACTCAGCTTTTTCTAAGCTGATTGAACATAAGAAGCATACATTTGCAAAGTAAAGATATATGGCTATAGTTTTGTCTTTCTTTTCTTAGACATTATATACAATATTTGTTATTTACCTAATGCTTGTGTTACTGTGTAGTGATTTTAACACACCCTTTTGTTCTGTAAGGTTCTGTAAAGTTCGTATAAACAGTGCTCTACAAATAAACTTATATTATTGAATGGAAAAAAACCAAAACAAAAAACCAAAACAGTGGCTTTACATATTTTCTGGATTCCTGTTACTTTTCATTGACGGACATGCAATGGAAAAACATGCAGGTTGTGTTCACATACTTTTAGAAGGTGTTAGTATCTCTAAGTAAGGGTGGACACTTGCTGTATGTAAATGATGCTGTGGGCTTATGCCTCAAAAGATAATTTACATAGGTAATTTGTGGTGATGTGGAACCTAGTGGAAGTGTGTGAATAAACCCAGAAACCACAGAGGTATTAACCATAAACCTTGTCAAAATATATCTCGGTTACAATTAAGACGTGCCATCTTTGTTTAATTTAAACTAAGAGCTCATTAAATGCAACACCACAATCTGTAATCTGTGATAAAAATAGATATAAAACAATATTCCAATGTTAGTTTTGATATTTTCTTTAGTGTTTTGACAATTAAAAGCTTTTGAACAGTGCCCTCTTCTGGATAAACATAAGTTTGCATATTTTGCTATTAAAGGACCATATTACATATTTATCAGGGGTCTCCAACCTGTAGCTCAGGAGCTACCAGTAGCTCTCCACCCCCTTCAAAGTAGCTTGCCAAGGGATTTCTGAATTCTGTGTATTGTGGACAATAAGTAAAATTGAATTAATTACCATTGTAAGTGTATCATTTTGATGCCTAACTTGATGCACTGATAAATGGATAATGGTTTATGTTTTATAAGCAGCTAACTGTTACCCATCTGAGGCTTGCCATGGCTCTTCTATTTACTCAGTTTCTTTGCAACTGCTAAAATTGTTAGCTCTCAGGCATTTTTATTTTGTAAAGGTACCTCACTGGAGATAAAAGGTTAGAGACCCCTGTTAATATGTTATATACTACATGATCTATCTATGTTATAATGTTGATTCCTCATCACAAACATACCCAGTGTTGTGTTTTGTTTCTTTCATAAATCCTGCATATTTAGACTGAGTACTTCTCTCACACTCTGTTTCACCTTTTGATGTCAAGTAGTAATACAGGAAGCACTCGGCTGTGTTTTTTTTAACTCCATGCACCGTCACTAGAATCATTTAGCTGATTTTCTGTTAACTTAAAAACTACAGCTACAGCAAGGTGAAACAAAGCATTCTGAGCTTTAGAGATGTAGATAGACTAATAATAAAGGATTATGGTCCTCAAACATGTGTAAATGAAACAAAACACATCTCCAGGTATGTTTTTGAGGATGTAATGGCATTATAACATGACTTAAAGCTCACAAGAGTCAATTTTGTGTAAAAAAGGATCTTTAAACCTCCTACTGTAATACCAACATTAATACAAACATTAAATCTAGTGGCACTATTTAGACTTTATTAACCATATTGTGGCTATAGTTCCATTGATAAGAAATAAATAGTGTATAACTACTGTAGCACATTAAAACACATGGTACAGATACATATATTACTTGATGACTTTAAAATGGCAAACGCAGTAGTTATTTTGCCATAACCATGCACATGTGTAGATCCAAGTTGGCGTACATTTATTCAAAAAGTTTGGCATGGAGGCATGAAGAATCTAGTTCATGATTCATGAGTTGTAACTTGAAAAACGCAAACACTTCAACTGTGCAAATCTTAAAGGTGTACTATGAAACTTTTTGGTTGGGGGTTTGTCATCTCCTTGTTTCTATGGATATGTCATTGCTCTGCTTGGAATGTTCCACAGTATGACATTAAAGAGCTGTATCTTACATTTATTAAGTTACAGGTGTTTCTATTGCTCAAAAATACCTAGAAAAACAGGCATTCTGACTGTGAGGGGTCTTGCCTCTTCACAGATCTGACATGTAACTTGGTCTGGTTTGGTCTCCATGAAGATAGAAAGGTTTAATGCCATACTGTGTAACATTCAAAAAGCAATAACATCTCCATGAAGAAAAACATCTGACGCACCCTCAACTAGAAAAGTTACACAATGCACCTTTAATTAAGCTCTATTAAAATCCAGTTTAGTTCATAATACGGCAGCTGCATTGTTGAGTGTCCACTGATTAACACAATTCATGTTTTTCCCTTTAGTTAAAGAGGCTTCGCTGTGAAAGTTCTTGTAAAGGTTTGCTGGTCCGTTGCCTCCAAAATGGTTAAAAAATGAATAGCAAATGCCATCACCATGTTGATAATGTCCAGGAACTGTGGCTATAAATTAACCATTATTCAAATCTATAGCACATTAAACAACAGTGGCACATGTCCTCTTCTAGCCGTCCAGAGGTTTGCCCAGGTAAACCATGGTGACTTCGGTGTTGCCGTAAACTGCAGATACAGCTGGAAACAGGCAAGCTTTGGGCAGTCCTCGAAAAGCTACTCCCAGAAACTCAAAACCCCTCTCAAATGCTAAAGTCTTGTCATCCATGTCTAGAATCACTCGTATCCTTTCTCCAATCTGTAAAAGAATATAGACAAAATTAAGAATTTCAATTGAATATTCCAAAAAAAGAGTAAGACATACATGTTTAGTTGAGGGGAGATACTGTAGCAATTCTGTAGCACTACCATGCTAGATACTGTACTTCAGAATCATATTAATCTAGTGGTAATAATGAATGGCTACAAAATATATTTTACATGCCCTTATAGTCTTGGTTACTACATTTTAGAGAATTCTGTTATTTATAGAATTTCCAGGCATTTCAAACTGTGGTATGAGTTCCTCTTTTTGGTTAGTCCTTATTTAGAACTAATATAGAATAAGATCCTCCTTTTTAACCTGGTTCAGTCCGGTTTTAGTCCTGGTTGAGATCTGGTGGTATTTGGAAGACCGTATGTTTACTTGCTACAATATTCTTGATGTGAAGAGAACCACTGTCCAAGATAAAACTTTGTGTAGGAGAGGACTTACTACATTTTCATACAACACAGTGGTATTGAATACTGCAGACCTGAGCCTAGTATTTCTTGCTTTTGCTTTGTAATCAGTATAACTGGCATCACCTGTCACTAAGAAATGGAAGAAATTAGTACACCTACATACTAATCCATACTAAAACATACTGGAAAAATAGATGCTCACTTTTAAAAAAAATCTAATAAAAAGGAAAACTTTTAACCTTTCCAGAGTAGTTTCAGTAGCCTGAGTGCGTGTAACACTAGGATCTTTTCGCCCTTTGTATAAAAATCAAGTTTTAAATGTTAGTATCATGGCAACACTACACCACAGGTATAACAGATGGTGTAATGATGATGCTTGTGTATGCATGTATGTATCTAGTAGAAGAAAGTCAATTATAAATGTAGTGTCAAAGAAATTTGTAGGACAGTATTGGGGGCACATGGGTTGTGGTGAGATTAGCAGAGTTTGAGTCCTTACCTGATATTTTGGCGCATTGTTGCATTGTGGGAAATTTCCATTCACCTCTCCATTGTGAAGAAGATTATTGTCCACTAAGTTCCAGCCCCAACTTTGGTCGTCACTACCCAATAGAGCCACATAGCCTTGGCATTGCATAGCTGCCCTTTTCGTGGCAATACCAATAACCGCTACAGTACCAAGAGGACCCTCCCACCAAATCTCCCAAGCGTGCCGTCCCTCTGAGAAGCCAATTTTGCCCCTTGCGCCGTCTGTGCTTTGGGCGATGGGGTTTCGGTGCAGGGTGAAGCCATTTTTCTTGATGTAAACATTCCGTGAGCAGTCGTGGGAACTCAGAGCGTGTTGAAAGGACTTGAGCTGAAAACAAAGACAGACATGACAGAAGTGAAGAGATGTCAAGTATAATGCAGTGCAGTACATTCCTACAGATGGGGTGGGACTTTCAAGGCCTAAAAACTGTCAAACTATACTGTATAGGAAACCTTTTTTACTCCATTATAAGGCCTGTTTTCATTTTCATAGTCACTTTATTAACTATTATAAACTAGGTGCAAATGAAATTATAGTATTCTGTTGTGACAAACTCCAGTGCATTTAGATCAGACCAGGCCAGAAAGGCATGTATACAACTGTGCAAAAGAGCAATTGTAGCAAGAAATTATTTCCCACTTAGTCCACACAGACACATCAAGAGACAGTCTGGAGATTTTATACTGAATAATAGATCAGGCTGCATTGATTTGGTTCCTATTGGTGCTGCTATGTCGGGAGACAAGGTTTAGGCCTTTCCAGAGAACATTAGCCTATACGATGGGGTTTCGGCAGTATATTCAGTTATAATACACACTTACACACATCATGCACATTGGTAAAAAATACCTTTCCCTTGTAAGTGGGCAGGTTACACAGCACATCAGAGCGCAGAGCCTCGTCGCTGAGACTCCGGGTGCAAAGACTGCGCCACACCTCGCTGTTTTCATCCGACAAGATGTTATACCAGTGCCAGCAAACTAGCGAGCACCGCATGAGGTCCGACAGCTCCAAATATGAGAAAATGTGCTCCAGAACTCGAGCTGGGAGTCTCCCAGCCACGCCAGCCGCTCCCCCGGCCGAGCCCGCTCCTCCCCCGGCTGCAGCAGCGGCATAGGGCGAGCCTGCAGACAGACACCCAGAAGCCGCTGCGCCGAGAGAGGCTCCACTGCCACCAGCTGCCACAGACATCACGGATCTGCTGCTCCAAACTATTACACCTAATCTAAATCTTAGCCTAATGCTCTTGACGGACCCCTATAAAATGCTAAATATCCGCATAGTGACAGAAGTGATCATATTATATTGCTTATCACAGCCATAACACCCTAGACCCAGGCTGCCGAGCTCAATGGCTGAATGAGGGGATGCGTCAAAGGGTCTGGAAGAACACAGAAGCTAGCGAAACCATATTACAATATTTTACTTTACATTAAATGAAATACTAAATTATTAAAACAAACCTTCATCCAAGTCTCTTAAAGGGCATAAAGCAATATAGGTAATCAAACTACAAGGCAAAACGGACGGGAAATTAATATATAAGTTTTTATATTGCTGTCAGGATCTTAGAGCGGCCATGATGGCTTTTTATTTACAATTTTTATTTTGCATTTTAAATGCCACTGCAGCATATTTTGCGCATGACAAAATAATTTCACAATTGATATATTCAATTTCTATATTTTTAACTGTCTTAATTGGCTAAACTGATATAATTTCCACATTTGTTTTGAGCTTTCTTAAACCACGTGATTTTTTGCGGAAGTGACGCGGTTTGCTCAAAAGAGTTCAGCTGCATCTGGGAGCAAAACCCCAGCTAGCTTAATTTCATTTTCACCAAAGGATCAAAGGTGGGGAATAACCGGCAGCTCAATCCGCGAAACGTGAGTGAAATCGTTTTTCTCTTTATTTCTCTGTATCCAGTGTGGGACAGGTGTTAGTGGGGGACACCGCTACCTGCCGCCTCCTCCTGCCGTGCGGCCTGTTGACAAGCTCTGCCCAATCGGCTGCTCTGCGGGACAGTCCAGCGGTTTAGCGCGGTCAAAAAGGTGATTCGCAGGTTAAATCAGGCATCAACAGTTTTCTCTCGAATTATCTGTAGTTTTCAGGTGCTCTTAAGATTTCTGTGATTAATTACACAGAGCTATAGGTTGGCTAGTGGTGACAAGTGTCCCGTTTCGTTCACCTTCACTACAAATCTTGAAGTAAAAGAATGCCACAGCCATCTTTATTTTTTTATAGTACGAGTGTCTAATGCAACCTTTCTAAAATAACCAAAAAACAAATGCACAAGGGACTATATGAGTTAAATGACCCCTTGCATATTACATGTGTTCAACTACAAAAGGTAGACTTCCTTAAATTGCAATAATTTAAACATACCGAAGTATTATTGCAACATCTTTTCTTTTATTGCAACATCTTTTCTTTTATATTTCACATTTATTTCTAAGAAATTGCATATTAACATGTCATTAAATTATTCATTTTTGTTATTTAAGCATTTAATATTAATAAATACTTACCACCAAGTCATATCTCTGTTAAGAAAAGCCATTATTTGCTCATGTTATTTAAAAAGCAAATGCAAACACATTAAAGATAAAGCATAATTGATTTGAAAGACCAGTCAAATGATGCAATTCTGTTTGTTGGCCAATAGAGGGAAGTGCCTCCCAGGCTATTGAAACAAATGTTTATTGAATTAGACTGTTTTATCTTTAATTATCTTTCTGTGTAGAATCTGAGAAGTGACCACAATGAATCCGGTGTACAGCCCTGCGCCAACAGGGGTCCCCTTTACCAATACTAAAGGCATAGGATATCCAGGTATGTTTTCTCCTCTCCATAATTAATTTGCTCTGTTTGTAATTAAATGTTAAACTGGTTTATGCCTGGTTTATATCTTCTATCTTCTGTTATTCTGCTAGCTGGTTTCCCTGTTGGTTATGCAGCAGCACCTCCCACATACACTCCCAGTGTCTATCCTGGTGCCAGCCCAGCATTCCCCAGTGGTGAGAATCATACATTTTACCTGAAATATCAACAGCATTTTAAATACTATTACTCATGTATTTATATGTCCCGTGAGTGCAGTCTTATAATTGTTACTTTTCATGTCAAACGCTGTACTTTAATTACAGGATACTCTCCAGGCACTCCTTTTAAAATGACCTGTTCTCCAAACACTGGGACCGTGCCTCCTTATACGTCCTCACCAAATCCTTATCCGGCTGCTGTGTATCCCGTCAGGAGCACCTACCCCCAACAGAACCCTTATGCTCAGGTTTATCATATCACACTGATATTTATATGTACCATATTTGGTGCTTTAATATTTCTATATACTGTTATGATTTGGGCTTTTTTATTTGATAGTCAATTTATTTAGTTTTTGTTTTTTTTTACACCACAAACTAATTCTTATTTACCATACCTGGGTGTGCTAGAGAGTACTCAAGAGGAAGAGAGGAGACACAGAAGACATTTGCATTGATATATACTCATAAGATCAAATCATTTGCTAGTAAAAGTTTGAGTTGAGTTCTTTAGTTTAGCAGCTGTCTTAGGTAGGCAGAGGTAAGACCTTTTATACTTGTTGCAATATAAATTGAGTGTCTTTAATTGCTTTAACTACATTTAAATAAATATTTGCATGTATTTATTTAGCCCTGTCAGCAACACAATGTTCTTATTGCAGGCATTAATACCTTCACAACAACAAGGCACTTACTACACACAGCCACTGTACGCTGCTCCGCCTCATGTCATACATCACACGACAGTTGTCCAGCCCAATGGGATGCCAGCAACCATGTTTGCCCCGCCCATCCCTCCCCCTCATCGCAATGGGGTCCCCATGGGAATGGTTGCGGGCACGACTATGGCCATGTCGGCAGGTGAGCGTCTTCACACAAATCTTTTACATTGTTTTTATTTAGTTTGGTTCTTAAGTAGGGACTGTTAGACTACAAATTTCTAGGGTTGTGAAAGGAAATGTATTGATTAGGCAAGATTATATTACATTATAACAACAAAAAACATTGTCAGTTGTCATTATTGTATGTACTGTCAATATATTACTTTATGAAATTAAACTGATGAATCCCAATGATCAATTCCCAGAAAATCTTGGCCTCCCTATCCATAAGAAGTAGCATGTAATCAAAATTAAATTCAGTGATGTCCCATACCTTTTTATTTGTTGACATTCACAAATTAAAAATATTTGCCAAAAACAATTCAAAATAATTGGTCAAATAATTATAGTGGCTTAGATGTCATTATGTGTATTCATGTCTATCTTTATGGAAAATTTCTGCTATTAAAATTCCACATCTTCTAATGTCTATTGTCTGTATTTTCTAGGAACATTGTTGACCACTCCTTCACCAGCGCCTGTTGCACCCCACCCGGTCACAATGCCAACATATCGGCCTCCGGGCACACCCAGCTACAGCTATGTGCCCCCACAGTGGTGAACTGAGGGGTGAGATGGATTCTTACTTCATACATACATTCAAAGCTCTGTATAATATAAACTTTACCTTTTATATAGAGCTTTATATATATATATTTTTTTTTCTTCTCTCCACAGGTCAATGGATGGTAGTTATGCATTCACACTATACTCCAGTGTTTTTGCTTTTGGTGAAGACAGCCCAGCCACTGTCTGAAGCCAATTGCTCTTCTTCCAGCATAATGTGAATCTTAAACCCTATATATCATAGAAAGAGTCCCATTTTAAAAAGGAAAAGGGGGAAATTGGATGATGACGTGACCCCGGTTAATGAGATAAGGCTGCATTCCTAAACTACTCTCCCAACGCCAGCACCTCTAGAGCCTGCTGCATATCACATATAACAAAGCTCCGTGCTAACCCTTTTGTGCTCTGTCATGAGAGTTTTGAAGCTTAATCCTTTTAGCATTGAAAATAGAGTTTGGATCTGGATTTTGTTACATAATACATTACATTACTCTTTGGGAACACATATGATGCTGAATGCATGTGTATATACAGTATATAGGCACATGGAATAATGCTAGCTCAATCTACCTGCTGTGACAGATGCAAAGTGAACAAAAGGCACACATCCAAAGGAACTAGAGTAATAATCTGCGATGCTGAATCACTCATAACCATGTCTTAATGTGAAAAGAAGAGGACATAAAATGTTAGCTCATGCAAAAACATTCCTGCACTAAAAGTGCAGACTAAACTGTAATTTCACTGCTTTGTGATTTAGAAAGTGATGGTAGGTTTTAATTATTATTTTTTCAGTGATGCAGTGTATGCATTTGTCTTATCATTTTTGTATTTTAGGAAAAAGATGGGACCTTTGAGTTTGTGCCTCTTTGATGGCCATTACGTAATCATTAAGTGTTTAAATGTTTTATTTTTCACTATTTTATAGAAGATTTAATTCCACACGTCATATGCAGCTTTTTTGCCAGAAACACATTTTGATGACAATTTGCTTTTATAACCAAAAGTATTCTTTGTAGGAAAATGTTGATCAAGTTTTTGGAGGTCTTTTGCACCATGTCAGTGAGTGTGAATGAGCAACAGTAGCCTTGTGTGAGTATGAGTTAAAAAATAAAATAAAACCATTAAATGGTGCCATACAGTGCAACTTGCCTAGAAAGATAGACCTATGTTACCTGTGTCAATAATAACCAATGCATTCTTGATAGATGGGCCTAAGGTCTAAGCATAAACTGTTAATATGAAACTCATGTGTGAATAGCACTACTGAATAAAGACACTAATTTAAACACATGTGTAAAACACCAAACATTTTGCATTGCTCGCTGTTTACCTCAAGGTACCAGGCTAACTCACCAAGATCACTGTCTCCAGACTAGCTTTTCTATGTTGCCTCAGTCACCTCGGTTAAAATCTGTTTTGTAAATGTTATTTTTGTGATTTCGGTTCTTGTTTTGTATTCTAAAGAAAGACCAAAAATAAAAATAAAATGTTAAAAAATATTGAACCTCAGTGTCTGTTGTTTGTATGTGCAAAATGAGGATTTTATAATGAATCCATGAAAAAGATGCATGAAGAGGATACAGGAATTCAATTGTTGTCAATGTTAGGCAATAAAAAAAAAAAAAAAAAAAAAAAAAAAAAAAAAAGACAGGCTCCCATCATGCATTGCGGCGCGCCAGATTGAAGTTTTGTTTACAACGCGGCTCGTTTCGGGCACGGATTTATAAGAAGTAAACCTGCACTTTAAAGTATTTTACACTTAATTTCAAAAGAGAGACCCGTTTGCATGTTGTTTGTTACGTATTTTTTGTTATGGGTTTTTGCTATTCTGTCCTTAAAGTCAAAGTATCGGCTCTAAAAGCGACTAGAAATCTACCAGAAGTGTCCACAACGAATACGGCGATCCGCTTTTCCAATCAAAATGAAGTGACAGCAATTTAAAACGACAGATTAAACATTATTTCCTGTAAACGTGGCCTGGTCGGTGAGTTTTTCTCTCCACAATGAGCAGCAGTCCTGTACCGAGCAGTGATGAAACTAAACCTGGAGGAAAGTTTGAGGATTTGTGGAGGCAGCTCGGGGACTGTCACCAAAATGCTTTTCAAGGTACTTTACTCAGCTATTTATGAAGAAATTGCTTTTATTTTGTTAATTTTTTAAGTAAATGTGATTATTGAGACCCAAATATTACTGTTGTTGGCTATGCAAGCTCACTAATTTACAATTTTGTTCCAGTTTACATAAAAACAAAAACAAAAAAACACTCAAAATAACTCAAAAATTCCCAGTGAATACATTTCTCAATTGCTCAGTTGAATAAAGGGCTCATAAGACATTTTAATAATACATTTAAAAACATTTAGACAGGCTTTAAGTCTTTATTTCATAATTATTGAGCGTATTTTCGTCCATTTTTGTCAACTTTAGCTGAATCCGTGTTGTATTTTCTAGAATTGGAAGCCAAAATAGCCAAGCTGAAAAAGGAGCGATGTTTGTAAGTATATTAAAGGTCACACTTGTGTTTCATGTTAAATGTTGAATGTACACATATGAGTTTTAATGTAACTATTTTTTTCTTTCCAGAGACGCTCAGAGACTCGAGGTGTTTTTTAATCGTAACCAGCAACTGAAAGAACAAAACAAAAGCTTACAGGACACTATCAGTGGTTTAGAGGAAAGGTAGCTCTCTCCATTGACTGTCTCTCATTAATACATGTCCTTAAAAATGTAGTAAATGTAGGTACAGAAATGTCATAGTTATAATGCCTTCTGTTTTTAGACTTCGAGCTGGAGAGTGTGAAAGATGCACCATTTTAGAAGACAGCTTGAAAAACATCGAAGATCATAATACATTTCTTATTAACAAACTAAGTAAGTCTATTGTTTGGATTTGTAATAAAATATTGATTGCAATTGTTTTGAATGCAAGCTTTTTCTATTTTAGAGCAAGAGAAAAAAGTCCTTGAAGATAACAACAAGAAGCTAAATGCAGAGCTTGAAAAACTGAATAAAGCTGGGTATGTTTTCAGTAATAAATGCCACAAAAATACAACATTTGGTTTAATTGATCTAAACAATGGTATAGTAGATTTCACTTCCTTTACTTTACATGTATCCTGATTTATTTTAAACCTCCCTGTGTTAAATTTTCAGTTCCTGTTTAAAGTATTTTGTGTTTTTAGTTTTGATTGTCAGCGGTCTTCATCTCCAGAGCCAGACGACTGCTTTATCCCAGACTCTCCTGTGATGTCCAGTTCACTCCCAGCTGCAAACAAACTCAAAAAACGCAAAAATGTCGAGAAATCAAAGTTTGTCCGTTATGTGGAGAGACCGCTACAAAGAGCTCACACCTCACTGTTTATCGGTCAGTGAATTTTAGTAAATGTTGGAGATTAACATTTTGGGGGCGAATATGTAATTGGAAGTTTTAACAAGCACTGCCATTATGATTATATTAATGTTTTAATAGTAGGATTCAGTTCCACATTTTAAAGAGGAGAGTTTACAGTTGTGTGAAAAACTGAATATGAACTCAAAATGAACTGCTAAACTAGACACGTTTCTAGAGAGGTCTAAACTAAAAGGTTAGCATGTATAACACAACAGAATATTTTGTCATTTGCAGGGGAAAAGTCTTTCTGGAAAAAAATGTGGTCTTTACGATTTGCTATTGGAACCATTCATATTGTGATTACACTGGCTACATCTGGGGCTGCAATATTAATTTAGTGAAATATTTTAATTCACAATGTCTCACCTAAACTTATCAATTACACAATGTTATTACTTTTCCATAGAAGCTGAAAAGGACCCAGAAGCGCAACAAAATCCAGTGCTGGTGCCAAATACTTGTGATCTTGAAGCTTCTCAAATGGGTAAGAGCTTTCAAAATATACTTTCTGTAAATTCACAGCCTACAAACATGTATTCTTAATATAAAGTTAGATAAAAATGATGGACTGACTGTTTCTAGATGGAGATCTGAATTCAGAAGATGTGGTAGCAGAGACTTGCCGCCTGGATCTTCTACCTCATCGTGTGGTAGGCTGAATGCCATGGTTTAAATTTCCCTCTTGATTTTTTGTTTGATAATTTTTCATTTTTTATTCATTGCAGAAAAAAGAAGATCCTGTGAACCAGCAGCACAGTCCTGAGACTTTATTTCAATCTAAACTTCACACAAAGTAGGGACAATTCAAAAGTGAGTTAGCGGTTTTAATGGATTTCCTAACCATTATATAATTTCTGTTTTAAGACCTTTGAAGAACCACAGTCCAGACTCCACCACAGACCGGTCCCCATCACTGATGCCTCGAAACAAGCGCTTTTCCAGTGACAGTTTTATCATCAGCAACATGGCAAAAAGAAAGAAAGAGGAAAGCCAAATGGAAAACAAGGAGGAAAAACAAGATGCTCCTCAAAAAGTGGAGAGGAAACCAAAACTAGAACAATCCACTCTTCTGAATGAAAGCTGTAAAGTAAATGCCAAGGTTAGGACGTTATCACATGTTATTTAAAGGTGCATTATTTTGGTTGGGGGTCCTTCACCTGCTTGTTCATGTCATTACTCTGCCTGAAATGTTCCACAGTGTGATATTAAATAGCTCTACCTTACATTTATTTAATTACAGGTGGTTTCAGAACTCAAAAATACCCAGAAAAACACAGATCTGACCTGTAACTCCACAGATCTGACCTGTAACTTGGTCTCGTTTGGTCTCAATGAAAATAGAAAGATTTTAAGGGCATACTGTGAAACATTCCAGACAAAGCAATAACAAGCAGAAAAAGGACAAAAGTATTTGGCGGCCCCTCCACCAGAAAAGTTACACATTGCACTTTTTAAACCATAAACGTTTTACCTTTTTGTCTTTAAATGTGTTTGTTAACATTTTCAACAGAGTCAGTCTATTGAGGATGAAACCCTAATTGAGAACCCAAACATACCTTATTTGAGTCCTGTTTTTAAGAAGCCAAATGCAAAAATAAAACCACAAAAAGACGTCAGAAATTGTAACCCACTCAAAGATAGGAATAGGTCATGTCAAACCAACAGTGAAAATTGTAAGTGTAATTTTATTTATATACTACATGTAATTATATATTCAAAGTACAATGTCAGAGTGAACCTGTTTTGTCTCCTTCAGCTCCAAGAGAATTTAAAATTGAACCAATGTGGAGTATTGACCCAGCACTCGCCCTTGAAATGTACGAGAGTGAACAAGAGACTAATGAGGTATGGGACATATCACATTTATAGCTGTAGGTATTTAAAACTTGGCAATGTATACTGCATAAAATATTGAGCAGCTATAATAGATTTTATTTCTGTTTTGTAGGAAAAAGAGGAAAAATACATGGACTCAGACTGCACTTGGATTAGTCACAGCCTTCATCAGGGACGGGCAGAAAATGAAGAAGACTTACGTTTGTGGTAAACTTAAAGATGCACTTTTCTGGTGGAGGGTCCGCTACCTACTTGTCTCCATGGAGATGTTATTGCTTTGCCTGGAATGTTCCATGGTATAACTTTAAGCATATCCATCTAGCCTTTACTCATTACTTCTGGAATGACAGGGGTGACTTTCTACAGAGCTGAATTGTAATGTAGCATAGTGCTCTAACCTGATTAAACCTGTCCATCACAAGGGAGACAATCTACACTGTGGGACATTCTAGACAAAGTAATAATATTTCCATGGAGACAAGCAAGTGCCAGATCCTCCACTAGAAATGTTATGAATTGCACCTTTTTAAACCAGAAATATTGACCTAAACAACTTAAAATAGATGTACTTTTAAATGCTGTATTCACATCTATTTTTAAGACTTAGGTCATAAGACAAATGATAGTTTGGACCGAATGTTTGACACCAGCGCCTGTGGAGATTATAAGTCATACACCACTTTACCTATAGAAGACCAACCCAGTGACCAAGATGAGGAGAAGGATAGAGAGGAGGAAGAGGGTGGGTCTGGTATTTTAGTTTCTGTTTCTAATAGTTCCCTAACAACTGAATATTTTGCTATGGGACAAACTTGTCAAGGCTTTTGATGCATTAACCCATATTTTGTGACTTTTGTTTACAGGGGGTTATGAAGATGATGGTGAAAATAGTATGAACAGAAGAAAACCAGGGTGAGAAACAATATATGCCATGTTATCTTTCTTTTTACACTTGACCTCGTTTGGCCCTGGTTTTGCCCTAATGTAGACTTTGCTTGATCAAGTTCTATTCCTGGTTTAGACCTGGGTTTAGTCTGTTTTGTCCCAATTTTGATGTTGTGTATGTGCAAGTTAGAGCCTATTGAGACCGCACTAATATTGTTGTTATAATCACTATATTGTTTTCTTTCTATAGCCAACCAGCCTTTGCTCATGTGGCTGTGATTCGTAAGAAAGACGAACGCAGAAAACTCAAAGGGACGACCTGCAAGGAGTGTGAAGTTGTAAGTTTTCTCCCAGTGCATAAAAATAAATAAATACAACTTATTTATTTAATGTTACGTTTTTTTTCTGCAGTATTATGCACATCTTCCAGAGGAGGAGAGACACAAAAAGCTGTCAAACTGCTCCAGGCACCGGTTCCTCTATATTCCTCCCTGTACTCCTGAGAACTTCTGGGAGGTTGGATTTCCATCTACACAGACTTGTATAGAAAGAGGTACACAGCTTATGAACTCACTCTTAATAAATAATAACGCACTATTCATATCACATGTAATGCATTTCTTGAAATCTTGAAATCAAGTGAAGATGTGTAGTCATGGCCATCTCAGTTTAGTCCTAATTTAGCCTGAGTTTGGTCTACTTTTACTAATAATTTGTACTAGCTGATGTTTGAAAATATTGCAGTAATATTGTTAGCTCAGTTTAATATATTTCCTTCTCATTTTGGGAAGCATGAAAGAAACCTCAAAACATTTTCTGATTCGCAGGTTATATCAAAGAAGACAAAAATCCTCAGTCACGCTTACGGAGGAGACAGCCTTTCAATGCTTTATTTTCCCCAAAAGGTAAAAAGCAAGAAAAATGAGTCCAAAAGCATTGGGCTAAAATATAAACATATGATTCTGTCTCTTTTAATTATTATTTTTTTTAGTTTAAAATCCCTGTAAATTGTGAAAATGACTGGTGATGTAAATAAAAATTACTACTGATAATAATAATGCATATGTGAATACTGGACTTAGACAAAAGATTACAAAAGATTGAAGAAATACAGATTAGTAACATTTGTCAATATAGCTTTATTTTAAGTAAACAGTTACTGTATTTTATAAAAAGTATTCTATTAGAAAAATAGCTTTGATTAGAAAAATCTCTTAAGGCAAAATTTATGATGAAGCTAGAAGTTTCATGACTTGGAATCTCTTTCGGAATAGAGCAGCAGGGCCTCTCCACAGTGACTGGTAATAACGCTGTAAAAAAACATTTTAATGTTAAAAGTTTAGTCTTTTATTAAAATAGGTTATCAATTCAAAAGTTATTACTATATGGGGGAACATACCAAGCTAAGGACTGTGCATTTATGTCTGTGTAAAAGATGAATGGAGACAGGGACATGGCTGTAACCTAAAAAAAATAAATAAATAAATAGGATAAGTATGATTAAGTGTGTGTGTATTATGGATTAATCTGAGTATTACCTTAGCCACAAACACCCAGACTTTAAGATGCTCTGTTGAAAGTCCACTCTTTATTTTGACTGAGACGAGCAGCAACAAGAATCCCATCAAGGCACTAGAAAAATACAATAACGGTCTTAAGAAACAGCTACTGTAATTACTTTTCCCCCCCTTTGTTTTCATCAAATTCTAACTGAGAACCCAGTAATTGCAAAATGTACTTCACTGTATTGTTACTGTTCTGGCAATCTTGCACAAATGGAGTGGGAGGAAGTATAACCCTAGCCTACCTTTACTTATGAACCAAACCTGACTTTAAACAACGCCTCTGTCGATTCAGCCTGCTATAATTGAATTGATACTTTGGACCTGGAGGTGTGACACTAACTGTAAGCACTACTCTGTCTGAAGCTCTGTTACTCAATTTAGACTTAATCTGAGCTTTATTTTAACAAAGTCTGACAAAGAGCTGACTTAGTTGGAGCTACAACAGGTGAGATGATTTGTGCTTTTGAACAAGTCTCTCACACATAAAATTACAGTCACAAGTTAGCTTCCATTTTTTCATTTAGTCACTCTCACCATTTTCATTGATAATCAAACTCGTAAAGAGGACAGTGAACGCTCATATTGATCACAGGCTCCTGCAAATGTGTTTAAATAAATTTTGTATTTGTTCTTCAGTTTTCAGACAAGCAGTTTTTGCTAATGTGTGCATTATGTCACCGTGGTAACTGCTGAACATTCCACCGATAGAGATACATGTAGAACACTCCCCACATGGTGTCACTGCAAAGTCAGTACTGTATAATAATTATTAAATATCTTAATTTTTACCTGAGGCAGCAGCCACCATGAAATTTGTGGGACTGCAGGAAAGGAAAGTCAAGGGCACCAATAAGGTCACCTGCGGAAGGAAATTGCTATTACTATTACTACAATACTATTACTACTATTAAAATGACTACAGTGCTACTTTAAGGATTTTGTATGCGTACTCTATAGTAAACAAACAACACTGCCTCTACCTGTTGGGTGAGCTGCTACTGCAAGCAGAAGTACGCTATTTTGGGAAAAGGACACAGAAATGAACAAAGTTTGGTGCATGTATTTAGACGTGTCTTAATGTCTTCATTATAATTAGATTTACCTGAACAAATAGTTAATGCACTGTTGCTCAATGTCACTGCAATTAAAGCATGTTTACATATTTATATAAAGATATAAACATAGTGAGCTCTATTATTTATTTAATTTCATTTTTCCTTGACCAAAATGCATAAAAGAGCAACTTCTAAATTGGCAACTATCACAGTATGACAGTGAACTTACCTCAAGCCATTGGATTTGTTGTTAACTTTGAAAACTCTATAGGAACCTGAAAAGGAAGCATTACTTTTAATTTGTTTAATCTTACTTATATTTATGCATAATTTTGATGTATTTAATCTTCTTACCAACACAGAAAAGATGAGCCACAGCCCACTGATAAGCAGTCAAGTCAAACTAAAGAAATAGAAAGAAAATATACATGGTAATACATATATAAAACATTTAATATGGCAGTTATATAGATTTATTTACCCCAGGATCATTGGTAGGAAGATCAATGGCTGATATAAACATGAGACAAATACTACAAACAAAAGAGTACACATTTTATCATAACTTGTACTTTTGGACACAGATTTAAACAGAAGAGATAAACCAACCTGATAAACTTCAGCCATTGGTCTCTCTGTTGATAAAGAAATAGTCATTAAGTACAGCTGTAAAAACATAAACTACTCACTGCTTCTCATATAAGGTGTGGCCATATTATTATGTAAAAACAATCATATTTTTAATCAATGGTTAAATTTGTCAAAACAAATGTGTCTTTTAAGGCATGTCTAATAATTTTTACACTAGATTTGCCTAAGTATCTGGACATTACTCAAGTTAAACACCATCTTTCTTAAAGGAAGGCTCATTAAATTTTAAATGATTATAGATCACTTTTAATATTATAATATTGCTATTACTTTCTCAACACACCACTTTTTGAATTATTAATAGGAATAAAGAAATTCTTATTAGGTACTACTGTAACAACATGGAATCTATGATGCTTCTGCTTCTGCTTCTACATTTTTACTTTATATATAATCTACATTTTTACTTTATATATAAAGTAAAAACTAAAGTAAATTTTAACTTCATCAAAACAAATGTGTCTCTTAAGTAATTTCTAATATTTTTAAACTACCTACATTTGAATATATCCAAGCTCTAAACACCATCCTACTTACAGGAAAGCTCCATAAAATTTACAAGGATTTAGATGAATTTTAATACAATATTGCAGTACTTTCTAAACACACCACTTGTTTTTGCTTGTATAAATAGGACATTTATCTTCTTACCTGTCTGTGGACAACCTTTGAGATTATGTAACTCACAACATGAGAGGAATTCTGGAGAGTGAAGAAAAGGGGGATGTCCTGCATAAATACAAAAGCACATAATAAAAACAACTAAGTCACCAAAACTGATTACATTTAATAGTCCAAGTTTAACAATACAGGCTACTACCATGCTTGACAACGCTCTGGAGCCGGCGTATATATTTCCCACAAACAGAAGTGAACCGGGAAGCCAGGAGAGAGCAGCAGATCTGTAACATAATCCAGTTCTTACATTTGGCAGCCATAATGTAAGCGTATTTGTGAATGAGTGGGCAGAGGAATCACCTGTTTATATGGCTCATTTCCAACCAGCCCAGCTTCACACAGAGCAGCAGCAGCACAGCACCAATAAGAGTCTGCCATCTGATGAAAACAACACTATTTTATTAAATTTGAATATAAATGCTTTGATATAATAGTAAGTTAAAGGTGTGAGCTTTTTTGTGTGCTTTAAGCAGTGTTATAATGCTGATACCTCATCAAAAACACAGTTGGAGTTGTGTTTTGTTTCATTTACACGTTTGAGTAATCCTTTATTTTTACATTATATTAACCCTTTATTCTTGTATTAGTCTGTCTACATCTCCAAAACTCAAAATGCTCTGTTCCACCTTGTAATGTCATGTGTAGTTCTCAAGTTAACAGCTACATTTTACCTTTTGTTCAGAAGAAATTGTCAATTCAAGGTCTGAAATTATCCAAATGACTCTAATGAAGGTGTATGGAGTTTAAAAACACACTGAAGCACTTACTGTGATATGTATAATTGAACAGAGTGTTTTCTGTTTGAGAGAAAAACTCAAACGTGTGAATGAAAATAAAACTCTAAGTATGGTTTTGAAAAGGAAACGTTATAACAGAGATCAGAGAATAGTGTAATATGAGCCCTTTAAGTTATGGGGGAAAAAACTTACCCTTGGAAGAGTGTTGGATATGTGAATTTCAATACAGATAGAACAAACTAAAAAAAAAAAAAAAAAGTGTGTCATTAAAAAGTAATTAGAAGTCTATGCAAGTCCAAATTGTCATGGGATACCTTCAAGCCTTCTTCAAAAATGCAGACTTAAGTTAAAACAACAGTACATTTTTGTATTTTAATCACATTATCACGGCTATAAAATGCTTGTTTGGTTTGTTGTTTTATACAGTTTCCTAGCTCACTTATTCCTGTTTTGCTGTCAATCATGTTAATGTTTGTACTTTATGCTGCACATTGTGAATTAGTAACATTATTTTATTTAACTCTATGGTTTATATAGTCCTTCAAACTATTTAAAAGAAGTCTATAAACCTGTCCTTAAAATACTCTAAGAGGTTGACCCAATTTGGCCCCAGGTTAGCTCGATGCATGAAGGAATGTTAAATTGCAATTTTCCTGGTTTGTTTAAAAGGATACACAATGTACAGTGAGAGATCTGAGGATGACAAGCTGCTGACTTTGGACCTAAAGCCGTATTTTCTACATTGACTGACAGTAAATAAAGAAAGCATGGTACTCAGATAAGGAAACCCAAACATGAATGATGGATTTGGCCAGGTACTCACCTTATTTGTGAAATACGACGCGACAAAAACAAAGCTAAAAAGGAAACCAGTGCCATGTCTTTTCCATTGCATTTTGGCTATCATACGGGACGGACATTGTTCATATTAAAGTCAAGATTAACTGCATTTAATGAATTTTATGCTACAACATTTTGGAAGAGAGAAAACTTCCCTCACTACCCCCGGTGACACGTCAAGACGTCGTGAGGTGATCGTCTACTGGGAAGTCTCTCACTAGTGTTTTTATAAATTACTCGATAAATTGTTTTATAATATTATGACAGTTTTACATATAGTGAACATAAAAAGTGTGTCGTGTTTAATTTATGTTATAACAATAATAATCCATAATCTTCCAGAAAAGGCACTTTTTTTAAGAGACGTGATCGGAGTGGTACCTCGCTGCGTTGTCTTCATTTTATTTTATTTATTTTATTTTATTTTTTTCTCTTTTTCTTTTTTATTTACTTTTTCGGAGCAGTTATACAAATCAATATATTATACATTAAAAAAAGGAAGAAAATAAAAATATAAGGAATATATATCTTCATTAGCGATTCTCTGCCTCAGTGAAAGTCACGTGGTGCGCTGCAAGTTTCCGTGTTTACAGAGCGCTGACTGAAGCTGACTGCTGTTTTGTTTCCGAGGGGGATGTAAGCGCAATCATGGCCTTTCTAAAGACTCAAGAGCGATCAAAAGAAAGGTTTGTTCATCTGTGCACGTAAATATTGCTGTCATGGTTTTCTTTTGTGGAATCGACTTGGTTTTCGCAGCTATTTAAGGCTGTTTTCCTCCATTTAAGTTGAGTGGTTGTGGATGAATCCCATTAATATCGACTGAGAGGGCTATTGGGCTAATGGTACTTTACTGTCTGTCATTCACCGCTTTAAGATGTCTCCTAGACATGGTCTGGCATGCAACAGAAGGCATCGACTACGAGTTAAAATGATCTTGCAATGTCGACCCAGATCAGCCATCCTGTCACATATAGAGAATAACAAAAGTAGTCATCAAAAAGTAAACATCTGGAATTATTTTTATGGGGTTTTCATCCAAGAAGCTTTGTCAATTAACCTAGACGAATTTTAAATAAACGTAGCGTCATGGATGTTAGCTGGTAATAATGCTTTCATTTTATGGTTGCCTTCAAGAAATACAGGAATGCGGTTGTGAATGAAAGAACAAAATGATTCCAGATTGAGACTTTTACCATTTAGATGCTGACAGGCTAATGAAAACTACATTAAACTTAAAATAAATACATTATCTGCCACATATTCACATGGCTGCTGAGAAAATCCTTAAGAGATGATGACATGTTTTAGTATCTGTGTGAAGTGATGTCCACCCATTGCAATTCTCTGCCTATGAAGTAATGTATTTGATCACATGAGGTAATAGACCCAAGTCAGCACAAAAGGACTTTAGGCTTTAATGTTTTGCTAATGGCTAATAGCTGTGTTCAGTAACAAGATCTCTGCAGTTGTATATGGTTTTAAATAAGCAGAAAAAAAAGTGGACTGTGCTAATTTTAGACAGTCTTTTCAGGTCACTCAGTTTCAAGATTTAGGGAGGATAGCAAAGGTTAGAGGTAAAGTTAAAGGTGCATTGTGATTTTTCTCATGGAGTGTTCGCCACCTGCTTTTTTCAATGATGTTATTGTTTTGTGTGAAATGTCTCACACTATGACGTATGGCAACCTTCCCATCATCATGGAGATCAAACCAGGCCAAGTTACAGGTCAGATCTGTGGAGCGGCAACCCTGCTCACAGTCAAAATGCTAGCGTGTTTTTCTAGGTATTTTTGGGCAATAAAATTAATTGAACAAATGTAAAGTAGATCTGTGTAATGACATATCCATAGAAACAAGAAGGTGATGGACCCCCAACCAGAAAAGTTACATAGTGCACATTTAAGGGTTAACAATACAATTATGCTTCATATTATTGTTTGTCCATCAAAGTCAAGATATTCTTATTAATGCTGTTTTCTAATGCACCTTACACTAACCATGCATCCTCGCTACAGGTTTTCCCTTCTCCTGCTGGATCTGGAAGAGTATTATTTTGAACAGCACACTGTGTACCATGTGACCTCCACATCTCCCAAAGAAAGGTACTGTAAAATCACCTGTCACAGTAACAGTAACATTAACAATACAGTATTACTAAAATAAATATAGACAATAAATGATTATATTAAAACAAACCATAAAGCAGAATTATCCACAAAAAACATTCTATGAGTCAGAAATTCATCATTTATTATAATACGATTAATGATTATGTTAACTGATCGAAGAAAAATGAACTAACTAAACAAATTTAACCTTACTGTAGCACCAAAAATTCCTCCACTAGTGCAAAGAAAAAGTCCCCTTGATAAATATTGAACCACAAAAACTATTGTTGTATCTGTTATGTATTTATGTATGCATGTATGTAACGATAAATACTGTAATAATTATAGTAACAGGCCTAATTGTAAAGAAAGGTACTGTAAGCTAAACACACACATCTGCATTTCTGACCACATCCAATGAATCTTAAGTCTTATAAACTCAGTTCCTCTATTTCACTTTCTTAACTAGGCTTTGTGGTGGGAGGTGATATAGAAAGAAATAATTAGGCAGTATGTGTTTTACAATTGCTGCGCTCCTGGACTTTATCTGATCTTGGGCTGCAGCTGTTCAAATATAATAATGTCCTGTTTGTCTGGCCCTGAATATGCACACTTGTTGAGTATTTACTGGTTGTCCATTGGTGTCTCCATTGGGTTGTGGTATCTACTGCAAATGTTTGTGTTAGACATAATGATGTAAATTACAGATTTCATATTACAAAATATAATCAAACTCTTCAAATATGATTTTGTTGCATGCAACATTGACATTACAGTTAGTTAGGTTTGAGTCCAATTTAATTTAATTTGTACGCCTCCCTGCTGTCTGTCATGATTCCTTGTCATATTCTGTAAGTAAGATGTCCATGGAAGTATTTGATGATATTTCACCTTTTTTGTTTCAGAAAAGTGAGAGGATCATTCAAGATCTGCTCAAAATCTGTAATTTTTGACCCAGATGATTTTGAAACTCCAATTTTAAAGGTGATTAATATTATTCTATTATTTTTCTTATTATGTTATTATTATTCTGTTATTATTATAGTTTGTTTGTTTTATTGTTGACGCTGATTTGTGTGATCTTTGTTTCATGTGCAGATTCCCCTTCGTGATTGCAAAAGAATAGAGTTTGTGCAAAAAGACAATAATCCGTTCAATGAGTGAGTTTTACACATTTTCATATAGTGACCAATAGGGCTATAGGCCTTTAGTTGATTTATAGATGAATCGGTTGATTGGGCTTTTAGTTGACCAAAATTTGCGTAAGATGACTATTTAGTTTGCATTATACAGATTTATATGGGACAAAAGCAGAAAGCAGAAGTTAGTGCTTGAGTTGGCTGAAGATTTTGTATTTTTTAGCATTTAGTCTATATATAAAAAGTCTGATTAAACTCATGATTCACAAGTTTATTCTGTTTTTATATAAATACATTGTTTCCTAGTACTTTATCTGCATAAATTCTTGTATTTGCATGAACTCCCATGCAGGTGTAGTCTCATGAGGGAAGTTTGGGTCAGATACACAGAGCTATGAAATAGTTTTGAGAGCTTCTGACACACCTCATTTTTAATTGATGAATTGATCAACAGGATGCAGCCTAGTGTCCACATGGTTAAACTAGTTTGATGACTTTACATGCGACTCTATTTATACTTGTATGTCAATTTTTTTGGTTTTCAGGACATTCAGATTTTGTGTTTCCTTATACAATTTTAATCAAGTTGGGTTTTTTCATATTTCAGGCCTAAGCCATCCGCAATTTCCATTTCATGTGGACAAGTGAGTGTTATATTGTAATTATGCTTTTTTTTTTTTTTTTGCCTGATAATTTCTTCTTGCTAAATTGTATACGTTTGTTACTTTGTTACTAGGCTATTTACATAAAAGAAAGCAATGTCATAGCGCCATATAGAATAGAAAGGGTAAGTTTACATATTTTGCCCTGTATATTTCTTGTTTGTGAATTGTTGGTAATATTTAACCTGTATTTTCTCTGCAGGCGACAAAACGATTCACTTTTCAGTTGGAGGTTTGGACAAAAACGGAAGATGTTGTTCAAACATTATTACAGGTACGTCATTTGTTTAGAGGATTATCATTATTATTATTATCATTATCATAATTGTCTTGAGATAATTAAAAGTAATTACTAATTTGTTTATTCTATTTCACAGCTCCACAGAGCGTCTTGTCTGGATAAGCTCGGAGATCAGACGGCCATGGTGAGTTGGTGCATCCCACATAAACAAACTATTACTACGATTTGTAATGTAAATTAGAGGCGGGCAGATTATTAAAATAAGGAATAATAGTGAATGTTGGTTTCAAAATACTGCTAAAGGAGGCGGTTAAAATTAAAATGAAGAAAAACATGTTGTAAACTTCCAAATAAGGGTTTAACACAATTTTTTATTTATTTTTTTCACAATTGTCTGAAATTTAAACCTTAACTAATATAAATAAAGACATGTATATACAAGCTTATTTCTGTTGGCTTGACATAATATTACATGAATGTTGCTTTCAGGATATCACACACCCCTAATGTATTATTTTATTTAATTGTTTATTTTTTCTCATGACATCTCTTCAGATTGAGGCCAATCTGCAGTCCCGTCTGGCAAGGACCTCATTTGACAAAAACTGGTGTGTGTTTAAAAACTGAAATGATGTGTGCTAACAAAGGAAAGATTTGAGTAGTTTTACTGATTGATTATTTTGTCTGTAGTTTTCAGAGCGTTGCAGAGAAGCCTCATATGGAATGTGCTGTGGAGATGGTGACGCCCCTAGTGTCCAACCCTGGTCACGTCTGTATCACTGACGAAAACCTGTACTTCCAGCCTCTCAATAGTTATCCAGTAAGAATATCGTCTAATAAGTATTAAAGCTGCACTATGTAACTTTTCCAGTGGAGGGTATGGTGCCTGTTGGTCCCAAAGGATATGTTGTTGTTATGGCTGTAATGTTCCACAGTATGACTTTAAACTTATCTCTCTTGCTTTAATATACTTACAGCCGTTTTAATTGCCTTGAAAATCATTGTTGAGTCGGGTCACCACTTCACAGATCTGACTTGTATCTTAGCCTGTTCCAGCTTAGCCTGATGGCCTGATGGTAGTACGGTACTTTATCCATGGAGACAGATAAGTTTAATGCCATACTGTGGAACATTCTACGCAAAGCAATTACATCTTCATGGAGACAAGTCGGTCGCAGAGCATCCACCAATAAGTTACATTGTGAAGCTTTTAATTATATGCACACTTAAGCTGTCAAAATAAAACGTTTTTTTTTTTTTTTTTTTGGTAACAGGAGCGAGTTATTCAGATTAAACTTCACAGTGTCAGAAGAATCTATAAAAGGAGACACGGACTTAGACCACTAGTGAGTAAATGTGCTTGTTTTAACTCTGTGTTATAGTATTGATACTTTACAGCTGATGCCATCAACATTACTGGGGGTGTGATACTAACTGTAGGCTCTGCTTTGTCTGAGACTTTATTAGACTTTAATCTAAGCTTTATTTTGACACAATCTAACCAGAAAAATCTGATATAGGTGGAACTACAGTAGGCGAGCTGATTTGTTTTTCAGTTAGTCACTCTCACCTTGTTTGTGGAAAATCAAACTCCTGAACAGGACCATGAACGCTTGTATTGATCACAGGCTTGTTTCAGTCAATTTTGTATTGAGTTTTCTTAAAAGCATGATGTCACTGCAAAGTATCAATATTTAAGTACCTATTTCAAAGTGTGGAGATTAATTTGTACTTTGTATTTGTGTATTTATGCAGGGTCTTGAAGTCTTTTGCACAGAGAATGACTTCTGTTCAGATATTTACCTGAAGTTTTATAACACAGCAGACAGGGATGAAATTTATTACTACATCGCCACTTTTCTTGGTAAGTGATCAATCATACTTTAATTTGTTTGTGTGTTTCCTTATAAACTTGAAGGAAAACCATGGTTAAAAGCTCTGAAAAGGAAACTTTGCATTTTACTACATCTACTACTTCCTTCATCATTTAATAGTTTTAGCATTTAGTTCATTTATGTATGTTGATTAATCCATTTGAGTTATGAGCTCTCTGCACATTTCTGTTTGCCCCTGTCCCTGCTCACTGCTCTGGATGTGTGATAAAACAGAGTTCAGTAATGTTAGAGTCATGTTAATGAAAAGTCTGCGGTGAAAGTGAGGTCTACAGAGAATTAGTTTTACAGTTTTGAACAGGAAATCACATGACCTTTTTTCTATGATTAGACACAAACAGAAAATATAATATGTTTTCTTTATCTGTCAGAAAACCACATGACGGAGCACACGGCGGAGAGCTATATGTTACAGTGGCAGCGTGGGCTGTTGAGTAACTACCAGTACCTCCTGCACCTGAACAACCTTGCAGACCGCTCCTGTAATGACCTGTCGCAGTATCCCGTGTTCCCCTGGGTGCTCTCCGACTACAGCAGCCCACAGCTCGGTAACGCCACAGCAGAAACATCTACATTATTTAATACATGTGCTCTGTTGGATACTTCGCTGCTGGTGTTATTAACATTCCCTGGGGGTGTGATGCTAACTGTAGGTACCTCTCTGTCTGGAGCTCTGTTTCTTAAGTTAGAGTTTCATCTTAGCTTTATTTAACATAAACATAAAGAACTGACTTAGATGGGTGAAGTGATTTTTGCTGACATAACATTACATCACAGTCATAAGCCAGCAATTTTTCAGTTAGTCACTCTCACGTTTTTTTTTTTTTTTTTAAACACCTAAACATGACCACAAACGCTCATGTTGATCACACACTCCTGAAAATGTGTTGCTTAAATGCATGTTTTTATTTATTTATTTATTTATTTTGGAGGTTTCAGACAGTCTTAAAGCTTTTTTGATAGTGTTTGTGTGCATTGTGTCTCCATGGTAACTCCTATTCAGTCCACCATTAGAGATACATGTAGAACCCCCCCCCAGCATGATGCCACTGTACAATATCAATAAAACAACCTGGTGTAACTTATTAAAACTTATTAAAACACTTTAAAAAGATTAACATTGGGATTGTAAATGCCAATTTTTTAGTTTCCCAGCATGCAATACTAACAGTTTTAGTATTTGCCTTTTGTCATATGTAGATCTTGAATGCGGTGGTTAGCTGATGAAAACAATTAATACAAGGAAACTTAAAATTTTGCTTTTCTCTTGTATTTTTAACTAATGTTAGCAAATAAATGTGTTTATTGATGCAAATTACAAAAAGGGAAGTTAAAAAAATAATTCCTGAATTTTGTTTTCACTTCTTGCAGATTTGACAAACGCTGCCACTTTCAGAGACTTGAGTAAACCTGTAGGAGCTCTGAACACGGAGCGACTGGACAGACTCTTGGTAAAACTTACTTTAAACTGACTTAACAATAACAACTTAATACACAGTAACTTTATTGTTTGTTTTCAGGCTCGATATAGGGGAATGCCTGAGCCCAGTTTTCTGTATGGTAGTCATTATTCCTCTCCTGGATACGTCCTGTTTTATCTGGTGAGAGTCGGTGAGTCAAATGCACCTTTAGGGTCCAAACACAGAATGCACTGATTCAACTAAAACACACAGAGCTTTTGTTACACGTCATAAACATGCTTCATCTTGTACATATAACTGTTCGTGCAGTCATAAAAACCGAGGCTAAAAACCATGACACTGTTTGTGCGTCATGGTTTTAAGCCTTAGGTTGGATTGACTAAAGGTTCAATAGATATAAAGCAGAGTGATTTACTGGTTTGTATACCCAGAGGTCGGCATGAATCGTTTGTATTTTATATTATTTTTATTTTTGTATTTTATTTGTATTAGCAGATTATGAAGAGAATGGATTAAAATCTTTAAGTGTGAAGTGCGTTATTGGTTGGGGTCACAGTCCTTAAAGGTGCACTGTGTAAGTTTTCTGGTTTAGGGTCCACCAGCTGCTTGTCTCCATGGCAATGCTAATACCTTGAAATGTTCCATGGTATGACATTAAACATCTCCATCTAGCATTTATTCGTTACAGGTGTTTTTATTCCTTAAAAATACAATAATTCCCTTCTGTGAATAGGGGCGACTCTCCACAGATCTGAATCGTAATGTAGCATAGTGCTGTAACCTGCATGTCTGACTTGTGATAGGTTTAATCTGTACTTTGAAACATTCCAGACAATATCTCCGTGGAGAGAAACAGGTGACGGACCTTTCACCAGAAAAGTTACACATTGCACCTTTAACTGTGGTGCATGGTCATGAGGTGCAGATCTGTAGTTAATTTTAAAGTATAATATTGTTTTACTAGCAAACACACTAAAAACAAATATGCCAATTATTTTGTAACTCTGCCTGAAGAAAAAAATAAGATATAAATAATCAGATGGTGTTTTTTTTTTTTTTACCGCTATTTCTCTCATATCTTCTCTTAGCTCCAGAGCACATGTTGTGTTTACAGAACGGCCGCTACGACCACGCAGATCGCATGTTTAACAGGTAATGTAGCTGATGTTACAAAAGGCCAACTCTTGTGTTAATTCACCTCATTTATATGCAGTTCAGCTTGATAACACACTCAAATTATTCATAACTTGAAATACTTGTGTGTTTTTATTGTCTGTTCTGAATTGACTCTTCACAGTGTTGGTGAAACATGGAGAAACTGTTTAGAGGGGGCCACAGATTTTAAAGAGGTAAAGACTGCAGTAGTAGTAGTTAAAAAAAAAAGTATTAATTTTAACTATATATTAAATCCCTTTGTATTGCAGCTTATACCAGAGTTTTATGGAACTGACTTCACTTTTTTGGAAAATCGACTGGGTTTGGACTTGGGGAGACGACAAAATGGGAGTTATGTTGGAGATGTTGTTCTTCCTCTGTGGGCTTCAGGTAAATTACTGATACTGTTATTAGAGGCGCTTGGTAATATATTGTACATATACTCTGCAAGGGTGTCATTATACCAATAAGAATATTATACCTGAGTGAAAAAATATATATAAACTACGTGTCAAAATTATGCAGTGTTTCTGTTTATTTGCTATGTAAACTTAAATAAGCAAGCACATTTTATCACTTTTCTGTTGAACAGCACACACCACTTCCTTGTGATAATAATTCTGGGCAATATAAAGACAATGTTCAATATTTTGGTGACTATTTTGGAGATTACATTAATTATTTGCAGTCTATTTATTTCATTGTTGTGTTTTTATTCACAGATGCCAATGATTTCCTTCAGAAGCACAGGACTGCACTGGAGAGTCAGTACGTGTCAGAGCACCTTCACGAGTGGATCGACTTAATATTTGGTTATAAACAGAGAGGCAGTGAAGCAATAGCAGCTCACAATGGTACAATATTGCAAGCTATGCACTTACTGAATACAAAAATACAACTGTAACCCAAATCATCTTAATATTTTTCAGTCTTTCATCCACTGACATATGAGGGAGGCATAGACTGTGACAGGTGAGTCCATAATACAATGATGTAGCTATAATGTAATTTTTGGCTTTGTAATTTTTAAAGTAATTTCTGTTTGTTTACAGCATTGAGGATCCAGACCAGAGGATAGCGATGTTAACTCAGATTCTGGAGTTCGGACAGACGCCCACCCAACTGTTCACGAGCCCCCACCCTCAGAGAATCACCCCCCGATTTCACACCATCACACGCAGCCCCAGCAGCAGCTCCCCCGGCAGTGAACTGTCTCCAGGTAAAACTGAATTCACACAGAACGATCAATTTCTATCTTTGTATCAATCATATTCTTTTATGCAGTGATTTGTTTTTATTTCACAAAGGTTTAAATTCCCTTTAAACAACACAAGTGACTCATTGTGGTTGGATTCTTGTACTCAGATAACTGGGGCTGAAACCAGTTTACTGATTAATCACAACAGATCAATTATGGAGATAATCATCAACTAATTTGGAATTTGAAAAATCTCAGCGAAAATCACTTAAAAGTGCACTATGTAACTTTCCATCCGTCAAATCTGCTTGTTTCTATGGTTATGTCATTGCTCTGCCTAAAATATTCCACAATATGACAATTAATACATCTGCCTTACATTTATTCAATTACAGATGGTTTTATTTCTCAAATACCTAGCAAAACAGGCATTCTGACTCAGTGGGGTCGCCTCTCCACAGATCTGACCTGCATCTTTGTCAAGTTTGGGCTCTATGAAGATAGAAAAGTTTAATGCCATACTGCTTGCCTGGAAATCCAGAAGGATATTTCTCTGTATTTGTTATACAGCTCCATATCAGCCGCTGGTACAGCGATGAGTCTGGATTCGTCCAGGCAACCATACTGCAATAACTAGCAATAACATCTCCATGGAGAAAAGCATTGGATGGACCTTCCACCATAAAAGTTTCACAATGCACCTTTAAGTTTCATGTGGGTCTAACAGAATTCTTAAATGGGGTTTTAAAGATACATAAAGACACTTTAAAGTTGAAGTCAAGAAACCAACAATTACCTATATAAATGAAAAACAAGCTCAAATCAAAACTCTGAAGAACCATGTCCATTTGATGTATTGTCCTGTATTTTTGTATTGTATTATATATTGTACTCATTGCCCCTTTACTCTCCCACAGCCTCTCCCAGCGCTGACTCCTCGTTTGAAGATTTGACGGAGGAGAGCAGGAAGCTGGCCTGGGCGAATATGGGAAATCTGAAACTCGCGTCTAGCCACAAAATCCATAAAGAGTGAGTCCAGCGTCCAGATGGCTGCATTTATAACCGGAGCTGCTCATCCATCTCCTGCTCTCATGAGGGATTAACTTCAGTCAATCCTTTTATGTTGTTCATGTATTTTCAGATCTGTGCTGTCTTTATTTGAATCTGTTTTCATTTGTCCCTTATTCAGTTTTACAAATATGCTGGGACTGTCAGTTCATTTTGCTTTCTTCTAAAATTTGCAGGGCTGTCACTGGTATCACTGTTACACGAGATGGATCTGCTATTTTCTCAACATCTCAAGGTTGGAAACAAAAACATGTCTATATAATACAATGAACAATTTGTTAAAAAAAAACGTTTTACACAACAAATATTTACATTGAAAGTAACTAATTTAAACACATCCTGCTGAACACTTTGTTTGACACAACACTACATGATACATTCTATAAAGCTATACAAAAAAATATTTTAAAGCACGAAGCCTTTGCGAGTTGCTCCATAATAAAAATTTCATTAGGTAGAAATTAGTGTAGCAGTACCTCATTGCCTAAAATATTACAGATATCCAAGCTGTACAATTGAAAGTAGACAAAAGTAAGATTATAGATTGAAAAACTGACATTGTTAAAAAAAAAAAAAAGTCTTGCATTGTCTTTTCTTGCCTAAAAGAGCTGAAAACACCCAAGTATTGTTCTCTAAACTAATATTGATAGGAGTAATTCAATATACTAACAATAGGTCTCTCATAGATATTGTTGTCTTCACTAAATCTTCTAACAAGCTGCTTTTTTCCAGACTCGACCTTAAAAATGTTTTCTAAAGAGCTGAAGGATTTCCAGAGAAGCATGTCTTTCTCAAACATGGTAAAAACAGCCACTTTAATCCTTTATTTAAATATTTGTCTAATTCTCACCTAACCACCACCAACTGCTCTCTTTGAAGGCGTTATCCTCCTGTTTGATGCTCGCTGATGGAAAAACTGTGGTGTGCTCTTCGTGGGACAACAATGTGTGAGTCATTTGTAGTATGTAGTATTGGTTTTAGTATTTTAAATGTATTATATCACTTAGACAAACTTTATTGATCCACAAGGGAAATCATTTGGTGTCTTGCTATCTTTGCTGCTTATTTAGAATGCATTATTACTATTTATATATTTGCTCGTTGTTATTAAATTATATTGTGATGTGTGAGCCACTGTGTCCAAATAATTTCACTTTTGGATCATTAAAGTTTGTTGAAGTCTAAGTCTAGATTACACAAAATTGACTCTTTTGACCTTGAAATCATGTTATAATATTCTTATCTCATCAAAAACATACCTGGAGTTGTGTTTTGTTTCATTCACACATGTCTGGTTAATTCTGCATTATTAGACTGTTTGCATACTCAAAGCTCAAAATATTCTGTTCCACCTTGTGATGTCATGAGGCGGTAGTTTTCATGTTCTTTTACCTTTAGTTCAGTAGAGATTGACAATTCCAGGGCTGAAATAATCCAAATGGTTCAAGTGATGGTGTATGGAGTTTAAAAACACAATGGAGCACTTCCTGTATTAACACATGACATCACAAGGTGGAACAGAGTGTTTTCAGTTTGGGAGAAGAACCTAAATATGCATGATTTGTGTATTTGTGTAACATGTGTGACTGAAAAACATAACTGTGTAATATGAGCCCTTTCATTTGTTGTAACTTAAACTCTGGTCTTTTTCAGATATTTCTACTCCGTTCCGTTCGGCAGGCGTCAGGACACGCTCATGGGTCACGATGATGCGGTCAGTGCGATTTGCTGGTTTGATAATCGACTGTACACGGCTTCATGGGACTCCACTGTTAAGGTAAATCCTCTGTGATATATGGAATTTGTTTGTAATTACTTTGTTAATTCATTGATTAAAATAGGAAGATGCTAAATGTTTGTTTATAGGTGTGGCACTGTGCTTCTGAAAACGCCCATAAGAGATCTCAGTTTGAACTCTTGGCTGAACTAGAACATGATGCTGGGGTGAGTCTGTATTTACTTTTCATTCTTTTATACTGTTTTTAGTGCAAGGACTTGGTATATAATTCTCTGCTTCCCTTAAAAGTGTCCTCTATATCTTTCTATCTTTTCTAGTATCTATCGTGAATGTATTCATTTACAGGTGTTTGTATTGCCTTGGCTTTAAAATACCTTGAAAACATCCAAAGATCTGAGCTGTAACTTGGCCTTGTTGTGTCACCTTATTGATTCAATAGATTTAATGGCAGGCATCTTGTGTTATACTCATGACCCCTACCAAAAAAGTCACACAGTGCACCTTTGAAATAGTAGAGTGCTCTGAAATCTTTCATTTGATTCATTTTATCATGTACATTTTCGAAAACAAAAATCAACCTTGCATGCAGTCATTCTCTTTACTAGTAAGAAATGGAAAACTAGCATCAAATTGGCTTCCCGTCTCATATTCGTATATATTATTAAAATCTATGTATCAATGATTTATTATGATAAAAGCGTACCCTCTGCATGTTTCTCAGGTGAACAGTATAAACCTGAGTGCTGCTGGGACTCTGCTGGTCTCTGGTTGTAAAGACGGGACGGTCTCCATCTGGGACACTCAGAGCCACGAGGTGCTGCAGCAGGTGCCCTGTCACAGCGGCACCATCCACCACATGGCCTTCAGCCCAGGTCTGTACCACAACACAGGATAAAGAATACACCTACAGGGAGGTTTTGGTGTGAAGATACTGTCCATTATTGTGATGACATTTCAGACATTTTGTTTGATAGATGAATACCTGACACCTTTTATTAAATTTAAAGCCACTTCTAAAATGAAGGTTGTATGGTCCAAATTTTTAAGGCAATAACTTTGAGAATTTGATACTTAACCTTCTTATTTTTTTGTAAGTAAATAATTTTAAATGGTATACGACATAAATATTTTGGTCTATTTCCATTTTTCTCTTATTATTTATTGCAATGTTATGAGTAAAATCTCACAAAAAAGATCAGATTTCAGGGCCACTCCCTTGAAAAGCCCCTGCATCTACAGACAAAAACCTACACAAAGCACACAAAAGCATCGGACATACACAAAGCAGTCTTGTTAGGAGCTTTAATGGACAATGATGCTAACATGAGCTGAAAGAATGTGTGGAGGCGGTGTTCCCCATGAGCCTGACTGTATAAAGGGCTCGTTCTTGTTGGTTTCAGACAGTAGACATGTCCTGAGTGTGGGAGAGGACTGCTATATGAAGGTCATAGATGTGCAGACTGGAATGGTAATGTCTTCAGTGAAAGCAGAAGAGGAGCAGAGGTGAGGTTCCACACAAACATTTTATACTGTACGGTAACACAAAAGACCTCTCTTCCCTATGACTACAATAATAATACTATTTAGAAATATGGTACATTCATTTACTATACCTCTATATGTTTTTTTGTGATTTACAGTATATATTTACACATAAAATTGTAAGAGTTCGCATTTTGACAATACAAATAAACTAAAGAGCATCAATGGCAAAAAATACTATTATTTAAACTTTTACATTTCTCTGTGGTTATGAGACTCTTTGCAGTCAGACCATGAACCTTTTAGGGCACCTACACCGAAATTGAGACTAAATCCAGGACTATACCTGGACTAGAACAGGACTAGAAAATCAGGACTTCATCAGGAGGACTAGACACGCACTAGACCAGAGAGGGACTAGAGCGGGACTAGAATGGGACTAGAATGGGACTAGAATGGGACTAGAATGGGACTAGAATGGGATTACAAAAGGACTACAAAAGGACTACGAACAGGACTACGAACAGGACTACGAACAGGACTACGAACAGGACTACGAACAGGACAACGAACAGGACAACGAACAGGACAACGAACAGGACAACGAACAGGACAACGAACAGGACTAACGAACAGGACAACGAACAGGACAACGAACAGGACAACGAACAGGAACGAACAGGACAACGAACAGGACAACGAACAGGACAACGAACAGGACTACGAACAGGACTACGAACAGGACTACGAACAGGACTACGAAGTGGCAAGATACTTCTTCAACATGTACACCACTTTCTTCGGGGATTATAGTTAAATATGTACTTGTACCACACACTTTAGCTGCTAATTTCACTGATGTAGAACCTGTTGTATATTCAGGTGTTTCTGTTGGGACGGGAGCTCGGTGCTGTGCGGGGGTCAGTCTGGAGACCTCCTTCTGTGGGACCTCCTGAGCAGCACAGTGACCAAGAGGATCCCTGCTCACTCAGGTGAACACCATTATAACAGGCTGTGCTCATGGGAAATCATGACATTTAAATCATGACATTTAAATCGTTGTGAATACTGGGCCTATATAACAATGTGAAACAATAACTGGCTTAAAGCTCAATAGCTTTTTTTTTTTTTTTTTGGTTAGAATAGTTACATGTTCTGAATATTATACTGCTGTGATTGTGTTTTGTGGGGCTAACTGAGGGATTTTCTGTTAAATTTCAACAGAAAAAAAAATAAAAATCCAAGATGGTCAGTACCCAATATTAGTGAGCATTACTTTTATACTTTTGTGCTCACAAGCTAATTTTGTACCAGTTCAGTACAGTTCACTTAGGGCGAGTTATATATACTGTATATATATTTTTTTTTATGGCTGTAGTTACATTTTGTGTTGTTCCTGGTATAGTATAATATTAGTAAAAGCTTTGAGGTTGACAGAGTCTGACCAGGAATTTAAGTCTTTATTTATTTATTTATTTAGTAATCCAAAGTTCATAGTTATCAAATATCCCTTTATTCATTATGTAATGTAATGTCCCCTCTTGTAATGTAATGTCCCCTCTTGGTGTCAGGTCCTGTTACATCGATGTGGATGAATGAGCTCTACACCACTGTGATCACGGGAGGAGACGACAAACAGATCATGTTCTGGAGGCTTTACAGTTGAATCAACCTCTCTATGGAAAAATACTTTGTTACAATACAAGAGACCCTGGTACCAGCCGGTCTGTCCTAGAGGCCTCAGGTTACGTTTGGCTGGTTGGACGTACTGTATCATGACGCGGATGTAAAATAAGTCTGAAATGGTCCCACTATTGCTGTGTACAGGGCTTGATATTAACCACATTCATGGATTTCAGGCAAATCCTTCTTAAAGGAGTTTGTGAGGATTTTTTTCTCATTCAAATTATTTTATATTTTAGTTTTACTATCTTAATTACTATAACAATTGCAACTGTTGGCATAGCTTCAAACCTGTGACTCCAAAGCCAAATACTAGATTTTCATTTTGGCTACAGTTTTACTTTGGCTAGCTATTTTTCCAATAATAATCACTGATATCCAATGAATCATCTTATTACAAGTCATATGGTTATATAAGATATTTGAGACGAATTATTTGTGAAATAATTTAATAAAATTTTTATTAAACAATATATTTGGCTGCTAACACAATTCACTTGCACTAGCTGTTTATTCGCTCAAATTGTGGATGTTTAAAGCATTAGTTATTTCTGTTTTAGTTGAAGCTAGTCCCTCCTAACAACAGGAGTTCATTTGTTTCCCTGTTGCTATGGTGATGCCCACAGCGTAGTGATATAGAACAGTGATTAAGTTGCCGGAACTACCTGTGTGGTTAGTCAAAAATAGTGCGCGGCAATATTATAATTTTCACAGACCATGGTATAACCTGTGGACCAGAATGTACTTTATTTTAGTTTAATAGACCTGAAATAAATTGAAAATAACTTTATAGTATACATGTTATACGCCACAACTTTTAAGACGGCGCTTGCTATTGTAATTATGCTGGTAACTTCAGAAAAAGATAGTTGTCAATTATGTTAATATCAAGCCCTGACTGCATAGGTGCAGGACATCATGAAGGACTTTTTGTCTACTTTAAAATGGCCTATTCATTTTGCCTTGTTATACGTCCTATATAAATTGTGAGAACTTCATATATATTTTTTAATTTACCCGTTTGCTGCTTTTTAATGTTATAATTTGTGTGTCTATGTATTATGTGTAACTGTGTATTGTGCTTTTAAAGTCTTTTAAATACTCAGGTGTGATTCAGGAATTACAGTGACCTGAAAACATATCCCTCGTGTTTTTCTTTTTTGTATTGACAGTCTTCCAGTGTCATTTCTATAGGATTATACTATATATGTATATTGTTTGTATATATAAAACACTTAAACTATTTCTGTTGTTGCAAAAATATATGATTAGGGAGTTGGCATGTGAACTGAAGGTGGCAGCCTTTAACAATATTCTTTACCAGTCCAGCTCTAAATCTTGTGGAGGTATTTTTAGCAATTGAAATAAATTATAGAATAGATTAGATTCAACTGTGTTATCATTACACTTCAGAAGTTGGGAAAATTAAAAGTATGTCATCAGAAAACTGCAACTTCATAACAATAAGCTACTCAAGTAAATATAACTGAGAAGAAGTGCAATAAAGTGTTACTATATTACTATGTGTATTTACAATGTAAAATATCGATTAAATATGTAATTTATAATAAGACATACACATTTTCATATTTTATTAGAAACATAAATTGGAAATACATAATCACATTTTACCATTTAAGAATTAGTTATTCTTATTTAGACAGAAAATGTATGAATACAGCACATATTTGCCTACATGAGAGTAAAAGTAAAGTAAAAATTCCTTGTCATCACTATATTTAGATGAAGGGCATCCAAATCCAGTATTTATTTCTGCTCTGATGAGTGCTGTGGAGACAACATTTCAAATACATATTATTCATGGAAAATCTCAATCTTCACTTCATAAAAATATTCTATCCGCATGAATGTTTATTATGGGATTATGTCAAGTATTTATTTTTATTTTATTTATATATTGAACTTTATAAAATACAAAAACAAAAAAGGCATATTCTCAAATGAACTAGGAACATACCTTTTTTACAAGTGAGGAAAATGAGTAGTAATATTAAATTGCACTACCGTTATTTGTGTTGCTGGTGAAAATACTAGACCACAAATTCAGTGAATTTGGGCCCGTTTTGAATTCGCAAAATAGTTTCTTACTAGTACCATCATTTTTGTAATAAATTGTTTTCTATTTTAAGTTTTGACATTCAACTCTAGACCGAACTAATCATCTTCCCTTTAGGACACCATTGTAACTTGTGAAGACTTGCAGTTTTACCTTGAGTATCCGCAGAGCTCTAAGCATTTTTGGTGTTGCTGGTTTTTCCTGAAAGAGCGTCATTCCTTTGGGTTTCTCCTCGGCTTTAGCCCCGGTAGCAGCTTTTGCCTTCATAAGTTTCCTATAAAATAACATAAAAAATATATTTACTATCAAATATATATGTATATATATATGTATTTTTAGTATTATTATTTGATGTCATTTACCTTCCTTTCCGAGCCAACACTTTCTGAGATTCAGGATAATGGACCAGGATATCGAACAGGTCTTTTTTCTCAAGTACAGAGAGATTAGCGAAACCGTGGGCCTTTACATTGGCCGTGCGTCTGTTTCCTCCATCTTTAGCAGACTGCAGTAAACTAGAGTAGAGGTATAAGTCTATGTTAATGGTTTTATATTTAAGTAAATGTGAATTGACTTTATGTAGAGAATTAAAGACCTGATTTCTCCAAACACACATCCAGCCTTCAGAGTCACAAACACGATGCTGTTGTCTGGTCCTCCCACCACCTGCACTGCTCCACTCTTTATAATGTACATCTCTTTACCAATGTCGCCCTGGCAACATAAAAAACAAAACATTTATAAAATACTGATAAAATTGTGATAAATTACTTTACTTATAGAGTATAGCATCAAATGGCCTATTATTGTCCTAAATACAACAAGAAAAGGTTTCACTTAGAGCTATTTGACATGAAGATAATGACTTTTATTCCTCCAAAGAGCTTAATTACATTTCATAGTACAGCTTGGTCTTAATGATTACATATTATTTATTATCCTTATTTGGTATGGGAACGCCGTGGGGTCCCACCGGAGCAGGAGGTGGAGGAAGTGTCTGGTGAGGGAAGTCTTATACTTGAAGTCAGTATTAGTCTAAAGCTCACTCACTTTTCTGACCACAAAGTCTCCTGGTAGATAGATGATGGACTTGAGCCGAAGCAACATGTCCACTAACATCTGCTGGTCACAGCCCTGAAGGAAAAACAGAAATACAATACTGTGTGAGTAATAGATACATTTGGTTTGTTTGGGCTGCAGTGCTTTTGGACCACCTTGAACAAATCTATCTTCTGGAAAGTTGCTAAATTGATGTCGACTGCAATGGCCGTCTTCATCACCAGAGGCATTTTATCCAGCAGCTCGGACTCATCTGAGGACAAAAGAAAAACAGTCAACAAATAGACAAAAAAACTTCAAGAAATAATTGTTTGGTCAAAATTACCCAGCATGCCTTGCGCAGCCCATGTGTAGTTGTACCACATGCGGACTCTGTTCTGTACCATTCTGGGGATGTGGTACGTGTTCATGTATTCCACGCAGTCATCCATAGACGCTCTGAAGTATGTCTGTGCGGCTGTGGCTGCTCCAATCACATCTCTCATCTGTTAAAATAAACCACTTTTATGATAGAGCTGTATTTAAATTATACTCATATTCATACATAATATCAAAACAGGGATTGTTTGTCTCTATTATGTTCTAAACTACTATGTTTTTATACTCCATCAAACCATTATTAGTATTTGAAAAAAAATCTTACATTTAGACAATCGACAATTTGACTATTTAACTTAATACCTTGGGGTTTAGTAACATACATTTAAAAAAGTCCTCATGTAATATTTTATGTGTAAATAAGCATTTTTTGTGTCAAAATTGCTACAATTGCACATATTTGGAACATGTGAATCTGAAAATGCATAGCCAGGTTTAAATTTCTTATTCCTTTTGCTGACATGAGACACAATACATTTACATAAGAGAGGGGTCTTATTTTCAGTAAACTAGATTTTACAAAAAAAAAAAAAAATCTTCAAAATGAAAATATCCTCAACCAGTTGAAAAGTTACAGAAGTATATCTAACTCAATAAATGTAACAAACTACTAACCATGCATCTCTGTTTTTGTACTAAACTGTTTTCACACTTAAACACTTAAATATTACCATTTGAAACCATTTGTCCTCTGACCTGTCCAATCAAACTAGAGAAGACAAAGACCCCAATGAAGAAGTTCAGCATCTGGAAGGAGATCTCATAGATGTTGGTGGGCTCCGGGAGACCGCCGATGTTAATCAGACTACGCACTGCGAAGTAGTAACACCGCAGGTATCTACAGAGGGAACGCACAGGGCACAAAACACAGATTAATGCAATTATTCACACAGAACAAGAAGTACACTTAAAGATTTAGGGATTTTAACACAGACACCTGGTTCTGTCTGTGGAGATGTTATTGCTCTACCTGAAAAGTTTCACAGTATGGCATTAAATGTATCTATCTTGCATTTATTGTCCAAAAGTCCCTTGATAAACATGCATTCTTACTCTCAGCCGGATCATCTGTACATGATTCCATGGAGATAGATAAGTTTAATGCAAGCATGAAGACAAGTTTAGGAGTTTCAATCTATTTTAATACAAAGCTCATTGGTATCAGTATTGGATGAATATTGTGATACTTGGCATATACAAAAATCAGTGGTATTGCTCATCATACTAGACATTTCATTGATATTCTTCACTTTATTAAAGCTACCATCTGTAATTAGATTGGCTGGCCCACCCCGATGTATTCTCACAGAACAGCTCTAGATACTGACTATGTTACTGCTGTCTGATAGTGTGACCAGAGAGCACAGATCCTGAACAAAAGACAGGTCAGGGCAGGGGGGAAAAGCTTCACCTGACATACTTCTACTTACGCTGTTCCTTTGCCGTCATAGACCCAGTGGGTGGTGCCGAGGCCCTGGAAAACTGAGGCCACATAGTAAAAGCATGCGTTAATATGGAGCGCGTACAGGAGGTAGCCAGTAGTCCGAGCCACTCTGTGAGAAATATAAATAAATAAAAAATGTACTATTTATACATTTAAGTAATTCCTCAAGTAAGATTAAAGAGATAAAAAGAATTACCTCCAGATATAAGCCTTAGCCATGATACTCTCAAGACGATCGCTGAATTCAAAGAAGGAATCGAGCTGAGAAAAAGAGAAAGACATTTTATACAGTATAAAATGATAATAACCAGTGATAATATGTCAGTGTATTTTTTTGTGTTGATGAGACAGTTGTCATGTTTAATTGGGGACTATCTGATGGACCATTTGATATTGTGAGGAAGGATACAATACTATTAATATAGAAAATGTTGCCTTACTCTGATGAAGCGGTTGAAACGATACCCAGAGGAGAACTCAAACTGCAGAGTGAGGAGGTCAAATGGGATGATACTGAATATGTCTGTCTACAGAGGGGGAAATAAAAATGAATAAAAACATAAAAAAAATAGGAAAAGATAAAGTCATATTGCTATAAGGCTTGAAAAAGTCTTACCTTAAATTTGGGGGATTTACGGTAATGTTCTTTGGTCAAAACTCTGTCTTTCTGTAAAGATAAAGATTGAGTACAGAGGAGAATCTGCCACCTGCATGTTTTCAAATTGATTCTATTTCTTTGCCTGGAATGTTCAACAGTATAATATTAGAAGAAAATACTCATCTGCTTGTCCTCATATTGTTTATAAATAGATAAGTTTAATGCCATACTGTGAAACATTCCAAAAAGCACTTACAAGTTATCCTTTAAAGAGATTTTTTTATTTTTTTTTGCATTTTGGATTTTAATTACAAAATGTCTAAATTCAAATATATCAGGTTGGAGTTTTTTTGTTGTAGATTCTTATTTTTTTGGACCTACAATGATGTCTCCAGCTTTGACGAACTGAAGCCTGGGCTGCCAAATGATGATGTCAATGACGTTGATAATGTCACTGACGATGTCGAAGAAGATCCAGAACGGGTTTACGGTGGCGTTATGGAAGGGGAACGCCAGACGAGCCGTGCACAGCCACACGTTATAGTTATACGCCACGGCAACAAACGCCATCCATGAGATGTACCTCCGATCTAAGGACAAAAAAAACACAGTAGAGCTTTATTATGGAGAGTTCTGGGTTGCTGCTGCACAATATTTTCCAATTATTCGTGGGTTTCAGCTTGTTGCTGTAGGTGACATTTTGAGAACTTTTCATCATTCAAAAGATGTACAATTTTGTCGAAGTTCTTACTTTTTCATCATTCTGAAACCAATAGAGGCAAAGTCCAACTTAAAAACTCAACCCAACTCAAAGTCTAACTTGCATAAATAATGTAATGTAAATCAATTTAAAGGAGCTCCTATTTTAGACCAATTTTTGTAGAGGTTGTAGTAAAAAACCAAAATGAGGTGATTCAGTACATAGATATTTGTCATGATTTGAGATGAGTAAGTCATCCTAAAGAAATAGTTCCATCTTTTCACAGTATTATTATATTATACATTACAATGATCCCTCTAAGACAAAAAAAGTTCTCAGATTTAACCGGTCTTGGTGCTTGGAAAGCCTGTCAAGAGCCGTACTGCACCTGGGGACACATTTCCAGATCTTGAGCTAGACTTGTTCAGGACTACCTTAGCTGGAGGACTTTACCTATTGTGCATATTTAGACTGATGTGGGGAGTTCTTTGAAAAAGAAACTCATCCAGACACAGGAACCTTCTTGTTGTGAGACCACATGTTCACATCCCTGTGCACGTGTCTCTCACCTGTGAAGGGGTCTATGGTGGAGCCCAGCACATTGTCCATCTTGGCCTCGATGGGGTGGAAGAGCACGTCAAAACAGTGGCAGTGGAATTCTGGGAGGATCCTCTGCTTCCTCTTGGCCTCTGCAGCCAGCCTCTCTTCTTCTGCTTTTTTCTCCGCCTCCAGTCGCTTCTCTTCATCTTTCTTCTTCTTCTCCTCTGCCTTTTTAGCTGCTTCCTCTGCTTTCTTCTTGTCTGCCTCCTCCTTAGCGATGCGTTCCTCCTCCTTCATTCGAATGTAGTCCTCCTTCTTGTAAATGGGAGCTAAAAACAAAAAAAGTCTTCAGTTTCTTTTCACGATTACTACTTCAAAATTACTACTATACTGCTAGTATTATAGTAAAGTTGTTTTCTATTCTAGGGATCCTTTTTCTACTTCTTCTAATACTCCCACTATGACAATTATCAACATTGTTGAAAATGTTTTACATTTTAGCCCTATGACCTGTAGTATGATTTTTTAATATATACAAGTGGAGGTAAGTGGGCAGGGATCGGGGGGAGAATTGAAATTTCTTGAGCTCTCAAGCTTCGAATGCAGGATAATACAAGATTAATCAAACATGAACTAATTGAAATACAAATCAATCAATATACACTTAAAATACAATGCTCTTAAAAGTTAATTTGACTCTATACAATGTCCCCTTTAATATTGATGTTATTCCTGTACTCACTGACAGGTGGAGTGATTTCTGGAGACGTGGCATATGGATCTATGACTTTGTCTTTGAGTTCCTTTGTTCGTTCTTTCAGTAATTTGGCCACAGCTCTGAGGTGGTCATCTGCGAAACGGGAGTAGACCACGGGAGGAGGAGGGGGAGGCGGCTCTTCACTGAAAAGAAAAATATATACGGATTAAATAATACAATACATGCATAATCTTGTCCATATATTAGACCGGTATATGGAAGCTATAAGGGATAGTAATAGAAATCCTCACAGAAGAAGTTATTGGTAATAAACTGTATAATTTTAATTCAGGCTACAGTATGTTGTGTTACCAAGCCAAGTTACAAGTCAGTTCTTTATGGAAAGACAAACCAGCTCACAATAAGAATACATGCTTTTTTTTCTGTTATTATTAAAATCACATTTAACTGAATAAAAGCAAGACAGATAGTTTTAATGCCATTTAATTCCAAACAAAGCAATAATATCTCCATGCAGACAAACAGGTGGTGGATGAAACCCTCACCAGAAAAGTAGCACAGTGAACTTTTAAAGAATTAAATCACCTATGAGCAACACACAATGCTAAAAAAAATAACTGAAATACCAAATGAAATTAATTAAAACAATAGAAACCAGCATATCACATTCTAGATATGCTATTTTCAACATGGTAGAGTTTAAACATCGTAAAATCAACAGCTGAAGAAGCAAGTTTGATTCAGGCCTAGAGACAACAGTGTTATTACTATATGTGATCACTGTGGGTCACAAATACCTCTAAGCCTCTAATCTGCTTTTCCCTCTTTAGCCTCAGACAGTCACATTGTGCAGGTGGATGCTACAAAAGCCAGTGTTCAGTAACAGTGAACGTAAACATACTGTATATATAATAAGGGGCATTGAGTTTGTAGTGATGGGTTCAGCTGTGTATTAGTGTAAAGTCAAACTCAGTTTAAGAAAAATAAGCTTCATATTCAGTGGCACAAACAAAAATACTCTTTTAAACATGACATCTGCCTGTTTTGACACTTTCTGACACTGTTTTGACAGACTTTTGAGGACTTTTGGATATTCATGAGATCTAATATTTGGACTGTGTTAATTATTGCACAGAAAACCCTGTTCGCTGTGGTCATACTACTTCCGCTTCTGAATATCAAGACCATTCATAGTACAGATACCTGCTCAAATCTAAAATTAGAATGAAGAAGAATGAATGAAGTCATGTATAAGTGTAGATAGTGCCTCATACCCGTTTGCCTCCTCTGGGTTTGCAGCAGCAGGAGCTCCAGGGGCAGGTGCAGCGGGGGCAGGTGCAGCAGGGGCAGGTGCAGCAGGGGCAGGTGCAGCAGGGGCAGGTGCAGCGGGGGCAGGTGCAGCGGGGGCAGGTGCAGCTGGGGCGGGTGCAGGTGGGGCAGGTGCAGCTGGGGCAGGAGCTAAAACCATAAAAAAAACCATTGAATAAAATAGCATGAAACAAAAGAACAAACATATGATCTTATTATAGGCCTATGCGCTCTGGAAATCATTAGCTCAACACTAACAAAGACCAAAAATAAAGTTTTTTTGAAATAATCTACAATTTATTTATATAGTCACAACATTATTTGGTAAAATTTGACTCATAAAGAAATGATTTTATATATAGATGGTCTAATTATATTCCATCTGTCTGTGTTATCAGGTGAAGTCTGAGGGCCGACCTTGTTTTGGCTCTTCTTTTTTTGGTTCTGTCTCATTTTCTTCTTTTTTCTCCTCATCTTTTTTCGGGGGCTCATCCTTTTTCTCTGGAGGCTTTTCTTCCTGTTTACAAACACATTTATAGTTTAAAATGAGGCTGTGCAATTAGGACCACAGCTAATCCTCTATAGCCAGTAAAAGCATGTGGTTTCAAGTTCAGACTATGGAGGAAAAATACAAGTAAATAAAATAAGATAGTTATAGTTAATAGAAAAATTAAATTCATTTTTATCATATTGCACAGCCCAACTGAAAAGAACTACATTATTATTATAAGTCCAGTTCACATGCATTTGACAAAGTCTTTCAGATATAAATAGTGATCAATGACACTTGGGCTCTCTTCCAGACATGACTTATGTTTGGCTCCAAGTGAATTTACAGGATGCTACTGATGCCACTCAGAGTTTTCAGTATCACAAATAACACTGTTTATATTATTAAAACTATATCATATTCAAACTGTAAACACCAAACAATAAAAAAGTTACTTGAGAGAGATATATTTAGAAATTTGGAAGAGCAAATCAATCCTCCAACTTACTTAAATGCAGACAGAACCTACTGTTGTTTGTTGTTCTAATATATTACATAGATTTATTTATTTATTTATTATATTTTTTTCTTAATACACCACCAATTTTAACTGAATGAAATCCAAATAATAGCAGTAGACTTAGTGGTAAAAATCTTTTTTTTTTCAATATTAGATGTTGGTAATAGTTTAAGTTATACAATAAATTATACACTTTTCCAAACAAATAAGTCTGGTTAAGGTACACACTATAAATTATACTAAAAGTGTGGGTCTTACCCTTGTAGGTGGAGGCGGGGCTTGTGGCGGGGTCTGGGTGGGCTGGAACAGCTGCTTTAACCTGCTGAACATCGTCTCCAAGGGTAGTAACCGTTAGGGGCTACAGTAATAATAACAACAGCCCTTCTCTCTTACCCAGAATCTCCTGTTTGCCCCTGGACCTGTCCCGTCCTCACCTCACTCCAAACACTGAGCCCATTAATTCTTTAGACTCATTAATTCCAAGTAGGACACACCCACTTGGCTTCAACAACAAATGTGACTGGGATTTGTAATTCAAATGTTAAGAAAGGTTTAAAAAGTCTATGAGCGGACATAAAATAAAAAGAATGGGCCAGTTTTTTTTTTTGTTTTTAGTAAAGAGTGATTTGGTAATATTGGAAAAATGCAAATTAAAATTAGTAAATTAAACAATGCAACTGTAAAATTGCGTACAAAAACTAAAGTTTACCTATTACCTAAACATGAAAATACAAAAATAAAAGTCAATGTTGGGTTTATTTTATGATCAGATTAAACAAACAATAATGCCAGCATTACTTTTTTTATACTATACAACAGTGCAGAGTCATTTCAATCTGGTTTATAAATACAGCTACTGTGAAATATGCTTAATGCAAATAAAGTCCAGTGGTATTGTAACACAGTTTGAATTCAGAAATATACAGACATTTAGATACAATTTCCCTATGTACAAAATGTGCAGGAAAATAATACAACCAAAATAAAACACTCCCAAAAAGGAGCACATAAAGTGTTATAAATGAATATATGGTGTCCAGTTCATGCTTTTGTCTGAAAATGGGAACAAAACAAATGTGACTATTAGCTGCAGTGAATTTTCAGGATAAAGCAGCATTGTAAAGAGAGAAAAGAGACATGTACCTTGAGTTTGTCAATGATCGATTTGTTGATGGTTCCTCCGATGGCACGCAGCAGTTTGGGTGTGGCGGGCTTGGGTCCAAACAGAGCCAGGCCTTTCTTCTTCTCCTCCTCTGCTTTAGCTGCAGCTGGACCTTTGGATTTCATGAGTTTTCTGTTTTCAAGAAAAATAGAACTAGTGAGCAAGGCAATTTAAATTATGAATTAAGTTAATGAATGCCTCTGGTGTCATTACTATTATGCTGCATATTTTTCATTTATCAGTGAGAAATGTCTCTTTCCCATAAACTGTATAAAGAAGTGGACTAAGGCAGTATGACGTCATCCATAGCATTCAGCTCCAGTCATAAATAAAAAAAATAAAGACACCAGATCATGTAGAGCAGGTCAATGAGAAAGGACTGACAATTTATCAATACAAAGCCCGTGCTCACTTCCTATTTGGAACGTGGGGGCTAGTGGGTTGCTATGTCCATTTATATATACAGTCTATGGTCTTGCTCAGGGACACAACATCTGTATACACTCATGCCTGGTTTGATTCTTGAGGTAAGTGAAGAATCAAACCAAGCATGAGTGCATACAGATGTTGTTAATAGAGACATATGCAAATGTGTACCGGTACTCTGCTGCTGCTGACGGTAGAAGGGGTAGAAACAATAGCCCAAGTAGTAGTAGTGGTAGTAATGGTGGTAGTAATAAAGATTTTCTTCAGTCTCTGATTAACTCACCTTCCCTTCCGGGCCAGGACTTTCTGTGACTCTGGATAATGGACCAGAATATCAAACAGGTCCTTCTTCTCGAGCACAAAGAGGTTAGCGAAGCCGTACGCTTTGACATTCGCTGTTCGCCGATTTCCTCCATCTTTGGACGACTGCAGCAGACTGTGAAAAAAGTGTGAAATGTTCAGAAAATCAGGTGTACAGAGGTTACTTAGCAAGAAGCTATGACTATATTCAACTATTATAAAACAACGTAAGTGAAGTGTGTGAACTTAAAATCAACACACATACTTTAAACAGGCTTGTATTAAAACTAGGCTGTTCATACCAGTCTTCTAAAATATTTATACATTTCTGCATATTTTTTTCAATTGTGCCAATTCAACACACGATACTCAATTTCTAAGCGATATGGGAGATATTCTTAAAATAAAAACTGTTTATCTTTCAGTATCACTGAGACTATAATCTGTCATTCAAAAATATAATATTTAGATTTGAATGGCTCGTGAATAGGTTGAATGGCCAAACCGTGCTTTATTTTCTGACCTGATTTCTCCAAACACACATCCAGCCTTCAGAGTCACAAACACGATGCTGTTGTCAGGTCCTCCCACCACCTGCACTGCTCCACCCTTTATAATGTACATCTCTTTACCAATGTCGCCCTGGACAAATACAAGAGTGTAAGCCATATATAGTACTCAAAACAATTTATATTTAAGAGTTTATAAAGCTTTTGTGTAATTAAACTCACTTTTTTGACCACAAAATCTCCTGGTAAATAAATAATAGACTTAAGTCTCAGCAACATGTCCACCAACATCTGCTGGTCACAGCCCTGAAGAAGATAATGAATGAAATACAGTCAAATATGAAAATACAGGCATAGTGTTGTTGACTAAAATGAGGAAACCCCACGATTTTAATGATGCCAGGAATATGTGTGTGAGTGTAATTTAGTGGGGTTTCATATATTTAACTGTACCAATAAAATTTGACAATGATTAAACATATATTTAATAAGACGGACATGGCCCTAAAATAACATTATAGACTCATAAGAATTACATTTAAATAAAATCAACACCAAATTCAAGACATTGATGTATTTCCAGTAAATTCATATTTTTTTGGATGTTGATCACTATGTTTGTTTATAACTGTTTACCTTGAACAGATCGATCTTTTTGAATGTTTCCAGGTTGATGTCTACAGCGATGGCCGTTCTCATCACAAGAGGCATCTTATCCAGCAGCTCAGACTCATCTAAAATCATCACATCAACCACAAACTCAATGAAAATGCAATGAGGTAAAACAGGCTGCAAATTTTCCTCATATTGATCGTTAACATTTTATTTTATTTAGACAACAAAGAGAATGTGTGGCATGATATAGATGATACAGATATTATGCCACAATGCAACATTTTTATTCTTTGTGTCCTAGATGTTCATGTGACAGTGTCTTGTGACTGGTGGCTGGTCCATTTAAAAGTGCCTTGCATCTTTTTAGTCCTTCTTACCCAGCATGCCTTGTGCGTCCCAGGTGTAGGTGTACCAGGTGCGGACTCTGTTTTGGACGAGTGAGGGGATGCGGTTGGTGACCATGTACGCCACAGTGTTGTCCATGGAGGTTCGGAAATATGTCTGACCAGCTGTGGCAGCGCAAATGACGTCCCTCATCTGAGACACAGAGAAGCACAATGAGAAATAAAACTGGTATTTACCTTATGTTTTTATGTTGACAAGTGCTGCTGTTATTCATGCAAAATCACTGGTCTATTTTTATTGCAGACAGAGACAATAAATATATTCTTTCAGTACCACTTTATAATAACTACACCTTAATTAGCCTTAATAGCATGAACAAAAACATTTTAATGAACAAATAGTTTATTAATAATGATTCACAACAAAAAGGTTGGGGTTAGAAGTTGGGTTATGTTACGGTGCTGATTAAGTAGTTACTAAACTGGATAAAAATGTGTTCAAAATTATGAATTCATGCTTTATTAAGGCTATTAAAAGTGTAGTTATTATTACTCTACTTTCTTATACATATTAAACCTTTTATGACAACACCAACACTTGCGTATTTATCTGTTCACAATAAAACAATCTTTTAAAGGTCTCATATTATGCTTTTTTACAGCACTGATAATGCTTGGATTACGTGAATTAATTGTCACTTTTGCTGCCAATTTTGTAGAATTGTTGATCAAACCTTAACTTCTTAGGTTCTTTTAAAAGACCATTCAGTAGGAGGTGTATTTACCTGGTTGACACTACTACAAAAACATGATGAAATTCTCAGAAAAGCTGAGTTAACGTAATATGGGACCTTCAGGTACATTACAGTTTCAAACTACAATCACTGAAGCTTTATGTTAGGCAAGTAACCATGGTTAAACTAACTACAGAGACAGTAAGGACAGGCTACGGTCAATCTGGAAATCTACGGATGTCGATGGGAGGTTAGCTGGTGCTACAGATTCTGGGCCCCTGTCTTTTACCTGTCCGAGTAAACTGGAGAACACAAAGACCCCCGTGAAAAAGTTAGTCATCTGAAAGGCAATCTCAAAGACGGTGTGGGGCTCGTTAAGACCCCCGATGTTGATGAGACTGCGGACGGCGTAGTAGTAACAACGCAGATACCTGAGGAGAGGGGGGGCCAGTTAGACGAGGAGAAAAGGGGTAAGTGACGAGTGGAAAACTATGGCTGGGTTTGGGGTATTTCCCACTGGCATGAATTGGAGAGTGTTGTCTTTGTTCTTGAGTCATCTGAGGGTATAATGCTCCCTACAATGGAAGCTTTAACAATACATTCATGTGTTTATGTGTCATGGTCTCGCACTAATGGGGAATAAACCTCTCTTGCATTATATTTCCATAGTCTCTGGCCTCAATATGTAACTTTTCTGGTGCAAGGTCCCTCTTCCGCATGCTTGTTTCCATGGAGAGGATATTGCTTTGCCTAGAATGTTTCACAATTTGGCATTAAACCTGTCTCTGTAATTCCTCAATCGCTCAGGTAGGTAAGTTCCATCACAAAAGAAAATTAAACTCTGTCAAATGGACAAAAGTTTTGAAGTGAATATGTTTCAACACTCGTCCAAGTGCCATAGCTTTTTCAGTTTAGCATTACACTTTTATTTCCATGGAGACAACCGGTCAAATCTGTGGAGACTTTACGAAGTCACTTTAAGAATGCATGCTTTTAAGTGTTTTTAGGCAATAAAACACCTCTAATTGAATCAGTCCAAGAAGTTTAATGCCATACTGTGAAACATTCCAGGCAAAGAAATAACATTTCCATGGAGACAACAGGTAATGAACCCTCCACCAGAATAGTAGTAGTACCTTTATTTAATATTTCCACACACTGCCATTCAGCTCCTTGTTCAAAGCTTGCGTTACAAATTTACAGACACAAGCCAGGCCAATGACAAAGCACAACACAACAGTTAAACTACCTGCCCAAGAATGACGGACAGAAAGAAAGCCCCAAAAAGGTAGTTAGTCATCTGAAAGATCTGTCCGAACATGCAGTCAGGAACGGGCAGCTCAGCGATCATCAGCAGGGACTTCTCCGCATAGAAGAAGCAGCTGAGGTAACTGCACCAGCACCAGCACAAACACAGTTACATTGTGGATATGTGAAGGCCACAATGACATTTATGTTTTAAATAAATTGTTATCCTGTCTCAACAATTTCTCTACTGCACGTGTGCGTGGGAGCAACACATAAAGTACACTACATAACATAACTTGCTATGGGAAAGATTCATACATTTCTGAAGGCCGTGTATTGTGTTGATCTTTTAACACCAATTTTAAGTAAGAATAACCATTTTTCTGAATTCAATTTCCAGGAAATTATGTGATAATATTCCAACATCCAGGTGACGTAATTTCTATAATATGAAATGTCCACTAGCCTTTTGACCACTTCTCCCACAATTTTGTCTTACGAGATCTTGTGGCATGAGAGTATGTCTCATCCTTAATATTCACTGTCTGTATTTTATATAGTTTAACAAAGAAAACAGTTTTTAAAATGGCAAACAAATGCTGTAGTGAAATACTGCAAAATATTATGTGCAATGTATCAATTTTCATACAGTATATATACAGTATATATATAGCAAATAGTGACAATAACATATTGAGCCATGTCTCTGTCATCAAATCATGAGGGACCCTGTGATTTTCAGCTTGTACTCTCCTGTACTATTACCAGTGTATTTAAAGGAATGAAGATGTAAAATGCAGTGTATGTAGTGTATATTGACTTACGCACTGCCCTGTCCAGAGTAGACCCACTTGGTTTTCCCAATGCCCTGATAATCTGAGGCCACATAGTAGATGCAGGCGTTAAGATGGAGCATGAACAGCAGATAACCAATGGTGCGGATCACTCTGACAAAAAAGGATTTAATTGCACTTGAAATAACATGTTTTTATTTTTCAGTTTGTTAGCAAAGACCTACCTCCAGATGTAAGCTTTCGCCATTATACTTTCCAGACGATCACTGAACTCAAAGAATGACTCTGCCTTGAAAACAAAATAGGTAAGTACAGTGATTAATTGTTAAGTATGTTGCATTTTATATCTGATACAGAATTAAAATGTTAGCAGTGATTTTGCATAAAACTTACCTTCAGAAGACGATTGAATCTGAAAATGGATTTGAAGCCAAACTGGTAGTACAACAGGTCAAAGGGCATCAGGGACAACATGTCATACTGGAGTTACAGGAGACAAAAAACTTTATTTTACTTTCTTACATTTTTTATTATTTAAATATTTTTAATAATATGGATGAAAAACCTATAGAAGGACAGACAACTAAGTAACTGGTGTGGTAAGTTACCTTAAATCTGTCTGAGTCTCTGTAGTGCTTTTTGGTCATCACTCTGTCTTTCTGAAATGATACAGTATTTAGTTAAAACCATTGCTATTTTACAAACCACTACACTGCTACATAATAATATCTAGCAGGTGTTAAAATGGTCCAGAACTCAAATTTGAGTTTCATTCAAAATAATGAATTAAGACAACATAATCACGACGTGATATGTTTTTGGCAGTGTATTTCTTTAACACAATTCAAACTCACTATGATGTCTCCTCCTTTGACGAACTGTTTGCGAGACTGAAAGATGATGCTGTCTGTGAGGTAGATGAGGTCAGCAATCACGTCCACGGCAAACCAGTATTTAATGGCCCCCTCCTCATGGTATGGGAAACAGAGCCGTGCGGTCAGGAACCAGATGTTATAGTTAACGGCTATGGTCACTAGACTCAGCCAGGCGATGTACCGGCGATCTGCAAGGATCAAAGGTACTCATTAAAAATATGACACATACTGAATAGGACTTACAGGCATTAGACTTGTATTTAGTATCAAATTTAAAAAAAGAACACTTGTGCATCAATCTTAAAGGTGCCTTGTGTAACTTTACCTATTTAGCTCCATGGAGATAATTTTTTCCTAGAATATTCCACAGCAAATGTTTAGATGTATCTATCTCATAGAGACAAGCAGGTAACACCAACAGGTCAAGTTATAAATCACATCTCTGAATCTGACAATCAGAACCACTCACTGTACACAGGACTGTTTTTCATTGTATTTTAGAGCAATAAACACTTCCAACTGAATAAAAGCAAGATATATAAGTTTAATGATATACACTGTGGAACATTCAAGACAAAACATCTCCATGGAGACAAGCAGACCAGCAGGCAAGCCGGAATTTTGTCTGTCTTGGACCCAGGATTGACATCACACTTTTTTTTAGTACCGATGATACTTTTACTGTAACTATTACTTTTACTCTACAATTGCCCAAAGAGAACACACTTATAAACTACAGACACACTGACAGAGTGTGCATGTTCTGCATATTCTTCCAAAACAATCCACAGTTGAATAAATGAGTATGCCCTGCCTTCTATCTACACTTCTATCTAGTGGTCTATGCCAAATCACAATAACATTACAGGGAACTCCACTCCAACACACATGCCAACAATGAGATGATGCTACAATAGACAGACAGGTAGATCTCAGTATGTTATTACCTGTGAAAGGGTCTATGGTCGCTCCGAGCACAGAGTCCGTCATGTCCTCCACTGGCTTCAGCCCCATATCCACAAAGGACCAGAACGCCTCCTTGGCCCTGATCTTGAGTGGGACTTTGGGCACCTCCTTCAAGGCCTCCTCTGCTTTCTTCTTCTCCTCCTCTTCCTTCTTCTTCTGCTCTGCTTCCTGTTTCTTTTTCTCTGCTTCCTCTTTCTTCTTCTTCTCTGCCTCCTCCTTCTTGATGCGGTCCTCCTCAGCTTGGCGTTTTCGCTCCTCAATCACTCTGGCGTACTCTTCTTTGCCCAGAATAGGAGCTGAAGGAACAAAGAGAAGATATGGACCTGTTTAGTTATTTTAAAATTACTACTTTGTAATTGAGTACACGGTAATTCATAGTAGACTAACATTTTATCCTTGCAGCAGTTCATATTATTGTTGAGGTTTTGCCACTGGAAGATGATGGATAATGTCTTGTAGAAAGTCGTCATTTATTTACAGCAAAGAAATACTTTTCTCAGAAATCTCTGCAAAATTTATTCGATCAAAAAACTTTTGCCCATTTGACATATTTGAATCCTACCTGGACAGATTTAAAAACATCATTTATTTACATATTTGTGTTTTCAGGAGGCAATTAGAAGGCCAAAATATAAAGTTAAACTAAATGTCTATCCGAGAGACCATCTCATATAGTTGAATGTGATGAGACATGTAAGAACAGATTCTGGAAAGTTAAGGTCTTAGAGAGTAACTGCAATAACATTGTATAAATCGAGTTTGGAGTTGTGATAGTTGTGTGACATATTACATCCCTTACGGCCAGTACATCAAAAAAGGCTAGTGATTATTTATTTTTATTATTTATTATTATTTTTATTTTATTATTACTCAATTTTATTATTTTTATGTATTTATTTATTTATTTATTTTTTGAGAGAGAGAGTGATTATGTATATAAATTTGACTTACCAAGTGGCTGTGCAGGGCAACCAAAAGAAGGGCAGGCCTATATCGTTTGTGGGCGCGTACTTCAACTTGGACTAAAACTAATCTAATCAATCAATAGTCAAAAATACTGACTGATCAAACTTTGACTAAATTCATCTTATTCATGTTTTCTTCTTGTTTTGTTACAACTAAAACAATCTCAGTCCTCTAGTCCGCTGTACTCACTGATAGGTGGAGTGATCTCTGGAGAAGAGGCGTACGGGTCTGAGGCTTTCTCTTTGTAGATCTCCAGTCTTTCTCTCATGAGTTTGACGATGGCCCGGAGCCGATCATCCGAGTATCTGTTCACCACGATGGGCGGAGGAGTGGGGGGTGGGGCCGCTTCTTGGCTAAAAAGTTTGGGGAAAAAAACAATAGTAATATTATTTTTTTTTTTACTTTAGTATTATTATTATTAACAGTTTTACAAATACTTAGAGTTAGGAAAAAAACAAACAAAACAACAACAAATAAAATAAAATAAATAAATAAATAAACTTAAATAAAAAGTAAATAAAAAACAAACAAACAAAAAAACTGCCTATTCAATTGTTCACTTGCTTATAAAATCAATCAGAAGTGGTTCGATATTTCCATTATGACAAACGAATGCGTCACAAAATTAAAAGTGTCATCAAAGAGTTGAATCTTTTCACTCATTTACGCATTTGTTTCTCTAATGCCTCCTGGCGGACATCTTCACGCATTGCATGTACAGGAAGAATAATGTTGATATACAGTATTAACATACAGTACACTTTAGTTGAGGAACAGTTCCAATTCAACTTGTAAACTTAAGTGAAGTTTATGTATTAATAATGTCATTCATCAGAAAATAATAAAACAGAACAGTCTTCCTTTTCACCCATGTGTTCTCTTAAGTGTATTTTATTATTTATTTATATTTTTGTTGCCGAAATACATAATTGAAATTGTATGGATGAATAAAACAAATTACATGAAACCAACTTCTGTCTATAACTCCAGCTCCAAACTCTTATTACTGCAGTCACCCCCAGTCTCTCTCTTTAAAACCTTCAAATCAGGCAAGAAATCTCGGGGTAATAATGGACTCAGAACTTTAACAGCCACATCAAATCAATAACATCTGCAGCCTTTTACCATCTAAAAAACATAGCAAAAATCTAAGGTTTACTGTCTAAAGCAGACTTGGAGAAACTTATCCATGCGTTTGTCTCCAGTAGGTTAGACTACTGTAATGGTCTGCTCACTGGTCTCTCCAAACGAGCTGTGAGACGCTGCAGAACATCCAGAACGCTGCAGCTCGGGTCCTTACTCGAACTAGGAAGTACGAGCACATAAGTCCTGTGCTCAGGTCTCTGCACTGGCTTCCTGTGCCTCAGAGAATAGACTTTAAAGCAGCTCTGCTTGTGTACAAGTCTCTCCATGGCCGAGCACCAAAGTACATCTGTGACATGTTAGTGTCATATGAACCATCTCGCACTCTGAGGACCTCAGGGACCGGCCTCCTGCTGGTGCCCAGAGTCAAGACTAAACAAGGGGAGTCAGCGTTTCAGGTTCATGCAGCTAAAACCTGGAACAGTCTGAACATGTGAGACAGACTCTTCTGTGACGCTGTTTAAATCCAGACTCAAAACATTTCTGTTTAACTGTGCATAATAACTGAAAGGTTTTCATTCCGCACTCTTCTCTCCAATTTATGTCTCTCTTTTTTTTATTTTAATCTTCATGATTATTTATGTTTTGATTTGTTTTTATTATGATTTTAATGTATTTCTTATTCTGTAAAGCACTTTGAATTAATTACTTTGTGTACGAATTGTGCTATACAAATAAACTTGCCTTGCCTTGCCTTGCCTTATTACTATAAATGACCTATAATTTAATTCTTTATCAGCACAAACATTATATAAGTGTACATCTATTATGTCTGAGTTTCACTTTTGACAATAGTGGATCATCTTCACCTGTCATTCTCATACTTTTGCTGCTGTGATGGGAGCAGTGCCCTGAGCTCCTTTGGGCTTAAATCGGAAAATCCTTTAATCCACTTTGCTCTTGTCCCCCTGTTAATATGCCTGTTGCACCAGACTGGACAGCGATCTGGCATCACTGGTCCCTCTCTGTTAGCTGTCAGCCATCTTGCCAGCCAGTCTCATTAATTACACTTTGGGAGATTTGTTTAATTCTGGTTTGAGGTGTCACTTACTTGGCAGGTCTGTATTTGGATTGGAAAACCTCTGTAAGAAACTGATACTAAGATTAACACCACTGTTTCAAATGCTATTTTGATTCAGTTTAAATGTTTACGATTTGACAAAAGCTACATGTAAACTAAAATATGTAGTGTAAAGACTTACCCCTCTGGTGCAGCTCCAGCCGGGGCCGCCCCTGAAACAAACATTCATCAAAACAATAACACAATCCATGAGTTAAAGGGCCAATATTATGCAATTTTGTGATCTATGTTATAATGTTGTTTCCTCATCAAAAACAAACCTGGAGTGGTGTTTAGTTTTATTCACACATTTAACACACAAATCCTGCATATTTAGATGCATAGGTCTTCTCTCAAACAGAAAACACCGCCCATTTTTACTGAACAGAAGATAAAGTGGTAAGTGTTACGTTCAAAACTACCACTTGATGACATCACAAGTGGGAAAAAAGCATTTTGAGCTTTGGAGATTAAGACAAAATGCTCTTTTTTGTAATTTTTGAGTTAACACAGGTTCACTGAAAAATGTGTGAATTAAGTAAAACACAACTCCAGGTATGTTTTTGATGAGGAAGCAGCAATAAAACATGTCTTAAAGCTTAAAGAATCTATTTAGTGTAATATAGAACCTTTAAATTGTCTCACGACTTCATCAAGGAAGTAAACAACACTTTGCTAATGAATACAATTTAATTAGACATAGCCTAATGAAAACTAAAGAAAAAATATGTTTGGATAATATTCAGTAATTTTAAAAATAATGGTTATTTCTGCTCTACCAAATAAATATAAACACCAACAAATGCCAAGTTTACAATTATTAATGGATCATTACAATTCAATTAAAGGAAACAACCCCATTCTGTAACTCACACTTTGAGTAAGATTGTGCTCTAACTAACTTGTTTTTCTGTTTCAGTTTAGATTATGTACTATTTATTCATTTATTTATGTAAAAAACAAAACCATACTATTAAAAACTGTTTGTATCACTGTTAATAATATAAAATAATGTACGTGACAATAAGATGATGGGGACAAGTTGTGATGAAGCAGAAAGAATCTTCAATCAACTTTTTAACAACCTTGTACTTTTACTTTTACTCAACATTTTTACTGAAGTCGTAGTACTCTTATTTGGTTACTCTTCCCATTGTAACTAAGTCTAAAAGTTATAATTAATAATACTTCATTAGTTAGTTTAATAATTTGTACATTTGCGTTTCTTGCACTGCTCCTTCAGGTATGATTTCTCATTTTTTGTGTCTATCCTTTGAAAATTTTGTGAGTTTCTGAATATCATTCCAATTACATTAACTTCAAAATTATAAATGAATCTTACATCTCGATAGTTATTCTTTAAGTAACTCTTCCTTCAGTTGTACTTTTCCCAAATGCTTTTTACTCTTTATTTCTTAAACCACTACTTTATACTTCTAATTGAGTATTGATACTTTTTTACTTGGTTACAGACTTTAATTACTCTACTCAACTTTATTTTCAGTGTAGCCCGTGTCATGTGAGCTGTTTACACCCAATAAACATATGAGGTTGATTCACCGTTACACAAACATTCAGCTCTGAGCTCTGAAACTCTCCTCAGAACTGCCATAGAAACGCGTAATTGGTCCCAACTTTGTTCCCTGATTGTTCATTTGTGTGGCCTCCTGGTGCCTTTGTTTCTGAACGTCGATATTTCTGCCTTGTACAAAACTGATTACAGCCATTGAGCTCCTTTTGTTTGTCGAATACATAGAGACCGGGCCTTTTCACCACCTGCCCACATTGTTCAAGAGGCAAATGAGCGTATTCAGGCTGCGTGTGTGGAATTAGGGGTCTGTGTGCGCCCCCACCAAGGCATCGCAGCTCTACTCGAGGCATAGACGATGAATGGGCACTTACCCGCTGGTGTGTCCTCTTTCTTGGCTGCATTTGGCTTCTCGTCCTGCAACAACAAATCAGCACCGAGCTTCATCAGAGGAGCTGGAGCTGAGCCACTAAAGCAATATTTGAATTTGCATTTTAAGAAGATGTTTTTGATAAATGGTTCTCCTTGTCTTTATGAGTTTGAGAAGTCCGAGAACTACTGGAATTAACTTTGTAGTATTTGTGTATCATGACTCAGGGATACGTTCATTATAAGAGTTTAAACCTTAGAGATTTTTTGTTGTAATGTTATAAAATATTTTTATAGTGGCCTTCAACTAGTTATACCAGAATAATAACTGTATATCTTTGCCATAAGTCTGCTATCTGCTTTTCTACGGGGAGATTTTATGGGTTTGACTGTGATGTTCCACAGTTGGGCATTAAAGTTACACATTTATTTAACTAAAGGTGTATTTACTGCTCAAAAACCCTTGAAAAACACACCTTCTCACTGTGAGCAGGGTTGCCTCTCCGCAGATCTGATCTGTAACCTGGTCTGGTGACTTTTCTTCATGGCAAAGTTTAAAAGGCCCATATTATTCTATTTGTTATAATGTTGTTTCCTCATCAAAAACATACCCAGAGTTTTGTTTTGCTTCATTCACTCACTCATGTTTAACACACAAACCCTTGTCTCAGATGAAAAACACTCAGTTCCACTTTGTGATGTCATGTGGTAATACAGGAAGTGCTCTATTGTGTTTTTAAACTCCATACAACTTTCTTCAAATGTGTAAATGAAACAAAACACAACTCCAGGTTTGTTTTTGAGGGGGTAACCACATTATAACATGGCTTAAAGCTCACAAGAATCTATTTTGTCTAATAATAATAGGACTTTTAACCAAAGTAACAAGCAAACCAATAACATGGAGGTTTGAAGGTGGTGGATCCTTTGCCAGAGTTATTTAAACGTATTTAATTGCGGTATACCTAAGATGGAAAGTGCACAAACTTCAGAAAGGGCACATGCATGTTTACAGTTATGAAAGTTTGTTTATAGCTGCTGACTCGGCGTTGACATTGAAAGTACCTTGCATAAGCTATACACAGCACTCAGCTTAATTCATTAGTCACACAGCCAAATGAAACATAATAAACATGTCTTACCTTGGCCGCCATCGATGGACCTGTGACAAGGCCCTCTGGCTCACCTACAGCTCAAACTGGGGTCTGCATTAGAGTCCACTGTTCACTGGCCCTCCGTGTGTCCCTCTCTGCTCCCTGTAGAAGCACATATAGATCCTTATGGTGGAGTGGGCTTACTGCTTTTAGCCCTGTAAGACTAAGACTGTCCTGGAGCCCGCCCCTCCTCTGACATAAGCCCTTCACCTCCTGGATATAGGATGGACCATGAAAGGGGCAACTAGAAATAATCTGCAACAAAAGGTGAATAGATATTAGGATCTACCAAATGACTTATGCATTTTTCGGTGAAATTAATTATTCCTGATTGATTACAACTGTATAAGTAGTAATTATTTTTGCAGTTCTTTTGTTTTTTCTCTAAGACATCATCTAGTGGTCAATAGAAACATTACAGTATGTCCACTAAGTTTTTTTCAGCAATTAATTAAAACTACAACTTGATCCTGCATGATTCCATAGAAACAAAAAGTGTGATCAGACTTCGGAACATCCTCCATGGAGAAACTATAGATACATTTTGTGCCATACTGTGGAAAATTATAGTAAAGAGTCTGGTTTGAAATGATGCAAGCCCATTCAGGGCAAAGACGCATATTTTTCAATACAATAAACACAACCAAAATGAAACAAACAAACAAACAAAAAACAAAAACAAAGACATGGCCTTATTTAGTGTATTTTTTTCTAAAAAGTTACATACTGTGGCTTTATGAGACAATGTGCATTTAATTCAGGGATTATATCTCTCTGCTGATCACAGCTCTGTGTGCAACACATTTCCAGCACGTGTCTTAATGTGAAAATTAAAGGAACGACTCAACAATGACTAACTTTACAATGGTGGCCACAATGTGTGACTTTTTAGCCTTAAAGTTGTTGCTCTTTAAATAATGAACCTAAAATTAACAATAATACTAATTTTATATAGCTTTTATATTGTGGTTTTAAAGCATTGTTTCCAAAAGACTGGGTCGCAAGAGATTTTTTTGGGGTTGGCTTGTCACGATCTGCATGTAGGTCTGCAATATACTATATACAAATAAACTCTGCAATACGCTATATGCAAATAAGCTACTTGCGAATACCTTTTATTGATGGTTTAATTACTGTTTTTCATTGTTTAAAACTTGAATAATACTAATTGTTCAGAGAGACAAGATCACTCAGCAATAAAATATCCTCATTAATGTCCAATAATGGTCAAATCCACATTTATTTCTGATTTACGAATAATGTCTACTGACTTGGGTCGCAATTGTGGCTTTTAAAAAAGTTTGGGAAACACTGTTTTAAAGTATGACATTCCAGTACAAAATTTCCACCATTTATCCAGGTTTGGGACAGAGCAAATAGCACCCTAAACGATGTGTCCCTTTAAGTGATTTACAAATGACACATAGTACGTCACATGCGTTTTTATTGGCAGTTGGTTTGTCAGCAAAGTAAATAGTTTTCATTTGAACAATAACAAAGCATTGTTTTGTTCCCACTCGAATGGCCTCTTGTAGTTTTAATGTTATTTTAATGCGCTTACATTAATCTTGCTGTATAATCTGTCAGCTCAGTGCTTCTTAGCCTTTAGGCCGGTTAATTCCAGTTTGATCAATCGTACCAGATTACTTTATCGGGGACACACAGCTGCATGTCTTCAATTAAGGCTTTTCTATTGTGTTTAGTTTTGTCTTTTGTCTTGGCATTTTTGTCTAGAACTGTCACACAAAAAGTTGCTAAATTACTGCTGAAAAGAGGAACAGAAAACAGAAAATGACTGAATCGCATTGTGAAATTTGCAAATTGCTAAATCTTTAACAAGTTTTGAAAAATTGCAGTTTTTTAATGGCCCCATATTAGGCAATGTTCTGATCTATGTTATAATGTTGCTTCATCATCAGAAACATGATTCGAGTTGTGTTTTGCTTCATTCGCACTTGTTTATCACACAAATCCTTATCTCACACAGAAAACACTCTACAGGAAGTGCTCCATTGTGTTTTTAAACTCCATACACCTTCACTAGAATCATTTGGACTTGCCAGGAATTGCCCATCTGTACTGAACTAAAGGTAAAAAGAGCTGTTACCTTGAAAACCACAATGTGACCTCACAAGGTGAAACAGAGCATTTAGAGACAGATTAATCATAAAGGATTACTCAAGCATGTGTGAAAGAAAGAAAACACAACTCCGGGTCTGTTTTTGTTGAGGTAACAGCATGGCTTAAAGCTCACAGGAGTCAGTTTGTGTAATACAGGGCTTTTGAGGGATTGCTATAATTATTTTTATAGGTACACTGTGTAACTTTCTGTTTAAGGGTATGCCACCTGGTATAACGATGTTGTTGCTTTGCCTGGAATGTACCACAGTATGGCATTAAAGTTGTTGAATTATGTGTGTTTTTGTGGATCAAAAGTTCCTTGAAATACATGCATTCTTACTGTGAGAAGGGTTGCCTCTCCACAGATCTGGCCAGTAACTTAACTTGACCTCTTACTTTTAATCCTATAATGTGTAAGATTTCAGACAAAGTTATTAGATTTCTATGGAAAGAAGCAAGGTGGTTATTATGGCCCCAGACCTTCAGTTGTAATTTGTTTTGTGTGCTTTGAATAATTTTGCTGGCTGTTCTGAATCCTGCTGTGGGTGCCCTGGTCTGTGATTGGTGGAGTAGTTCTACACCTGGCCAATCCTGCCTCACCTCCAGACTCCTCCCCCTATTTAAGGAGATTGCCAGCACCTGTTCGGAGCTGCTGGCCTTGGTAGCAAGTCTGCCATTTTGTGATTGTGTGTGTCTAGTTCTGTAGTTTAGTTCTGTTTTGTGCCTGTTTTAATTTGGTCACTCGATTCTGTTTGTGGGTTTATGTGGTTTTACTTTGGGGCACTTGTGTATTAGTTTCGTGTGTGTCCCTTAATTAACCACTCGTTTTTTTGTAAGCCTGCGTGATCCGTTTTGTGGGACAAAACTGTGTAACTGTGTTGCATTGTTTATTAGTTTAGGGTATTTTCTGTATATATTTTAGTCTGTTTTCTTAATTTACCTGTTACATCCCTGTTAATTACACATTATTTAATTTATTCCATTTTACATCTTGTTTTTTTTGTTACCTCCCTCACCCCAACGAAGCTGGGTCTTAACAGTGGTGTATAGCCAAGCCTGCACTACCTAGTGGCTCCACTCAATTTCCTTTCTCTCCAGTGACTACATCAGGAATCGGAATACACTGGAGGGTTTGCAAGAACCCTGAAACTTGTACACAGCGCACCGGCCAGTCAGTGAAGAGCTGTGAAGCCGTGACGTTATACTCAAGCCCCTGTCTGGGTCCCTTTTGTGGTACAGCACAACAGTAAACAAAGCGGTCGAGATGGATGTAGATGAAGCCATACATTCTGTGTTGGCAACGATTCCCGAAATGGAGGATTTAAAGCTGGAACAAAGAAAATGTTTGGTGAATTTTATCAAGGGGAAAGACTTTATTGTCCTTCTTCCTACGAGATTTGGCACATCACATACGTCACGACCAAATAGCAGCGATTGGTTAAATAAAAAAGTACCTATTGTCGAGTGAAAGAATCCTAATGCTGTGAGGTCAGACGGTTTCGACGAAGTGAAACGGCTGATGAATCAGGCTAGGTGACGAACTCTCCAGCAGAAAAAGTTACGTAAAGTGATTTTCTAACAACTATTTCAACCTATTTCTGCTGGTTTTTTCTTATTATTTATTATTTCTGTTAGAGAAGCTACAGATAAAATACTATAGATGCTGTTTACTCATCCAGACCTTCATCCTTTGACTTCTCTTCTTAGTCTTTCTTGTGATGATAGGCTGAATCTGCTTCTACCATTTTCACTGTTATAATACCATGTTTTTCTCTTCACAGGGCATCTGAAAATTACAGTTGGAATGAAAAGTAAAAATGGCTGCCACAAAAGACAACAGTGACACGAATCTCCATCCTGTGTTTGAATGGGACCTGGGTTCAGTGGAAAAAGGAGACGATTATTTATTCACAACATCAGGGTGAGGAATTTGAGAGAATAGTTGATTTGTTTGTGGAGAAGTGTGTTTGAAAAAAGGGGAAACGATTTAAAAGCAAAAACAAAACCAACTGAAATGTGTTGTTTTGCAAAAAATACTGTTATCATTGTCATTATATGTGATTAACAGACATTTTCTCTGGTTGGTATTATGTGTTTTGGAAGCTTTGTTAAAATGCTTTTTGAATTGTAATACTAAAAGAATGCATTAAAGTCTGTTGCCCTTATTTGTTCCCATTCAATCCAACTTTATTTATAGAGCACTTTAGAAACAACCAAAGTGCTTTTACACAACAAAAACATGAAAAACATGCGACAAAACAGCAAGAAAACAGATGACAACCCTTCAAAATCAAAGAAAAATATATGTGTTGACCAAAAATACAGATATTTTAATTGAATAATAACAACTAAACACGAATGAAAGGAATTTGTGGAGACTATATATACATCCAAGTTCTAGTTTCAATCCAACAGCTCCAAACTAGGCCAAAAAACAACCATCCAAGGAAACTATATTGGATTAAAAACACTATATTGGATTTAGTCAATTAAATCAACATTGCATTTCCGTCAACATATACAAGAAAAGCAAGGACTAAAATGGAACAGTTACTAAATCTGTCCTTATTACGCTATTTCCTGATCTATGTTAGAATGTTGTTTTCGCATCACAGACATACCAGGAGTTGTGTTTTGTTTTGTTTTTTCTCCCTACACATGTTTAAATAAGTCTGTTTCCATCAGTGGCAGAGTTAGCAATTTGGGGGCCCCAGGTGAACTTGAGTTTGGGGCCCTTACTATAATGCACTATTTTTTTGCTTGTTTGTTTGTTAGTTTTTTGTATTGTATTTGTATGTTTGTTTGTTTTTTTAAATATATTTTTGTATATATATATATATATATATATATATATATATATATATATATATATATATATA